AATTAAAATTAAAATTAAAATTAAAATTAAAATTAAAATTAAAATTAAAATTAAAATTAAAATTAAAATTAAAATTAAAATTAGAAATTACCATTAATATAAAACTGGCCATCGTTAATCTTGTTATAGCCCCACCAAACCATAATACCTCTCCATATGCAATAAGAATAATTGTTAAATTTTTAAAAATCGTATATACAGGAATTGAAAGATATTGCAAACTATAATTATGGAATTAAAATTATGGAATGAAAATTATGAAATGAAAATAAAAGAATTAACAAATCAAATAACAACAATAACAACAGTATAATTAATTTATTTTTACCTCTTGCTTCCCGTATAAATCATAGCAACCAACATCATTGCAATTATAAACCCTGATAAATGTCAAAAAAAAAACAAAAAAAAAAAAATTAGAAAATAATTTAAATTATTTAAATAAATTATAGAAGATATAATTAAAGAAATGTCAGTCACTAACACTTTTGAGATATCACATAATCCAATTCTCGATAAGTAACCAAGTTAAATAATTTGAAGACTTGGAGGAGAAAAACGCATACTATTGACTATAAAAATAATGATCTTGAATTTTTGATTATGTTTTTAATATTTGAAATAATTAAATTTTATACAATCACTTTTACCAACCTGAATGCATAATAATAAAAAGTTCATATTGAAATCATAACCAGATAAAACATATTTATTTGTTACGGTCATCAAAATACTGGCACCACAGTAAGTCAAGATTGGAAGAGTACTACCTGCTGTAATAATTGATATAAAGGAAGGTTGCGTTTGGGTTTTCTTTATGTTTATAGTTTGTTCTGAAGGAGTTGGTGTGAGATTGACACCTGGCTCTTCTTCGATTATTAACTTGTACTCTTTAGAGTTTAGCGTCATGATTAACCAGATTTGAATGAATTAAAACTGAAGATTCGTTAAATGAAAGATTCGATTCAATATGTAAAATTATTTCCGTCGAGAAATTATTATTATTATTATTAATTGGATTAATATCAATTATAAGAATTATAAGAATTATAATTAGATGATAAACTGTTGCACCAATGAATGGCCTTTTGGTTTAAAAATTTTCTACAATGACTATAATGACTATCGATTGTTTTACTGCCTTTTGTCAATAATAAAATAAAAAAATATTTCAAATTTTCTCTGTATTTAGAAATATCACTAAATTGCACTAAATTTCACGTATGCATTCATCCATTCAAAAAAGAAACAAATGGTTATCTCCCCTTTCGATATGGTTTAGTTTCAAGGATGTTCATTTTAGATAAATTTATATACGCATGACATAATGACATAATCTTCATATCTTTTCTTTACGTTCCCTTTATCCCTTTTTAAGGTGAAACAAAGCCCCACAGAATTTATACTAGTTAAACTAGTTATTCTTTAAACATCTATTTTTAGATATTTTTACCGTCACTTGTTATACAGCAAGAAAAGTATAAATATTCCAAATATTCCTGAAAATTCTCCTTCTTAATTATATAAATAAATAGCGGATAATTTTTGAACTCAAAAAAATAAAATAAAAGAAAATATGAATTTTGTTCGACAATCACGTGCATTTACTAGACTATATTTGACTGTTAGTAACAGACAATTTCATGGTTCTCGAAGTGTAAAAAATGTATCACCCACTATTGAAAGTACGCCTATGCGTATATTATTACTTGGAAGCCCTGTAAGTTTTCTTGAAATACTGGAATTTTGAATTTGGGAGAGAGAAATATATATAATATGTATATATATATATATATACACAAAAATACTAAAATAAATAAAAATTTAAAAAAAAAGGGAGCAGGAAAGGGAACTCAATCTTCACGTATACAAAAAAACTTTAACATTGCTACAATATCAAGTGGTGATCTTCTTAGAAAAAATATGGCAAATGGAACTAAAATCGGTAAAATTGCGGCCAAGGAAAGTGAACGAGGAGGTGAGTAAATTATACGTAAATATATATAAAATGTAAACAAATGTAAACATAAATAATAAATAGTATAAATTGAATTGATCGACTTTAATAAAAATAGATTTTGTTCCGGATGATATTATGATTGAACTTATAACAAATGAACTTCGATTTATAAATCGAAAGGTAATTATCTTTTTATCTTATAACCTTATATATTCTTTTATGTATATATTTAATATATATAATTTTTTAGAATTGGCTATTAGATGGATTTCCACGAACCATTAATCAAGCCGAAGCGTTGGATGAAACTTTAACATCAAGATGTCAACCCATAAATTTAGTAATTAATTTAGATGTACCAGAAGATGTAATATTGCAAAGAATTATGGGTATGAACTTTTTCTAATTTTATAATTCTAATTTATTTAATAATTTATGCAGTTGATTAAATTAAATTTCTATTAATTATATATTAATTATATTAATTACAGATCGATGGGTTCACGTCCCTTCGGGACGTGTTTATAATTTAAATTATAATCCTCCGGAATCATTTGGTCTTGATGATATTACTGGTGAAAAATTATCAAGAAGAGCTGATGATAATCCTGTAAGTTCAAAAATAATTATTACAATAACCTTATTAATGTTATTAATTATTATAATTCATATATATATATATATATTTTTAGGAAACCTTCAAAGTTCGCCTTCAGAAGCATCATAAGTTAACGAAACCATTGTTGGAATATTATTCAAAACGTAATCTGTTATTCACTTTTAAAGAAAGCACAAGTGATGAAATTTATCCTCAAATTGAAAAAGAACTTTTAAAAAGATTTGGTCGTGAACATTTTAAGGGTGAAGATTCTTCTCGATTGACTAATAATAATGAAACAAATATTTCCATTAATAATTTACGATGAATTTATGATAACTATTTTAGTAATAGTATTATTATTTATTATTATTATTATTATTATTAGCATAACGATAGATATCATTTTTTTTATTTTGAATATACTTGCATTTGAAAATAGAAATTATTTAAATTATTAAATTATTTTACAAAGAAAATATATTCATACATAGTCGTTACGTGAAAGATATCATAGCAAGATCTCGCTGTTTGTTTCGAGATTACCGCCCCAAGTTAGAATATGCTAAGATTCTTATGTTCTAGTCAATTTAAAGTATAGTATATATTTGAATAAATTTTTAATAACTAGAAGGTTTCATCCCAAAATGTAAATTTCGAATACAACATTTTTACCTTACGAAAGGACTGCACTGCTCCTACATCGACAGCTAATGCTCCAGCCAAGGTTTCTTATGCAATACGTGTGTGGTTAACTATTTATTTATCTATTTATTCATTTATTTATTTATTCATTTTATTTTTTTTATTTATTCATTCATTTATTTATTTATTATGACCCTTTTCATTTATGCTAACTATTTATGTGAATTGGTTTTTTGTAACACACGTTCCTTTAGTAAACTTGTGACATTTAGTGGATAGTTACAATTTGTATTTCCACATGACTTATGTCACTTTTATCACAAATAAAGAGAATAAAGATAATAATAAAGATTCGCTTTCAATGCAAGATCAAACTATAAGCCTTTTTCTGCATCAAATTCATAATGGAACAAAAAAAAAAATTAATAAATAAATATGACTATTTGTGATAGACAAATAAACAAAGGTGAATTAAAACAAAAAACAAGACTATTTGTGACAGACAAATAATTTTATTGATATCCATGTGTAAATTTTGTTTGGTTTACAAATTTAAAAATCTGCACATTTATTTCTATTTTATCACCAATCGAGGTTTTTACGACTGATGTCGTTACTTTGTGACTAATTAGTGTAATGTCCGTATTTTTTATATTATCGCACATATTATATGAAACATTGGAAGTTTATCTACATACATATTTAGTACTACTATTATTCCTTATTATGGAATTCTTTAATTAGTTTAATTAGTTCAATTAGTTTAATTAGTTAATTATCAAAAAATATTTGATATGCATCTTATTTTATCGAATTGGTTAATTAAAAATATTATACTGTATATTCAACAAATCAAATTCGCTGCAAATTAAAAAAATAATATACTGTCGGCTCGATTTGTCGACAAGTTTTTTGCGGTCATAACTCTCTTTCTTAAAAAAAAAAAAATAACTTACCTTACCTTACCTCAAGGAAGAAATTTATTTTTCTTCCTTTTCCGAAAGGGTCAACGTTCCCTTTATAACCTATCCAATTCTTCTCTCCTCCTTTTATTATCATATACTTCTTTCATTTCTTTAATTCTTTTCATTTCTTTTATTTCTTCCAATCTTCATTTTTTTTTTTTAGATTAAAAATTTTAACATTATAACAAGTCTTGCTGGCATTGGCTCCGTGTGTTTTATTTTTTTATAAAATCAAAAATGGACTACAAAAATGATTATTATCCACCTAGGTCGCCAGCATATCCAAGGCAACCTTCGCCAGGTTTTCAGCAACAAAGAGGTTATCAACAATCTTCACCTACTTATCCACAGCAACAAGCAAATTATTCAGGATATGATTACGAAGAATATCCTACTCATTCTCCACACACTCCCAAACCTCCCACAATTCATAATAATCTTCAGAGGCAACAAATAATTTATCCTGAACATAATGCTGTCAATTTTGATTATGACGAACAAATTTATAACGAAAAAATTAATAAAAGAAAGGTGAATACGCAAAACCCTTTTATTTTTGTTTAACGCGAAATATTTGGCTTATATCACGTGGTTTACTCGGAACTACGTGACATGTTCTAACTAATTTTTTTTTTTTTTTTTAAAAATAGTCCACTCGTCATGTTGAATTGACACAAGGAAACTTAATTTTAGATTGTCCTGTACCAGATAAAATACTTCGTAACGTCAAATATACTACCGACGAGGAATTCACCACAATGAGATATACCGCTGTGACTTGCGATCCCGATGACTTTGTCAAAAGTAAATATCTTCTCCGACCTCATATTTATGGTCGAGATACCGAACTTATGATCGTTATGACAATGTACAATGAGGATGATCAACTTTTTATTAAGACGATGTCATCTGCCATCAAGAATGTTGCTTTTTTGCGTACTCGAGGTAAATCGAAGACCTGGGGTCCTGATGGTTGGAAAAAAGTGGTCGTGGTGGTTGTATCTGATGGGCGTAATAAGGTTAATAAACGTACTTTAAAGGTTCTTGGAGCAATGGGAGTTTATCAAGATGGAATTATGCAAGATAATGTTGATGGCAAAGCAGTTACCGGACATCTTTTTGAATTTACTTCTCAATTAATGGTTGACAGTGATTTCAATATTCGTGGACAAGATAAAGGCATTCCGCCCGTTCAAATTTTGTTTTGTTTGAAAGAAAAGAATGCAAAAAAATTGAATTCACATCGTTGGTTCTTTAATGCTTTCGCAGCACAATTGAATCCAAATGTTTGTATTTTGCTTGATGTTGGTACCAAGCCATCTCACACTTCGATTTATCATTTGTGGAAAGGTAAAGAATTTAGAAAATCACAGATCTTTTTTTTTAAATAATATAATAATATAAATAATATAATATTAACTAACAACTGATATTTTAATCATTATAGCTTTTGATCGTGATCCATCAATTGGTGGTGCTTGTGGTGAAATTAAAACTGAACTTGGAAAAGGATGCATGAATCTTATTAATCCTTTGGTGGCTTCACAAAACTTTGAATATAAAATGTCTAACATTTTAGATAAACCTTTGGAATCAGTATTTGGTTACATTTCAGTTTTGCCTGGGGCGTTCTCTGCTTATCGATTCAGAGCATTACAAAATACTTCACCTGGTAAAGGTCCATTAGCATCTTACTTTAAAGGTGAAGCTATGCATGGATCAGGTGCTGCTAATGCTGGTATTTTTGAAGCCAACATGTATTTAGCCGAAGATCGTATTTTATGTTTCGAGCTTGTGGCCAAAAAAAAACAAGCATGGAAATTGAAATATGTTAAGGTAATTTTATAATATTTATAAATAATTTTATAATATTTTATGATTTTTTATGTTTTATGTTTTATAACATTTTATAATATTTTTTTTTTCTATTTTAGGATGCAAAAGCCGAAACTGATGTACCAGACAATGTACCAGAATTTATTTCTCAACGTCGTCGTTGGTTAAACGGATCATTTTTCGCTGCTTTTTATTCTGTTGCAAACTTTTCTCGTATTTGGACTTCAGGACAACCATTTCATCGAAAGATTTTATTGCAAATCGAATTCATTTATAACGCAATTCAATTAATATTCAATTGGTTTGCTTTGGTAAGAAAAATTTTTCGTGCATTACAGTATAGTTAAATTTGTGACATGTGCGTGATTCTAGTATCTCACTTCGTTTTAAATATTTTAATATTGTTTCAAGGGTAATTTCTTCTTGGCATTCTTCTTCTTGACTCAATCTACAACTTCAAATCCCGCAACCGATCCATTCAGAGGATATGGTGATGAACTCTTTGATTTAGCTCGATCACTTTATCTAATGGTTATCATTACAATTTTTATTAGTTCTATGGGTAATCGTCCTCAAGGGTCCAAAACCACGTATACACTTTGTATTATCTTATTTGCAACTATCATGGCCACTATGTTATATTGTGCCGGCTACACAGTATATTTAGCTCTTAGCTCAGGACCAGATCCTGTAAATTTTACAAGTTTTAAAAGTATTAAGGAAGCTATAAAAACAGCAGCATTCCGAGATATTGTAATATCACTTGCGTCTACCTATGGTTTATTCCTTTTCTCATCGCTTATTCACGGAGAACCATGGCATATGATTACATGTTTGGTTCAATATATTTTACTTGTTCCATTTTATGTAAACATTCTCATGGTTTATGCTTTTTGTAATACCCACGATGTGTCATGGGGTACTAAAGGTGATAATGGTGGAGGGGGAGATTTGGGAGGAGCAAAACCAGTTACGAAAGATGGAAAACAAGTGATGAAAGTAGAAGTGCCTACAGAACGAGAAGATATTAATGCAATGTATGACAACCTTTTGAGAGACTTAAAAACTAAAATAAAGAAGGAAACACAACATCGTGATGCAGCTACAAAGAAAGAAGATTATTATAAAAATTTCCGTACAAATTTAGTTCTCGCATGGATGTTTTCAAATGCCTTTCTTATAGTATTCTTTACTTCAAATACGTGGAAAAAATATGTTGCTGCTCATTCCAATGGAAATGCAGCATTTAATCCCTATCTAACTTTTGGTAAGTTTCAATTCGCTCAATTTTTTTTTCATATAATTAATTTTAAAAACATCATTAATTTATTATTTTTATTTTTATAGTATTTTGGTCTGTGACTGCTTTATCGGCCTTCAGAGCTTTCGGTTGTGTATGGTATTTAATTCTTCGTCTAATATTCGGATAAATTCTTAACATATTTTTTGAGAAAAAAAAAAATGGAAATTAATGAATAGAATATAATAGTTACTCACTTGACAAATTTAGTTCTTTATAATTTTTATGCCTTTTATTTGTATATTAGGGAAAGTTTTAGTTTTATTTAATTTTTTTGAAATATAAATATTTTAATTTAATAATCTTTATTTATTAATAACGTATTGTAATTACTCGATAGAGATTTTTCTAGAATTAATTTTTTATTTATTATTTTAATTTTAAAGTTAATTAATCTAGAAAATTTCGATTATTCTAAATGAACTTGGTTAATTATTGTAATTATACGAATTGCATTTAAAAAATAAATAATAATTAATTAATGAATCTTTCCTTGAAATTAAATAATTTAATAAATTATAAACATAAATAATAATCAAAGACTCACTTTCATCATTTCACAGAAATATAATCAAATTGAAACAAAATTCCTTGATTATTTTACAATCTGGATCGTTAATTCACCGACGTCATCATTATTTATAAACAATGGACTTAATCTATTGTATACATTTGACAAGACAACTTGTTCATTAGCATCTTGGTTGACGTGTACACATAATGTACCGACCACTTGTCCATAAGAATTTTGCCAAAAATGGGTAGCAGTTAAAGATAAAATTGTTGGATCAAGCTGGATCTAAAAATTATTTAAAATTATATTTAATAATATTATAACGATTATAACGAAATATCGAATATATAAGGAAATAGTAATACCTCGCGCATACATTCATCTAAACTTCTATATGCTACTTCAGGAGTTGTTTGTAATAGAATTTTACCCAATGCTATTGCAACTGGACCAGCAAGATAAAATATGAAAAAAGATTCCAAAATAGACATTAAATTATCTAACCATCCTAAATTTTGGCTTTAATATGATCATCAAAAAAAAAAAAAGATAATCAAAAGCAAATCAAAAATAGAACTTGAATATATAAATTTTTTTGTTATATAAATTACTTTATACTAATCCCGAACTCTTACTTTTGTTCCATGAGATAACTAATTGTGATCACTCCAACTCCACAAAATAATGTTATCAAAGTAAAAAAATTTATAAATCCAAAATTTAGCTTCTCATAATAAGATTGATACATCCTGCCATTAAATGATATAGATTTTAACACTGTAAATGAAAATAAAAAATGAATTGATGAATCGTGTAAGAATTAATTAATCGTGAGAGAATTAATTAATCAATTAATCAATCAAGATTTAAAAATGAAAAAGATGCCTACATGCACAAAACCCTAAATGATTTTGGTAACCAATTGCTGATATTAATGTCACACAAAGAGCAATTAAAATCCAAACCATTGGCAATGGAGAACTATTTTAAAATGAATTATCAAATAAACATTTTCTTGAAACAATTTTAAGTAACAAATTATTTATTACCTAATACTTTTTATATGGTTTTCACTTGTTTCTATTATTAAATGTTCAAAGCCTTCCTTCAGTAAATATAATCCAACAAATAAAAGATATAAAATATTTACAAATCCAAATAATATTTCATATCGTTGAATTCTATTATAATATTAAATAATAGATGTCAACATTAAAATAAAGGAAAATAATAAAAAATAAATATTAAATTAATAGAAGATAAAATAAATAAAAATAAAATAAAATTCTACCCAAATGGATTTCTTATTGAAGATATTCTAAATGATCTATAAGTTGCCAGAACAGATGAAGTAAATATTGTGAAAATTCCCATTGCATCAAATATTACTAGATATGCAAATCCTGTGACTGCTATCTCATTAATAATTTTAGAATAATCAAATTAATCATCTAATATAATTTTATTTTAATAATTTTAAATAATTTAGAGATAAATTATTTACCTAATCCACAGCCCCATTGACCTTTTAACCATAATATTATACCTAAGAATAAATGTATTATTCCCCAGGTAAATAATGTTTTTTGTGAAGGAAGTAATGATGAAAATATATATTTTAATGTTGGTAAAGGTTTTACATTATGATGATAACATATATTTTTTGCGTTTATTTGACCAAATTCTTGATTATGTTGATGATTTTCATGTTTGTAATCATTACGACCATTATGGCTTTCAATATTAAGTTCGTGCCCCTTTTGATAATGACTCAAATTATGTTGTTGCGTTTCCTCTTGATTCGATGAATCAACTAAAATATTTTTCTCATTAATGAATAATTCCTCTTCGTCTAGATCTGAACCCGAGGGAGTTCGTCTTAGAACTGTGCTTCGTGGAATTTGAAGTAAAGGTGAACTTGAAGTGCTAGTGTATGGTGAAAGTGAATGCATAAATAAAAAATTGGTTACATAAATTCATAAAGATCATAATAAATACTACTAAAAAAAAAAGATAAACTTGATTACTAGAATAGGTAAGATTTACGAAATGTCTATACATATATTAAATAAATGGCATTATAAAATGTATCTGTTTGGCCGTAGCAAACATTAACCTGGGAGATATTGAACAATACTGTGAAGACAAGATTAAAGATGAACATTATTGTATTGTAAATTGGAGCGGATATGGTTGAAAGACTTGGTATAATGGTAAGTATTTACGAGCTTAAAAAGAAGATTAGATATAAACCCATAAATCCAGAATTCGAAATCAATTTCGTTATTAATGAGTTTGTCCCACGCAATATACAATATAGAGGCCAAGAACCCTTATCTTCGCACATGAGATTTCAAACTCCACAAAGCGAATTCCATCGCAGATTACGTAAAAAGGACTGAAAAAAGTAAATATCTTGTAGATTAAAATCGACTAATGTAAAGAAACAATAAATTTCGTATTATAGATCTTTTTTTTTTCCGAGAGTGTAAAATATATGAGGTACATGGTAATAAAAATACATAAAACAGTAAAAATATTGCGCCTTCTTGACGCGTCACAGATACAGTATATACGTTTTATTTAGCGACGCCATTTCCTGTAATAAAATACAATGTCTGTTGTAAATTTTGTAATACATTAAACAGAATTATTATAATTATATATTTTTTTTTATTTTTTGTTGCCTTTTACCTTTTACTCTCTGATTATGCAACGATCATATTTACGAAATTTTAACCTTTATCTTTATCACACAAAACTATTTCAAGTAAACATTAATATTTAATTTTTTCCATCTTTAGAGTCATCAAGAAAGTTTTCAACATTAACATCATCCTTGTGATTTACAATATCCAATGTTTGCAATATAGTATATTTTACATAAAAGATTTCTTTTAAAACTAGTGCAAGTGGTTTAGATTTTGTTAAGCAGCCAGCGACTTCACAGACTTTTCCACGTTGAACACGAACGACATATCTCTTAGGAAGGTCAGCAGTGATAACCTGCATTCTATTTGAACTCTGAAGCATCTCTACAACTTGTAATTTTTTCACATGATTTTACACTCTATCGCAAGCTGGTTTAACATACTTTTTAACATTTTATGTTTCTAACGTATCTGAAATACATTTTGTACCACTTTCCCACTTTCGCCCCGCTTCTATAGCCCCGAATTCTAGAGAATCTTCATGTAATCTAAATCCCATCACATTTTCGATTTTTCCTGTCATTCCCTCACTATGAATTAAATCAATGTTTAAATTGTAAAAAATGGATCGATAAGGTGGCTCCAAACATTCATCTCGTATCAATTCTCTAGTTTTAATGGGTCAAAAGGATTTTCATTTCTCTCCCATAAAGGTAGCATTCCTCGGTAAATATGATTAATAAAATCAAGGTCAAAATGAAGTTTTCGGTCATATTTGCACCCATGGTTCAAAAAGAATTTCTCGTAACCTTTCGATATTATTAACTATGTACTTTTTTAACAATTCCTTAAGAGAATTTTCAAGTTCTCGTCTATCCTTAGCTTCTGACGTGGTGATTTCTTTCCATTCATCTTCGGAGAACAGTGATCTTGTGCGCATATCGCTTTCATTAATAATGAACGAGTGTAAATAAGATTCACATGTCAACTTTCGTGCAAATTCATATATAATCACTTCCACTTTACGCCCACTCTTTAGTGTCCACATATGATCGGATATCATTTTCAAATACTCTTCTTCAAATCTTTTCAAAGTGAGTGATGGTATGACTTCTTGCTCGGAATTATTATAATTATTGCTAGAAGAGGATTCGACTGCATCAAGGATTGGATTATCCAATTTCACCTAAATCATGAGAAAGAAAGCAGATATCAACACATTGTTTTTACTTAAATAAATTAATAAACTAATGATGATTCACTTTAACTCACTTTTTTAGGTTGAATTGAAAACTCATTTGATATTAACTGTTCTTCATTATCGACATCTCGATGGTGTTTATTACTGATTATTTTTAAATTGTCCATATGTGTCGTGCCACTTCCAATCGCAATTTGATTTACTTACAGATTTCTGATCTTGATCGATTCACAATTTTGGTTTGTGCTGACCATATCTTGGGAAACATAAATAGTTAATAAGAGCTCATCCTTATTAGACAAAGAGTCCCAGCTTGCGCTAGCGTCGAACAAAGAGTTCATCACAAGAGAAATATGATCCCAGCTTGCACTTAAGCGTCGAACAAAGAGTTCATCACTGTTCAGATTAAGCTCTTAACTCTTTCAAATTTTATTCAATTAATATAAGTATACCTTCCAATTATCCAAGACTTCTTTTGCTTTTCCTTTACGCGTCGCGTCGAAATCAGCTTCAGAGTTTGCTACTTTCCATAAGTCCTTTTATATGATCCTTTAGTTTTTTTTGTATCCTGTAACCCTGTTTTCTCACTATAATATTCTTCCAAATTAACGAACGTCCAATCCTTCAATCGCGATATCACGCCAAAGAGCCAAAACAGCGGATATTAATGGTTTAGACATAATTGTGTTTGCAAGAATATTTCTAGGAATAGTAACTGATGTGCAATATTTCAATGCAAATCTTTATTGTATTCTTTATTTTTTTTTTTACTTTTTTTTCAATATTCACATGAGTATTTTTTTAACTAGCGAGTATTTTTTTTTCTAGTAGCCACCCGCCACTAAAACATGACTGGTGTAATGTAATATAGATATATTTACATAAATTATAATGTTAAACAATATAGGATTAAATAAATAAATGGGGTCTGGATTCAGAAAGCTCTAATCTTTGATATTTGAGTATTTTTTTTTACATCTTTTGATTTCGCTCACGATTTGTGAAGCGTAGAGACTAAGATATTCCTAAGATAAAAAGAAGGGCCTAGTTCTTGGATAAAAAATGATATGTGTATCATTCCGGTAGTATTGTTATTCGCGTTTAAAGCCGACGTTCGTGAAAATTTCCGTCATAATTCTGGCCAGAATTACAGAAAATTTATGGCAGAAAATTTTCACGGACGTTCGATTTTAAACACGAATATCTCCGCAAATTTTAATGCTACAGAAATGAAATACATATTATCTTATAGCCAAAAGCTGGGGCTTTCGATCTGTCATAAAAATGTCTTAGTAAAAAAATCGCGTAAATCGAATTCAAAAATAGAATTTTTTTTGCGTAATCTTCAGTAGGTCACGTTTTTGCGTAATACACCATACATATATAACCTTGATACATATAAACTGACCTCATCTCCCTTTTAAATCAGCAGATTTGGCTGGTTTCTGGCACGCCATTTTTAATCATTTTTTATTTATTTTTTATTAGCCGTTACGGCTTTTTTTTTCACAACGGAATGTTAGTTTAACAGGTGAGGCTTAGCCCTTACATACGACATAGTATTTCAAGTATTTCACAAGTAAATAATGTTTGTATTACTTATTTTTTTTTTTTTGTATTTAAAGAACTGCTAATCTGAGGAGGGTGGGTGAGACGTTATTCGTATAATCGTAATCGTAATCGAGTAGCGAGTAACGAATAGATATAGTAATCGTACACGAATAATAGATAGAACCCAGGTATATTTTTGATCGTTTTTGGTAAGATTTTCTTACCAAAAAAGAGAATAGTGGCAAATGTTTTAAAATATCCTTTTCAAGGACTTTTCGTAGCATTCACGTTGCATTTATTACGTTTGCGATACATCGTGACTTTCCAGAAACGGACAAAACGTTAGTACCAAATATTTTTTTGAAAGAAAAAGTTTACCACTGAAAAAAAAAATACCGTATTTATATCAAAAAAAAATTTTTTTTTTTCAATTGGTTCATTTCAGTTATTAATAACCAATAATTATATAATTATTAATCACAACAACAATCATCCACGACTAAATAATTAAATTATAATACTTGTTGATCTAAAGATCTAACAATTAAGTACATTAGATATTATTACCTTTCCGTTTAAAAAATATTTCTTTATTTGGTTAGTGGTACAACTGCGTTTTTCGTTTTATTTTTTTTTTTTTTAATAATTTAATTATTCTTCGAGGTATAGTTTTCAAGGATTTGGATAATAATGATTAGATTCCAAAAACGTGTCCATATGATTTGTTAATACATGATTATTTTTCAATCACAAAACAAGATCTAATATTTAATTATTTTTAATTTATAAATTAAGGTACATGTCATGATGAATGTGAAAAATTAATATAAGATTAAAATAGTTTTTATAGAAGACAATTGTTTTTAATAGAAAACTGAAAATTTGAAAATTTTTTTTTTTTAGATTGGGAACATTCCTTTATACCTAAAGAAGTATGTCAACTGAAAAAAAAGTGAACATTTAATTGAGCGAGTAAAAACACAATTTTTGAAGTACTCTCCTAATTGTATTGCTTTATTGACATTTGATAATAGTTCAAATCGTGTAGCAAGCATTTTAACCAGAATAAATTTGAGATCAGGAGGTAAACAACCAAAAATGAGATTACACACAAAATAAAAAAGAATTATTTCATTACAACCTGATTTTTTTAAATTAAAAATTGCTTTATCCTAAGTTCCATTGTGACATTGAGGGTGCAGTTGTGAAAATTGTGGTCTGGATTTACAATGTATTGTTCTTTGAAGGTTTAGATACAGTTGATACAATTATAATAAGAAAATTTGTAAGAAAGGCAAGTAGATATATGGATTTATTATTATTTATTATTATTATTATTATTATTGTTATCAAAGTTGTTAATGTTTGAATTGTGAAATAAAAATAAATATTAATTAATTGTTTGGGATACAATATTTTTACTATTCTACCTTTTCCCTTAATGCAAAATAAGATTAATAATGATAATAATGTATTGTGTAAATAATAAAAAATAATAAAGTAATTTAATTAGTCAGAATAATACCTTGAAACGGCTACGGCTATCACAAATTCTCTCTAAAAAAATTAGCACCCATAATTGTAAATTTTAGTTTACGGAAAGATTCAATTAATATTTCATATAGAAATAAATAAAATAAACGCTGTTCCCGATTAAATAATAATAATTAAATTATCAAAACGAAAACGAAACGATTGCCAAATTCTACTTCATTTTTGATTGGCCCGTTTATTAAATTAAATAAGTTTTTAAACCACCAGCCATTTGTACTTCCCGTTTAATTTATCTATATTATTTTCGGGTGGAGCAAATCGCTTCAAAAGATACCTTCAACGTCTTCAACGTATAGATCTATAATTAAATAGTTGCATTATAGTTTTACTTTTTCTTTCTTAATGCAATTATCTAAATTTTATATCAACGTTTCGTTGTGGAATTTAGATCCCGAGGTTTACTTTACTCTTTGACGCTCTAATTTAGTTTTAATTAAAGTACTATTATTATCCATATTACCTATTATATATTACCTGTTTTAAAGTTATTTATCTATATTGTTGCATATATAAATCATGGCTGGGATATTCAGAAAGAAAAAAAAACAATCACCTAATTTACCTGAAATAAGAGATTCTACACCATATAATCAGATAAGACCACCTTTACAGTCACCCAGTTACAGTTCTCAACATAATAATAACAATAATAATAATCATAATAATAGTAATAACAATTTTCATTCAGAAAATGTTCGACGACAACAAATTTATCAACAGCAAAGCAATTATCCTCCACAATATAATGATCCAAATTGTCAATATCCACCACCATCAGGAGAAAATCAAACATATTATCAAGAAGCACCACCAATTCAACATTCACGGAGTACTTCTTTTGATTATAATAATTCAAGTTACCCTTTTTCAAATGAGACAACTCCCAATACAACGACTCCTACTTCATCTATAGCGCGAGGTTTTGAAAGAATGTCAGGTGCATTTTCACCAAGTGAAATTCAAACGTGGGTGAGCAGTTACAGAGATAATCGGGCAGCGAAAAATGAAATACAAAAACCTTCCGATGAAACTATTGAAACTATGTTTTTGGATTTAATGGTATTTCATTTCATTTCATTTTTTTTTTCTCATGGGTTTAATGAAGGGTTAATGAAGGGTTAATGGATTATTATTGAATTGTTATCGAAATTATTATTAAAATTATTATTGAAATTATTATTAAAATTATCATTGAATTATTATTGAATTATTATTAAATTATTATTTAATTATTATTGAATTATTATTAAAATTGATGAAGGATTAAAATAGATTTAAGGGGTTAAAGAGGGATCAAAGTTAAAGAGGGTTAAGAGGATTTAAAATGACATGCTGGATTAATGATATATTAATGAGAGTTAATATTAATGATAATAGAAACCTTCTTTTTATAAAATCTAACGAGGAATTTGTGAAATTTGCTTTTGATTACAGAATAAATTATATTCAAAAAATATACCAGAAATACAAAAAAATGCAATGTTGGCTCTTTCAACTGATAAAAAATGGACACTCATAAAAAATGATTTATTAGATGAAGAGGTGAATTTTTCATTGTTATAAATTTGTTTTAATTTATTTCAACGCATTAATATAAAACTATTATTATTATTTATTATTTATTATTACTTATATCTTTTAATAGAAAAAGAAACCTACGGCAGATGTTGTTGCTGCTTCTCAAAATAACTATGCCCCAGAATGGTATCTTAAAAAAATTTTAGATGGCTCGATAACTGCGAATAATTTGGAATCTTTAAGCGTTTCTCTAAGGGCTAAGCCTATACCGTAATAACGATTTTTTTTTTTTTTTTTTTTTTTTTTTAATATAATATTTATAATATTTCAGAGTATGAAAAATTTAAGTATTGAAACTTATTTCTTTTCTTTAATTTTCTTTTAATTTTTAGTTGGGTTCAATCGTTTATTGATTCTAAAGGTTTAGATGTTCTTGCAAATCATCTAAACAATATTACCCGTAAACCTATAAAGTATATTTTATTGATAACCTTATTAAATTATTATTAGCACTCGAAAATGATAATTAATTATTTTTTATTTTATTTAGGAAAGAAACAGATATTTATATGGAACATGAAATTATCAAATGTTTTAAATCGTTATTAAACAACAGAGTATGCTAAAACTATAATCAAATTTTAATTAATTAATTTTAATTCATCTGAATTTTTAATTTATACATATATTTTTGTTTTCTTAGTTGGGTGCTCAAGAAGCATTATCACATCCAGCGTGCATTTACAGTATAACTTTTTCACTTGTCTCCCCTCAACTGAACACTCGTAAACTTGTGGCCGAAGTTCTTTCATTCTTCTGTTATTGTGAAATTCCAACTGGTCACAATTTAGTTTTGGGAGGATTTGATCAACTAAAGCAATTTCAATCCGAACATGGAAGATTTGATGCTTGGATGAGAATGTTGGAAAATACAATTGATGGTCGTGGACGTTACGGAAGTTTAGTTAATGCTAGCGAAGAATATAGAAAAGGTGGAGTCGGAAACGAGAATTCTTTAATGGAATATGCGGTAGGCGAATTAATTGAACGTTTAAAACTCACAGTAATAATGAATAAAATTAGTAAAATTATTGAAATTATTGAAAATTATAAATTATTGAAATTAGCTCTCGAATATGATTCTGCTTAATTCCATTGTCGGAGTTTGCGATGACGTAGAGGTTCGAGTTCATCTGAGGAATCAGTTGCACACTTGTGGCTCAACGCGAATCATTGATGTAAGTATGATTTATTTCTTTTAGCCTTTAAGAAATAATTCTCCGAATTTAATACAAATTTCCTTTTTATTTTATTTTAGAAAATGAAACCTTTTAATAATGAATTGATTACTCGGCAAATAAATAAATTTGAACGGGAGAGCGAACTGGATTATGAAGAAGTATTGGATCATTATAATCATCAAATTTTGCAGGACATGACATATCCTTTATTAAATTTATCAATAATTTTATTATAAATAATTATTATTTTATTATTATTTTTTTTTTGTATTAATTTTATTATAAATATTCTTAACATATTTTTATTTACTGACCCGCATGATGTATTTAAATGCCTTCTTGCTTCGGTTGAAGGAACACGCGCCTTTGATTTTTTCTTGTCGGCTATGCAACATATGTTACTTATTCGTGATGATGGGGAGACAAGGCATGATTTATTATATTATTGATTATTAAAATTTTTTAAATAGCTTAATTACTTAATAATTAATTTCTTACTTATATATTTATTATTTATATATTTATTACTTATATATTTATTTATTACTTATATATTTATTTATTACTTATATATTTATAGAACGCGATACTTTCAACTCATTGATACATTGGTTACTCAAGTCGTATTAGATCGACGTGGACTTGATCAAGATTGGAATAATTCTGTAGGTCTCACCGTTTCGCAGGTGCTTGCTAAAATGGCGGATCAAGATAAAGTTCAAGCTGCCATTGAAGAAGCAAATGAAGCTAAAGCTTTAGCTGAAAAGGCTTTACATGAAAAACATGAACTACAAAAAGAATTAGCTTCCGGAGCTGGTATAATACTTATCATAATACCCTTTTATTTGTTCATTGTTTATATTTTCACTTTTGCGTTCAAAATAATTTTAAATAAATTTAAATTTTTAATTGAATAATAATAGATGGTATGGTCAGTGATCTTAAGAATAAAATTGAGTCACTTGAGGATCTTTTACGTATTTCTCGCCATACCGTAGAAACACTTCAACAAAAACTTAATGATTTGGAATCGAGTTATCTTGAAAAATTGGCAGAGCAGAATGTTGAATTGAGGGATCTTGAAAGAATATTAAAAGAACAGCATGGTGCATCGGATTCTGAATCTTTAAGTAAACAAGAAATGATTATGAAATTAGAAAGGATGCAAGAAATTGCAAAAACTGAACAAAAATTAGTAGGAGCTAAAGTTTGGACTCCTACATTTTCGGATTTCAAGGTTTAATAATTTATTTTATGATTTAATTTAGGCTAAGAAAAATTAGAATTTTCAAGCTTATTTCTTTTTCTTTTTTTTTTTTTGGAAAACAATAGATGCCCGATGCAAATGAATATATTTATAATCCTAATCGTTACAGCACTGCAACTTCGGATACTTTATATTCAACTGATTCACAAAACCTTCAAGGAACTAATCAATCAAACGCCGATCAAAATTCTCAATCGTTTCGAATTTCGCGAATTTCATCAACTGGTCAATTTGGTTCTCATTCTTCTCATTCTTCTCATTCAATAAACCCTATTTCTCCTGGTACAAATTTTGGACCTGGAGGATTTGTGCCACCAAAATTGAATTCCAATATCTTAAATGACATATTAAATTATCAGAGGCCCCCTTCATCTATTCAATTTCCTTCGGCTGATCCAAACTCCAATCAATCACCTTCATCTATTCAATTTCCTTCTGCTAATTTAGGCTTCAGTCAGCCACCTTCACAAGATATACCACCACAAAAACCACCAAGACCCGAATCATCAATGCCCACTCTCCCCTCATCATCTCCACCTCAATCATTACCTTCTATACAAGAAACTCCATTATCACCTTCTACACAAGAAGAAATTTCTTCCCCACCACCAACAATAAGTAAAGACGATATTTCTCGACCACCACCACCACCACCAAGTAAAGAGGATATTCCATCACCGCCACCACTACCACCAAGTAAAGAGGATATTCCACCACCACCACCACTTCCACCAAGTAAGGAGGACGTTCCACCACCACCACCTCTTCCACCAAGTAAAGGTGATGTTCTTCCACCACCACCACCGCCGCCACCACCTCCACCTCCACCACCAAGTGCAGGTGATGTCCCACCGCCACCACCTCTTCCACCAAGTAAAGGTGATGTTCCTCCTCCACCGCCTCCGCCACCAGGCAAGGGGAGTGCTCCACCACCCCCACCACCTCCTCCACCACCACCGGGCAAGGGTGGTGCTCCGCCGCCACCCCCACCACCACCACCACCAGGCAAAGGTGGTGCTCCGCCGCCACCTCCACCACCTGGTGCACCTCCACCACCTGGTGCACCTCCACCACCTGGTGCACCTCCACCACCTGGTGCACCTCCACCACCTGGTGCGCCACCACCACCGGGTGCACCACGCTTTGTGACTGGTATATATCTTTATATTATCCGTGATATATTCTTGGATTTTTATTTTTCTAATAAATATATATATTTTTTGTTTAGCATCACAAAACCGCAAGGCCCTTCCTTTTGTTGCTAAAAAGAAACTTCTACAACTTCAATGGGACAAACTTAATACATTATCCGTTAATAAAACATTTTGGGGTCAAGCAAACATGAGTGAAGAAGAACTTCTTAAATTACTTGGTGGTGAATTTGGTGTTTTTTCAACCATTGAGGAACTTTTTGCCGCTAAAGAAGCTGCCAAAAGGAGTATGTGGTTTATTCATTTTAATATCAAATTGCTTAACCATGACTAAATTGTGACTACATTTAAACAATAATTTAAATATTGTTTTTGCGTATATACAGAACCGAAGGCGGAAAAGAAAGAAGAAATTACTGTTCTTGATTCAAAAAGAGCACAAAATATTAGTAAGTTAATTTATTTATTTATTTTTTTGATAGAATTTGAATTATGATAACTAATATATATATATATATATATATTTTGATTAAAAGATGTAACGATTGGAAGATATAGGCAAATGTCATTTGAAGAAATGCATACTAAGATTATTGAAATGGACGAATTCTTTTGCACAGAGAATTTGCTTTGTCAATTGATGCTATATACGCCAACGGCCGACGAAGTAAGTTCATTTGTTGTTAAATACATATTCATAATTATCATAATTAAAATGTTTATTTATTCAATACGTGTGTGTTCTATTGTCTCTCTTTCTTTTTTTATTTTTTTATTTTTTAGCGTGGTAAACTGGCAGTGTTTAAAGAAGGCACAGAGGATTATGAAAATTTAGCTCGAGCTGACAGATTCTTTGTCGAGGTGTGTTTAATTGATCATATTTAATTCTTTTAATTCTTTTGAATGAAATTTTAAATTTTAATTTTTGAATTAATTTATTAATTAATTAATAGGTTATGAAAATTCATCGATATGAACAACGCCTGAAGTTCATGTACTTTTATGTTACCTTTAACGAGAGGTTTACGGATTTGAGTGATGTAAGTATTTATTATGAGGAGATTTATTATTTTTCTTATAGATATTATTTTTCGTATTCTTTCTATTTTTTTATATATTAATATATTTTTTTAATATATTTATTAGAACATTGTTTCGATATTAAATGCTTCTATAGCCCTTAAAGAATCAAAATATTTCAAAGAGTTACTAAATGTAAGCATCGTATCCCTTTTGCAACTTTTTTTGTTCTAAAATGGATTCTTACTATTATTATTGTTATTTTTTTTTGTTATATGTAGCTTATTTTAATATTGGGAAATTATATGAATGGTTCTGGGCATAAAGGTGGAGCGTTTGGGTACAAGATTCAAAGTATTAACAAGGTAATGAAAATACATTTCAATAATTTTTGACAAGAGGAATTAAATTATATTCATTATTATTATTGATTATATTTGTTATTAAATTTAATTTATTTATTTTCATTTATTTTTAGCTTGTTGATACTAAAGCTTCAAATAATACGTCCCTTACGTTATTACATTTCCTATCTGATACTGTTGAACAAAAAGTACCTCATTTAATTGGTTTTATTGATGAATTAAATGATTGTGGGTCTGCATGCAGAGGTATATACATCAATTATACTAAATTTAACTATATTTAACTATATTTAACTATATTTAACTGTATTTAACTGTATTAATTTAAATTATTGTTATTTTAATATCACTTCAAATATTAGTATCACAACAAGATATGACAAATGAATATCGAACGATGGGAACTAAATTGTACGACCTTACAGTTGAATTGCAAAAGAATTTTACGGATACTGAATTAGAAAAAAATGATAGGTTCCCGGAAATTATGAAAGAATTTGTAGTAAAATCACAAAAGAAGTTTGAAGAACTTCAAATTAAATATACTTCAATGGAAGTTGCTTATAAAGATGTTCTTTCACACTTTGGCGAAGATCCGAATAATACAAAGCCCGATGAGTTCTTTGGAATATTTAAGACCTTTGTTACATCGTTTGAGGTTTGTATTTACATATGTATATAGGTATTTGTACATCTTGAAATAGTATTTAATTCATTGAATTTTAATTCTTTATAGCGTACAAGAGCTGATAATAAGAAAGCTAGAGATCGAGAAACTACTGCTCAAAAGCGAAAGGCGGTAAATAAAATATTTTTATATTATTTATATTCATTTTATAAAACAAAATTCATATAATTAATACATTTTTTCCTTTAACCTTAATCCCTAAACTTCAATCTCTTCACTAACCTCTTACAGGAGATTGAAAGTCGTAGAAAAGCTAATGCAAATACGGGAGTCCACGTTGGAGAGAATGCTACATCGGATCCATCGGAAGAGAAACATTTGATGGATAATTTATTAGAAACGTTAAGAGATGGTAGAGATCTTGATTCAAGAAGTCGAAATAGACGTGGTGCTAGAGATAAACGCGTCAACAGAAGTATGTCAATTGCGTTGAAGGCAGAATCTATTTTGAATAGACTTAAAGAGGATCAACCACCAGTTCCTGAAATACCTAAACAAATTACAGCAGAATAAAAAGTGTGAAAATAGCACGAAAAGGACAATTTCATTATTTAATTTTTTGTTATTTATTTATTATTGGCCATATATTATTTTCATTTCATGTAGTTTAAGCATTCTTTTTTTTTTTTTTTTTTTTTGTACAAAATCATCTATAATCCATATGATTGTATAAATTATATTTGTCTAATTATTTTATACGACTATCTAATTATCTTTACAATTATTCTTATACATTAATCATCTCTACCAAAAATCAATTTTTTTACTTCATTTGCAATTTTATGATTTTGTAAAAATTTTCAAATAATAGTAGAAAATGGAATGTAAGTATGAATTTTTAACATCATACATTTTATACATTTACGCTCTTACCTCTTCGAATAATCTTGAATTTGTTAGGTCGACTTTTTTCTTTCTTTATAAATATTATAAATTGTAGTATTATTATTTTTTTTCGCATTTTTATAATTAAATAAATTAAATAAATTAAATAAATTAAATAAATTTAAGAAATTCAATTATTTTTATAAATAAATAATATTGTTTAATATATAATATAAAATATAAGATATCATATAAAATACAGTGTTACATAAAATATTATATAAATATATTTATTAATGCACTCCTTTCCACTTCTCTTTAACCCCTCCCTTTCCGTCTCAGGCTAATTCAATTCTACTAACCAATATCCCCTTTCTGCTTACTTCCTTTTCTAACCTTTGCCCGTTTATTATTATTCTTTAATTTCCTTTTTGATATTGAAGTATCCGTATCAGATCCAGCGGTGTTAAAGCTCAATGCTGAATCTGGTCTACTTCGTGGAGGTTCTAGTGGGGGAGGGGGCACAAATTCAAAAATCTCTTGAAGTAAAGTGTTTTCTTCGAAATGTACTTTTAATCCTTCAGTTAATATTTCGCGGAAGGATCTCAATTGTATAATTTTTGCCCAAGTGGTGAAATAAACTGTTTGGTTTTTAAACTTGAGTTTTTCTTTTATATGATCACCATCCTATTATAATATAATTATAATATCAGAATTATAAAAATTATAAAAAAATTATGCAAATTATGAATTTTATGAAATTTATATATTATTGGTTAAATACCACTATAAAAAATGGGTTGATAATTACCTCGACAGTTCTCAAAACATCTCTAAATACAGATCTTTGAATTTTACGATCAGCCTTTGCTCGATAACGATTGCTATCAGTAGCCAAAGTGCTCAACATATTTGTCAATTGTTCCATACCATCATAATCAGTATCACCTTCTTCGTCTGACTAATTATGCAAGAATTATTATAAGTATTTAAAAATATTCATAAATTAACCTAAAGAAATAAATCATTTATTTTACATTATCTTCATTTCCCCATCTTTCTGAATCAATTCTTCGCCCAATTCCCAAAGTTTCAAACATTAAAGCTATATTTTCACCACTAGCTACTCTAACTTCCATAGTAGAAGATTCAAGTTGTTTAGTATGATCAGGCATAACACGCTCAAATTCCTCCTTCGCTTTCTGTGTCCCTCCCTTTTGACTATTACTCCATAATTCGGAAAAAATTAAACCATAAGTGTTAAGTGCACTAGTAATTGTGCCAGCATTGTCATATGCATTTACACTTGCACCCGAAGTTCTTATAATATCAGAAAGGAAGTTAAGAAGATCAATAGCTTCATATTTGGATCCGGCTATAAAACAACTCAATCCAAGAGTTTTAATGCACTAAGAAAGTTGAAAACAATTAAAAACATTTTTATCAGTATAAGAATATTTTAAAATTTCATACGCTAGATATTAATATAGTATAATATATATTTACATACCACACTCTTAACTTCGGGAGACGCAGTATTTATAATAATATATTTTAATATTGATACGACTTCTTGAAACATTTCTTCATGTCCTTCACCAAAAGTAATAAAGAGTAATGCCAAAACTAACAACAAAAATAATCATACAATTTTGAACTATTATAAATTATATCACACACACACACACACATATATATAACATGAATTAAGTACCTTTGGCAGCCAAAACATTTTCTTTATAGTTTTTATCTTTTTTTATTGAACGGATTAAGAGATCAAGCAATGATTGTCGTCTAGATTCAAGGAGATAGGCAGAAAATTTACGAGAGAGAAGACGAATTAATTTCGCCAACGCATTTTCCCGAATGCTATTATTATAAAACAATTTGAACAATAATTTTAATGAATAATGGGATGAATAATGTCATTAATGTTAATAATTTTTCAAATTACAAAACATCGAAATCATGATTATATACCTGGTTCTCTTTTCTTCTAAATCATCAACACTTTGTAAAACTTCGTCTTCCCAAGATATTGTTTCTTCGAAAGCTTTATCTTCATTTGTTTTACTGTTATTTGAAGCCCAAGAATCAACAGTATCTCCAGAAGTTTCACTCCAGAGATCCTCTTCGTCAGTATTATGAAGACTACTTAATGGAATATTGTTGATAGCAAGAATACTAACTAATGACGGACCAGTATTATTGTTGTTGTTGTTGTTGCTTGCTCGTCGAGAAGCTCTGGCAACAGCTTTTTTACGTAAATTTCGAGACATTATAGTTGTTTAATAAGAAATACCGATAGAAATAATTAAACAGTTTGAATTTAGTTAATTTTTAGGAGAAAATAAAGAGTTCTCTGTAAGCCAAAAAAAAAAAAAAAATTTGTGCGATCTAATTTATATTACTAAAAATTGATCACCTCATTCAAAAAATTTACTTTGCAAGATGAAATATTTTCGGTTATAGTAAATTTTGGTATTTTGACTATTATATCGATTATTAATATTATTAATATTATATTTAATATTATTTAATATTATTATAATTAATTTCTATTTTTATTTATTCATTATTCATTATGTAAATTTTAAGTTTTTTTTTTTTTTTTTTCGTGTACATCTTTTATTATTTATTATTTTCCATCAAACGTGACATGATAAAAAAAAAAGAATGATTTCATTATTATTATTATTATTACAAAATGAATTGGTAATTAATTAATTAATTAATATTAATTATTAATCATTATTAAAATCATCTAAAATTTAAGCTTCTCTGCTTACTCTGTACTCCTATAACTCGGATTTATTTATTTCAAAAATTCACATGATTATGTTAAAAAATTCCATGTATAATATATAAAATTGCAAAAGAATAAATTGAATCACAAAGTACGTGAAAAATGTTTATATTCTAAATTAAGTTAAAAAAAAAAAAAAAATCGAATTTATATCTTTTTTATAGAAAACAAATAATCTATTATGATGTGTCATTTACAAGTAAATACCAATAAGGATAACGTAAAATTAATTTTTTTGTTACACAGATATAATTTATTACAATATGTAACATCAGTTGTAATTCAAAACCTTTAGAAATTTTTTTATCTATATTATTTTTTTTTATCAGTTTCAGCTTTAAGCATAAATAGTATCTTAAATGGCTTTTTTTTTTTAAGATCTCATTATAATACTGTTTATTTAAAATAAATAATACTTTATTAATTTATTTAAATACACGTAATTAAATAATTAATTAATTACAAAGTTTAACTATTTTCTAAATTTTTATGAATTGGCTTATTATTATCAATTTCATTTAATAATTTTCGAATAAATTTATTAACATTTAAGAATTTATTTAAAAATTAAGGTTAGATTCAAGAAAGAAATCCTTTTAATAAGTCATAACATTTTTTTATATTACCATTAGATTAATGAACTTGATGTTGATTTAGATGGAATTGATGATAACGATACAAGTTATTACATTTGAGTAAGATAATGCATCCAATCTTTATCACTTGGAATAAAAATCTTCTTTTTCTTTAAAATTGATATTAATAATTTAATTACATACTTATTTTTAATATTAGTAAATTTTATTCTTCAATTTCATTTTCTTCCTCAATTTCAGAATTAATTTCGTTAAAATTTGTAGTTTCTCCAATATTATTAAAATTCATTATATTTATTTATTTCTGTAATATTTCAGAGAAACTAGTAAAACTCATTTAAAGTATTTATTATTATTATAAAGAAAAATACAAAAAGTTTTTATTTTGGTAAAAGTTAATGCGAAATTATAAAATTACACAATAATTTCATAATGATAAGATTTTAGGAATTCCACATGATTACACGTTCAGGATCAGTGTAATTATTAATACTAATTAATTTGGCAATTTTTATTTGTAATTGTATTTTTGTTTATTTTATAAATTAGAAAAAGAAAGGAAACACAACGGCAACAAAAGTCACAAACAAATATAAATATAGAATAATAATAATATAATAATAATAATGAATATAATAGTAAATTAATCAGATAAAGATAATGTAAATTATGTAAATAATACAAAGACAATTTTAATTTTTTTTATAATCCTTGTTTTCGCCGGAAAAAATAATTGCCTAAATATTCTAATTCGTAAGGGATTTCTTGAATATAAATAAGTGCATTCATTCTTCACTTCTCTAACATCGACTTTTTTTCTCCTTTTTTTCACTCCCTTTTCTCTCACTCCTTCTATTATTATTATTATTATTGTTACTATTATTATTTGTCATTCGTTATGTTACTCCAATATATTCTTCAATTTAATTATGTTTTTAAGGATGCAATTCGAATACTGGGATTATTTATTTTTGGATATGGATTGATATATTTATATAATGTAATAATTTAATATATTAGAATTTATATAACTTAATAATTGCATAATATAATAATAAATTAATTATATATATTAGATGATTTATTATGCCTATTTTGGACCTCTTAATAAAGTTCCGGGACCAAAGACAACATTCTTATCCGAGATTTTTATTTCATTAAAACAGATAAATGGGAGAAGGTATATCATTTTCGTTAGAATTTATATATATATAATTTTTGATTTTAATAAATTTTAATATTATTATTACCAAAAAGATGGAAATGGTTGCAATATTATGTTGTTCCAAAATACGGACCAGTAGTTCGAATTGGTAAATTTATTTTTTATTAGCACATATTTTTTTTTTTTTTTTGTTTTCTAATAATAACAATTTTTTTTTAAAGCACCTAAAATGATTGTAATTTCTGATAGAGATATTATTAAACAAGTAAAGTATTTTTAAACTATATATTTTGATTTATTTTTGATATATTTTTTGTTAAATTTTTTGTTAAATTTTTTGTTTATTTTTATAGATTTTAGTAACAAATGAATTACCAAAGAGTGCAAAATATGAAAGATTACGTAATGACAAACAATATGATACATTATTTACCGCGAGGTTAGTTAAATGATTTATTATTATTATTTTTTTTTTTAATTTTATATTTATTATATTTTATTTATATTATATTATTATATTTATTAGAGACAAAGATTTTCATAAGAATCGCGTAAGTAAAATTGTTGTGTTATGTGTGTTTGATATAGAATTATTTACCCTTTATTATTATAATTATTTATTATAATGATTATAGCGACGTATTCTCTCACCAGCTTTTTCTATAAAACATCTTACATTTCTTGAAGGTTTTATTCATAGTTGCATTTCAGACTTGGTAAATAAAATGGATGAAATAATAATCATGCAAAATAATAATAATAATGAAGTTGCTAATGTTGATGTTTATAAATTAATTCAATTGAATGCATTGGTATGATTTAATATTTAAATTAATTATTTGTTTCTTGTTTAAAGAATTTTAATTTAATATCGATATAATTTTAAATAATATAATTTATAGGATGTAATCGGAGAAGCAGCATTCGGTGGATCATTCAAATTAGTAAAGAATGGAAATCATCCTTTGCCAAAGAAAGTTTTCAAAGAATTAAGAAGAAGAGTTTGGCAAAGCATGTTTCCTTTCCTTAGATCTTTTATGGGTGTGGATCCTTATCTTATAAATGTAATGATAATAATCTGTTTATATATTTTTATATCTTCTTAAATCTTTATATATATATATTAAATAATTAAATATATTTATCAATTGTTATAAATAATAGTTCATGAATGCACTTATAAAACAACGCAGACAATCCGAAAGCAAAAGAAAAGATATATTACAAATGTTATTGGATACTAAACATTTAGAAGGAGGTTTATCTGATTTTGAAGTTTATGATCAATGCATTGAATTTTTGTAAGTTATTTATGTATCTGTTTGTTTATTTATAATTTTAATCAGATTAATCCAATTAATCAAATTAATCCAATTAATCAAATTAATCAAATTAATCAAATTAATCAAATTAATCAAATTAATCAAATTAATCAAATTAATCAAATTAATTTATTTTCAGAATTGCTGGAAGTGATTCAACAAGTTTTACAACTGCAATGACAATTATAGAATTATCAAAGAATCCTGATAAATTAAAAAGATTATCCAAAGAAGTTAAAGAAACATTAATTGATGAGGATGGTGATGATAACAAATTAATTCCTTCACATAATAAATTAAAACATTTACCATATTTGAATGCTGTAATTAGTGAAGGTCTTAGACTTTTTCCTTCTACATTTGGTAATTATTAATCATATAGTACAATTCTTTACTTTGTATATTTAATATTTATACATTTATTAATTAATTTACTTTTCCCTTCTTTAGATCTTGGTAATTATATCAAAATTTACTAAATTAATAAAATTGATAGATAATAAATAAATAATATAAATAATCAATAAGTAACAATATATAATTATTAAGGTCCAGGCAAACAAGCATCTGAAGACATGGTCATAAAAGGGTATTTTATTCCGAAAGAAGTTTGTATTTTATTTTCTTTTTTTGGTTTACATTTTTCTTTTTTATATTTCTTGCATAATTTTGCATATGTTGCATATAATTTAATATATATATATATATATATTATTATTATTATTTTTTGTATTTTTAATTTAAAGACAATAATAGCAGTTAATATCTTTTATTTACATCGTGAAAAAAAATATTGGGGAGAAGATTCACATGAATTCATACCTGAACGTTGGTTAACTCCTGAAAAAGTACCAACTGATTGTTTTATTCCTTTTTCTGCTGGTATGTGAAATTTAATATATTATCAATAATAATAATAATTATAAATATAATAATAATAATAATAATCAATAATAATATAATAATCAATGATTTTTAGGTACGCGGAATTGTATAGGATTAAAGTATGTATAGTTATGATAATTATAAAAATTATAACAATTACAATAATTAATAATATAAAATATTTAAACTAATTTTACTTTTTTTTTGTAATTTTAGTTTCGCATGGATGGAATTAAGACTTGTAATAGCAACCTTAGTATTGAGATATGAATTTAAAGATATTCCCGGTCAAGATAATGAAATTTTGCAATTTATTACTTCTGGTTTAAGATCGAAAAGTCATTATACAAAAGTTAAATTTCAGTCCAATAATTAATTAAGTTTAATAATCAAACATATTTTATTTAATCTGCAATGTCAGGGATCTGCATGGGAATTTTACTATAATCCTCACTTGTGTAACCAACAATTTTTTTGCGTTTTTAATTGAATAAATAAAATTCAAATTTTCAGCTATAAACTAATTTTAAAATTTTATTAGTAGACTTTAGTTGTAAAAAATAATTTCCTTTTTAATAAAGGTTGCACTTATACTATTTTGATACAATTTTATGAGTATGAAATTTTTGAAGATTAAGATCCTGTCAATATCAAATCAAAATAATCTTTGCAATAAGTGGTTACAAGAGTTTAATATTTAAAAAACAATAATTCAATAAATATAAAGTTAAAGGTTACAAAATTTGTAAAAACATTTTTTTAATGTTAAAGTTATAATTAATATGTAGTGTGTGAAGTTAGCAAAATTACTTCGCATGGTTACACAAGAATTTCTACTAATTGGTAACGTGAAAAATGAACTCTGCATCTGCGTAACCCAAACGCTGATAAAAAACACGTGTTTTCCTTCACTTCTTTCTACTGTTTCTTCTATTTCTCACTGCTAATCTCTTTATCCGTTAATTTTATCAAATGATTAATCAAATTCCTTTATGCTGTTGGTTAGCTTTTCTAGCTTGTCATATTATTTGCTCGCTGTTGCGATTATTATTATTATATATATATATTTTTAACAATTATCATGAGTACCGGAAAAATATCTTTGTTTTTCAAGTATCGTGATCACGGTTCGTGAAGAAATGTATTTTTTTTCTTTTTTTTTAGATATATATAAATTAATATAATCGAGATAATGAAATTTTCGATATTATTACAATTAAATGATGTATTCGTGGTAACCAAATCTATATAATGAACGTTTAACAAAATAATAAAGTAAAATGTACAAATAAATTATTTCTTCATCAGAATATTTTTAAAATTATGGAAGCGTAAAAGGTAATGAACCGAAAGAAAGTTTAATTTTTGTTAAAAACGTTATATTCATGATAAATAAATAATAATAATAATTTTCACGTATATGATATAACAGATCGTGATACCAATATTATATATAATTATTTAATTATTTGCATTACAATGTATAGTAATATAAAACCTTTTTTTTATGTTATTTTTTTTTAAAAAATTATTCGTCATACTTGATAAGCAAGTATTCCTTGCAGTTTTAAAAATTTTTTCTAGTTAATATCACGCGAAATATCACTGTAACCGATGAATACCAAAATTATAATATAAATAAATAAATAATAATTATAAATAAATAATAATTATAGAATAAACGATTGGTGAATTTATGTTTCTTTGTGATTGATCTTTTATTATAAAAATAATAAAAATATTAATTCTAATTTGAGTTTTTTTTTATATATATACATAATGTATTTTTAGGTTTACAAATCCAAAGTATGAGGAATTCTCTTTTAAAATTAATAAAAATATTATTACTTTATATAAGAATTTTTATTTCACTAACACACACACACACACATATATCGTATATAATGATATTATGACATTTTGATTTAGATTAAAAGAAAAAACTGATCACAATTTCACAAAATCTAATTATTGTAATCGACTTTTTTAGTTTTAACAATACATAAATCTATGTATTTTATGTATTTTATGTATTTTCAAGTATTTAAAGTTTATTATTGTATAATTACGTACAGCATATTATTATTACTGGCACAAATGTCTTTATGCATCAATGACATACGGTTTATTTAATTGGTTAAAGCAATTACTTGATAATGTTTCCCGAATAAATCATGATGATGCGTATCCTAGAGGAGGATAAAATGATTTCATTTATTCTACATTTATTCACTTCGTTGGGTTTGATGCTAAAGTGACTCACGAATACCAATAAATATTAAAAACGCCAACAAAATATTAACGATACCAACAAATATTAAAAATGACAACAAATACTAACAAATACTAACAAATATTACGAAAAAATTTGGGGTTGAGTGGAAGACCACAGTAATCTTTAAACGATAATATCAAAAAGAATTATAAGTCATTTGATCATTTTAACCATTGATAACGTGGTAATCATTTCTTTTATTATTAAAATTTATCTCTATTATATTAATATTATCGATAACTATTTTAATTTATAATTAATAATATACATACCATTACTAACTCTATGCAGATTTATTTATTTATTTTCCACTTTTTTTTTATCATAAAATATCATGAGATTCATTGGTACAATGGGATACCATAAATTACTTAGATTATTCTTTTAAAAATTTTTTTTTTAATTTTTTTGCAGTATTAATTATATTGATTATATAAATTAAATTATATTAATTATATTAATTATATTAATTATATTAATTTTATAAATTAAATTATATAAATTATATTAATTATACTAATTACATTAATATCATGACAAATTCAATGTTTTTATCCAACTAATCAAAATGAAACTTTTGAGATTGAATACACATCTTAAAATAGAAAGTATTGCAGAAATACCCCATTATTTTATATGATATAAAAAATGACCTTAACTTTTACCGATTCATAATGATGACATAAAGAGATTAATGTACGTAATAACGAAATATTATTTGAATTTATTGGATCTTAAGTTTAAATTTAAATATTAAAATTAGTATTAGATTTTCTTTAATTTAAGGTAAAAAATCAATATAATTAATAAAACTAATATATAATTAATCTAACCTATATGATATGATTTTCGGTATGATATTTATTTTATAATATAACATATTAGTATAGTAACACGGAATAATTTATTAAAAAAAAAAACATATATGCAAAATGATGTCATTGTGTCATCCGATCCCTTAATGACGTAATGCGTAAATTAAGTGCGTAATTTAAAATTTAATAAATTTAACTCTAATATGATAATTACGTAGATTATGATGTATATTATGTATCACATTATGTATATAAACAAAATACGAAATTTTGTATACGGAATTTATGCATATGAAAATTGTGTATTTAAAGGAATTTTTTCTATAATCAAAAAATGGTAAAATTTTTGAAACCTTTATTTACGATTAATTATCTCATTGTGCAGAAATTTGTTAAAAAATTTCACTAATAGAAATGTTCGTTATAAATGCTCACTGGAAATGGGAAAATATTCACTAGAGATATTATATTCTCGAGCTACTCTTTTTTTTTTTTACACTCTTTTTGTGTACTCTTAATTTTTAATTGTTTATTTTTTTCTAATGCGAATTCAAAGTTCCTAATATTGACATTAAACAATAAACTCAATAAACGGAAAAACTAGGATATAGATAAGGCATAGTCTTCTATAATGTTCCTATATTTTTTTTATCGTAATCTTTGTGAAATACTATTTTTTATATGTATTTTTATTATAAGAATCCGTGATTGTAAAATGTGAATATGTGTTATATGTTAAATAATAAATAGTATAAAATGATATGAACGTGTAAATATTTTTCCTATTCCTATTTTCTTTGAAATAGGTTTATTGTATATTTTTCATTATTTATTTTACTTATTTATTGCATATTTGTAGTACACTTGAAAAAACATGTTCAATACACTCTTTAAAAAATATACTCACCACTTTAAAAAAATATATATTCAAACACTTTAAAAAATATATTCAAATAATTTTATTTACATTTGAAATAAAAATAATTTCACGTTTTTTATATACTTTATTAAGTCTTATTATATTGCTTGTAAATCAATATATATAATAATGCGTAAATAAATATTGAAGCACACGAAAATATAGAATGAACACAAAGAAAAATATAGAATATGTGATATCAAAGAGATTACAAAATAAGCATTAGGAAGATATTAGAGATATTTAAAAAATATTTTAGAGGGACCTTTAAGGTAATGAAAAAGAATTGTTGGACATCGAAAATAAATTAATAAAGAACAATTTTTATAATATAAGTGTTTATTAATTAGTTTAAGATCGTTAATAGGTTAAGTACGATAAAGTAATAGGGACATACATGTATTAGGCGTCATGCTAATGATAAGTAATACATAAAAAAACAAAAAAAAAACAAAAAAAAAAAAAAAACAAAAAAAATCCAAGATAGGTGTGATAGGAAAATTTCATAATTTTTTTAATGATTTTTTTGATTGGAGATTTGCAATCATATCTATTTATTCACCCTTAGATTATGCCATTTAAAAAACTATATAAAGGTTTGGCTCCCGTTTTCATTCTTTTTTTTTTTTTAAAAAAAAAATTTTTAATCTACTTACTTATGAGAAATTATGAGAAAGAAGGAACAATTATATCTTAAATATAAGAATATATATAAAATTATATAACAAATAAACATTTATTTACTCAATATTTACAATGAGTTCATCAAAACCTTCTTCTCTTCCTCATGAAATTTATTTGTCAATATTCTCACATCTATCTATCCCAGATCTTCTTTCTGCTTCACAAGTAAATCAAAATTGGCATAAATCTTCTCTCTCAATTCTCTATGCCAACCTTCATATTAATTCTAAAACTCAATTATCTATATTTCATAAATATTCACTTTTACAACGTCATAATGGATTAATTCGTTCCATTACTTTATGTAGAATTAATCTTGACGTACAAGATAAATTAACTTTGTCAAATGAGTGCAAAGATTTAATTTCCATTAAGTTGATAAAATGTTCAAATTTAACTGCGGAATTTTTAAAGGACTTAGCAAGAAGTAATGCAAAATCCCTAGAAAAATTATGTATTTGGGGTGAAAATAATAGTAATCTTAAAAACTTTAAAAGTAATAAAAAGATTATTAACGATAATAATAAAGACAATAATAATAATAATGATAATAATAATAATAATAATAATAATAATAATAATAACAATAATAATAAAAAGAAAATCATAAATATTAATAAAAATAATAACGATAATATTAATAAAGATAATAATAACACCAATGATAACAACAATAATATCAATAATGAGGAAAAAGGTTGCACCGAGATAACCAATGATTTATTAACTCCCATGTTGAAATTTTGTGGAAATATACATGAATTAAGAATTTGTGGAGCCAAAATAACGGACAATTTCTTGACTAATCTAATTTCATTCAGAGATAACGAAAATAATAAAAATTATAATTATATTCAAAATTTAAACGATACCGACGGTGTCAACAATGTTAACGATTTAAATGATGATTTTATAGGCAACAATAATAATTATTATAATTCAAATGAGAATAACATAATATCTCCTCTTAATTCCCCTCAATCCCCTCAAATCATATCTTCCACCAATATTAATATTAATTCTCAACCAATTGTGAATTGCACTTACCCAAATCTAAGAATGTTAGATTTTACTGAATGTTTTAGTCTTTCCGCATTTGGAATAGCAGAATTATTTTCACCTTCATCTCAACATTTACCAAAATTTCATACCCTTATACTTCAATATAACCCTGAATATGAATTAGATTTAGAATTTTTCGAGTTCATGGCTAATAATTTCAAGTCTCAAGTATTTAAAATAATTATTTTAAATTCAAAAAGGTTTGATTCAAAGAATAGAAAAATCTTGCAAACATTTGCTAGAGTAAGTAAAGATTTAGATGTATTAGAAACGAAAAAAGATAATATACAGGCAATAAAACGTGAAAGAGAAATGACTGATGATGAAATTTTAAGAATGATTGAAGATTAGTTTTTCATTTTCATTTTCATTTTTTTTTTTTTTTGTCATTATTTTTAGTTAGTTCCCTTAATTTAAATTTATTTTAGGAATTAGGAGAATTATAGAAATCATGGAAGTTGAGATGTTTCAAAAAAATTTTTTTATTACCATTTTTATATTATATTATAATTATCTTTCAAATAGTGATAATAATAAAAGAAAGAATTATTTTTAGAAATTTGGTTTTTAAAGATTATCATTTGTATAACAATCTTCAACAAATTCGGATTCAGTATAAAAATTCACAGTTTAAATTTGATATACTGTATATTCGCTTAAGAAGATGACATATTGTCTTTTTATTTACTGCGAGAAACATTAAACAATAAAAAAATTCATAATAATTATGATGACATAATACAAAAAACGGCCATATTTCTCAAATGAGGCAACATGAAATAATAAATTAAAATAAATGCAAAGAATCTAAAAGAATTAGATTCAAGTTTGTACCTGTTAGAAGATATACAGTTTATTGTCATTTTTGTCATTGCGAGGTTAACGCAATAAATACAAATTACGCAGTATGCGTTTCCGTACTGCTCTTTTTTTTTTTTTTTTTTTTGAAGACTTAACAAAATTTAGTAATATTACAATTATTCTTTGGCTACAAAAAGAAAACACAGAAAGAGAAGTAAAAAACCAAAAACATTCACAATAGTTACTGCGTTACGATTATTGCGTCATATTACCGCATATGCTAAATTCGGACGACGTCTTTTGTTTTTCCGTCGAATGTTCTTAAAGAAAAAAAAAAGAATGCAGTAAAAATATTAGTCAGATGGTTTACTTAATCGAATCATCTTCCCCTCATCAAACGTTCGTTACCATAATTAGTACGTTACTGATTTTAAATAAGAATCTTTATTATTACACATAAACATTCATTTGATCAAAAATGATTCTTAAAAAATGAGGCTTTATTATAAATATTTGTTTACAAGATATCATAAAAATATAAGGAGTTTTACTTAAATTACTTGAACAATACAATTATGTCATTATGAATTATAGTACGATCATCCAATTACACGACAACCAATTACAAAACTCAAACCTTCCAAGGGTGATAATTGTTATTCATTTCTCTAATACAAATCCTTATTAGATAATAATAATTATTTTTTATGAGTGTAGATGAGTGGAACATGAAAAAAATAACTTTACAATCAAAAGGGTAATTATTAATCATTAATTGTCAATAGTTAAAAATAGCGGGATCTTTTTTAGATGTTACACAGGGAAAACAAATGATCTATTAAAAAGATTTTTTTTTCAATGTTCTATTCCATGAGGTTTTCATTTTTCATTATTATATTATATAATAATAATCATTTCTTTTTTTGGCAGAAAGATAAAAGCTGTGATAAAAAAAAATTTGAAGGTTTTAAGTACATATAATTCAAATCCCATAATGTTACAAGGTACAATAGCAAAAAACACTTTGGTGGTGTATTCTATCTCTATTACCGAAGGCACGTGGTTTTGGGAATTACCTTGAATTTTATGATCAACCTGTTAAATAGTTCAACTCATTAATAAATTTCCCTCTTTTATTCTCACGGTACTAACAAATTGAGTTTGATACAATCGAATGAATTATTGGTTATTCTTTGAATATTATTACATTATTACGTAATATTATTTAACGATAAAAAGAATATACGTAATAGATAGAAAACATGGTTTTTTTAAATCTCGTTTTTTTTCTTGAATTTATGCTTTTTATGATTCCACCTTTTATAAATTCTCATATGATTTATTTAAAAAACACTACTATTATTACATCATTTTCTAAAACATGATATAAATAAAAGACTTTAATGATTTAACATAATCATAATGATATCATGACAACTTAGAATCTCTTTTATAAGTATGGGAATGGCGTCCACTTTTTTCCATTAAAACTTGGTAAACTCTATCTCTTTGAAGTTTTTTTTTTTTTTGATTTGATTTATTTCGTTTTTTTTTAATAATTTATCAGAAAGTATGAAATTTTAAACAAAAATCAAAATTGCTTTTTTTTACGTTAAAAATCATAAAATTTATATTTATTTATAGAATGGACGACAATTATTTAATTACAAGTATCCCTGAAGTCAAGGTTACAACGGAAAGACCGGTACCTCTCGATTTGGAAGAATCTTTAGGCAATGCGGGTAAAAAAAAAAATTGCGAATTCCCCCTAATTCCCCTAATGTTTGTTTTTAAATATTGGGTTTTTTTTTTCTTTTGTATGCTAAAAAGGCCTTCCTCGTGCGACAATCGCGGCCTCTCGTGAAAAGCCTCATGGCAGTGATAGACGGCAACCCATTCGTGATAGAACTGTTAAGTATTTAAACTCATTCAAGCAATAGAAGAAATTATATTATTAATTTTATTAATTTTTTTTTTTTTTTTTTTTAATTATCATTTATTATTTTTTTTAGGTTTTACAACAACATGTTGACTTTTTTGATGAAGATCGTGACCGTGTTATTCGTCCTTTTGATACTTTAAAAGGTTCCCCTTGTTTTTCTTTCTAAAAAATGATTAATTGATTCACCATGATGATTTCATTAATAAATTTTTTTATGAAATTTAGGACTTCGTAAATTAGGTTTCAATTTTATCCTTGCTCTTTTTTTTACGTTTGCGATCCATTCTGGTTTTGCTTATCCCTCCCAAGAAAGTTGGATTCCGATTCTCTGCAATCCATTCTTTAAGATTTATACTGATAGAATTCATAAATGTAAACATGGTAACGATACAGAGACACTTGATACAGAGGTGAAATATATTTTATATATTCTATAAGATATCGAATGAAATATATGTAATAAAAAATGTTCGCGAATGAATGAAAATATTAAAAAGTATATGAATAATCTATATAGGGACGATTTGTTCCTGAAAAATTCGAAGAAATTCTTACTAAATTTGACCGAGAGGGGAAAGGTGGACTTAGTTTCTCCGATATTGTACGCATGATAAATGTTAATTATAACATTTTTGATTTTTTCGGATATTATTCGTCTTGGATTGAATGGATAGGCGTATATCTATTATGCGCCGAGAATGGGGTTGTGGATAAAGAAAAAATTCGTGGAATATATGATGTATTATATTGATGAAATTTTAGTTTTGAATTTATTTCATTCCTTTCGGTTTTGTTCTGTAATTAATCGATTAATTTTTTTTTTCCTTAAAAACAAAAAAAAAAATAAAAAATAGGGAACTCTCTTTTACCAAATTTCCCAAGAAGAAAGTAAAAAATCACGTCCCGCTGCTTCAGACTTTATTAGTGATGCAAAACGTAGTTTCGGTTTCAAAAATATGTAATCACGTATATATAATCATTCATAAATGTAATCATGTAGAATAATATGTGTAAAATTAATTTGAGATTAAAAAAGTTCAGAAAGTATATGTATATTTTTCACTTAAATTTTTTTTTATTACGTGTTATTTTTGGGCATATTTTCAATCACATAAATTATATATAAAAACACTATCTTTTTCAACTCGAAATATTTCAAAAAAAAAAAAAAAAAAGAAAAATGTCTTTAAAATTTTTTGACGAATTATCTCAAAACTATATTGAACTTCTTAATGATAAAAATGATTATAATGTAATCATTGAAGTTGATAATAATGAAAAATCATTTACAGCACATTCTAATATATTGAATTACCGATCTTATTTTCGTAGAGAATTAGAATATATTCAGCCAAATGAGAATAATATTAAAATATTTACTAAACCAAATATTTCTGCTCAAATTTTCGATGTCATAAGTAAGTTATTTTTTAACATGTATATTGATATTATTTATTATAATTAAAAAAAAACTCTCTCTCACGATTATTAATTAGATATATTTATGGAGGAATTATTAAATTGAAGAATGTCAAAACAAGAAATATTTTTGATTTATTGTTAGCTGCTAATGAATTTGAACTCGAGGAATTGACTACGAAATTAGAAACTTTTCTAGTTGAAACTAAAGTCACTTGGTTAAAAACATATTTTACTCTTATTTATTGTTCCATTTTTAGTAAAAACAACTTTAAAAAATTGGAAATATTTGTAATGATATTATTGAAAAGTATCCAAATCTTATTTTTGATGGATCTGATTTTACTTCTCTTCCTGAATTTGCATTAGTTTCAATTCTTAAGAGAGATGATTTGCGAATGAAAGAAATTAAAATTTGGGATTGTGTCATTAAATGGGGAATTGCTCAGAATTTTAATCTTTCTATGAACCTTGAAGAATGGAACAAGGAGAATTTTTTTGAATTAAAAACCACTTTACAACAATGTTTACCACTTATTCGTTACTTCCATATTTCAATTCCGAAATTATTGACAAAAATAAACCTTACAAAAAGATTCTTGATAAAAAACTTTGGGAAGATATTAAACAACATATGGCAATTCCTGATCGACCAATAAAATCAATTATTTTACTACTTCCACCATCATCTCTGAAGAACATACGATGGAAATTTCCAGTTGGATTGAACTAATTATTCAACAACAAATATTCCATATAAATTTGAATTAATTTTAAGTGGAACTAAGAATGGATTTTCTCCGCAAACTTTCTGGAATATTTGTAATGGTCACGTTGGTACAATTGTGGTAATGAAAGTCAAGGAATCAGATGAAATTATTGGAGGTTATAATCCTTTAGTATGGGATAATAATATGTTGATTCTGGCCAATGGATGGAAACAAATGATAGTTTCATTTTCTCACTAAAAAATGGAAAAATTCAAAATTCAATTCTTAGCCGAGTGAAAAATCCCAAATATGCAATTCTTAATGTACATAAAGATAATCAAAATAGATATGGACCATATTTTGGAGAAGACCTTCGCATAATTGATTTCCACGATTTGAATATTTATATTTATCATTATCATTATGAAAAACCATTAACCTCATCATATTACTTTTCAGTTATAAATTATGAAGTATTTAAAGTTGTTAGAAAATCTTTAAAGAGTTGAAAATTATAATTATAGAACTGAATTTGTATTAACAAATTATGTTATAATTGATATAATTGATATAATTGATATAATTGATATAATTGATAATTAGTTATTAAACCCTTAATAAAACACATTATTTGTTGTGATCGCGCGTTTATATCAATATCAATAAGTGATAAGTAATTATATATTTTTTTTTACATCGCATCGTTAATCAAAGTGATATCTCTTATGTCTCACTCTTATTGCAAAAAGTCAATTATATAAAAAAAATTTTTTTTTTTTTCAAATAATTTCTGATTGTAAGAATAACCCATCGTTATTATCATTTGTTGCTCGCACAAAAAAAATTCAAATAGAATAAAATAGCAAACGATAAAATTTTTATCTAAAGAAATGTCATCAATCAATCATTTGTTACATGCATAATTATTTATTTGGATTCAAAAAAAAATTAACTACAAAATTAATTACTCCAATTATGTCTCAATCAATTCCGATCGTAGTTTCTTTTGTTTCATTTTCAAATTGTTTCGTTAATTTACCACCTTCGTTTTCTTCATACCTTTATGATCAAAAACAGGTAAAAATCAATTCTTAATAATCAAGTAAAAATAAAAAGTAATTTTTTAATATACACTCACATATCTATTTTTAATTTTTTTTTTTTTTTAAAAAAAGTTACTCCCCCAAAATGTTATTTTAGAATTATCATGGAATAATTCTAATAATAAAATATATGTTGGATGGTCAGGAAATTCTACAAACAATCAATACTCAACAGAAACTATTGAAATTGATACACAATTTGGAAAGGCTAATGGATTACATGAGGGTCAAAAGGTGATTATTTTTTTTTTTTGTTTAATATTAAAGATAAATATTTAATTTTTATTTATTCTATTATAAATTATAGATATTAAAGATATTAATTGTTATTATTTTTTATTCTGTTAAATTATAGATATCAATGAAATTTTGTGAAATGGGACCTGAAGCGATAACAGTAAATGTTGAACCATGTAGTGTTGATGATTGGGAAATTATTGTAGGTTTTTTTTTTTTTTTCAATCATACAAAGTGAATTCATATTTATTATTTTATTTTAAATTAATTATTATTTATAATTAATTAATTTTAATTTTATTATTAAATTATTTATATTCATTATTTATATTTATTATTAAATTGATTAAAGGGTAGTCGAGCTGATTACATAGAAAATATCTTTAATCAACAATTACGAGTTGTTTTTCCTAATGAAAAAGTTGTTCTCTGGGTAAATTCAAATTTAATACAATTCAAAATAGGTAAGATTTAATAATATATTTGATATATTTAATACATTTAGTATTATATGTAAATTAAGATGTTTTCTTTTTTTTTTTTTTCTTGAAAATCAAAAGTGGAAATATATCCCAAGAGTGATTTTGCAAGATTAGGTTCAAATGTAGAAATAATTGTTTCACCTAAACCAAGAAAGAGTTTAAATGAAGATCTCAAACATTCCGAAACTAAAGATATAACATCTACTGGTGTAATTAATTCCCATGTTGTATATTGTTTACGGTTATTACCTGCAGAAATTCTTTCAAACGATTTATTATTACAATCAAAAAATAATAATAATTTTTGTTCAGTATATGTTCATCCTAAAGATTTTCAATTTATTGGATTATCATCAAATTTGAAAGTTGCCAAAATATCTAAAGTTCCAGCTCCTCATAATAACAAAGATCCTGAAGAAAAAACTGAAAATGGCGAAAAAATTAATATGTCAGATTCATTATATGTTAAAGTTTTAGAGAATCCTAATGTAGTAATTGGACATGTTGTAATGTCAGAATCAATAATGGATTCTATTGATGCAGAGAAATTTGACATTATTCGGTAAGTAATTTTTAATTATAACCAAAGATTTATAATTAAATCAAAATAAAATAATATGTAAAAATAATAATCTTTAAATTTTAGATTTATTCCTTTACAATCCGAACCTTCTCAAGTGTCTAATATAAGAATTCATTTTATCTCAAGACATTCAAGGTTTCATGAATGATTAAAGTATAGTTAAAAAAATAAAATAAATAAATAATAGTTAATTACAATATTTCTAAAAATTTTATTTCTTATTAGTTCAACAGCTGTACCAGAGAAAATTTCATTTCCCGAAGCATTAATGAAATCTTTCGAAGGTGATCTAATTATTAATTATAAATTATTGATTACTAATTAATCAATTATTAATTAATTAATTTATCTTATTAGCTTGGATGGAATCATTATCAGAATCAACAAAAATAGTTTTGACAAATGGAATGAAATTATTTTTATCACCAGTACGTGACGAAATGAATGTCTTAATATCTTTTGATACCAAAGATATCTCAAATGTGCATGACGTTCGTCACGGTATAATTGATTCAATAGACGCATATACGATATTGACAAAGAATCAATTATTGGATATTAAAATTGAAATTGGTGAAAACGTTTCAATACCTGATCATAAACTTTTGAAACAGTAAGCATTTCTTGATTTATTTTTTATTAAAATTAAAGTAATTCTTTTTTTTTTTTTAATGAAAGAATTTTTTTTTTAAATTAAAGAATATATTTTTGTTTTTAATTAATGTAAATTTTTAGTTCTGGACATTTACCACAACTTGCTGGAGTTGATAAATTAATTCAAAGACTACAAGATTATTTAATTTATTGTCTTGGAAAAGTTTCTATACGAGATTCATTAAATGTTCCAGGTTAAAAAAAAAAAAAAGAAATCTGTTTTTTTTTTTGATTTATTTTTAGATATTATTATTAGATTTTTAGATATTAGATATTAATTATTAGATATTAAGATTAAAAGATTAAATAAAATATTATTCTTTAGGCTTAGGAGGGTTATTATTATGTGGAGGACGTGGATCTGGTAAAACTTGTATAGCGAAAACTGTTGCATCTAATTTACAATATAATTTAGACACTTTAGCCTGTAAGTGAAATATTATATATATATAATTAATTTATATTATTATTGAGATTATTTATTATAATTGAGATTATTTATATAATTGAGATTATTATTATTATTATTATTATTATATTAATTTAGATTGTTCAGTTATCAAATGTATTGAATTATCAGAAGATCGAATTTCTTCTGTTAGGGATAAATTACAACAATATTTTGATGATGCAGCTTGGCATACTCCAAGTATATTATTGTTTGATGATCTTGATAAACTTATTCCAGCAGAAGTTGAAGTATTTATTATTTCATTATTTCATTATTATTACTATTATTATTATTATTATTATTATTTTTATTATTATTATTTTTTATTATTTTATATTTATTATTTAAATTTTTTTTATTTAGCATGTGGATTCTTTCAGATTTCGACAATTGGCAGAATGTTTCTTTCACGTTGCATCTAAAATGCTTAAAAAGCATCGTATTACCATTTTAGCTACAGCACAACAATCATCTTCAATTCATTCATTTCTTACTACAAGTCATTTGTTTAGTGAAATTGCTCAATTAAATCCTCCCACTAAAACAGAGAGATGTGAAGTAAATTTTTTTTTTTTGAATAAATTTAATCAATTTAATCAATTTAATCATTATTTATTTATTCGGATTATTTAATAATTATAATCTTTTGATATTTAATAATTATAATATTTAATAATTATAATATTTATTTATTTATATTTTAGATATTGAAAGCAATTATGTCATCAGGCCCTGAATTAGTTAAAAAAAGTATTTCAAATATTGATTTACTTTCAGTTGCAAGTGAATGTGAAGGTTATTTAGCAGCTGATCTTAAAGCATTGGTTGAACGTGCTATACATGAAAGTGCATCCAGGCACTTGATTGAAAATAAAGATGAATCGAAATTCTCATTTAAACAAGAAGATTTTATTAAAGCTCAAAAAGATTTCATACCTTTTTCATTAAGGGGAGTGAAATTACATACTTCGGATGTTAATTGGTCTGATATTGGAGGTAATTTTATATTCGTATTATTATTATTATAATTTAATTAATTTAATTTATATTATTATTATTATTATTAAAAATTTATATTTATAATAAATATGAAAATAGGTCTTGAAGAAACCAGAAAAATTTTAATGGAAACTTTAGAATGGCCTATTAAATATGCACCTATTTTTGCCAATTGTCCTCTCAGATTACGATCAGGGTAAATTTGAATTATATATATTTATAATAATATTTTTAATATTCTTTTATATATATAATTAATATTTCTTAATATTTTTTTTTGTAGACTTCTTTTATATGGTTTTCCCGGTTGTGGAAAGACATTACTTGCATCTGCAGTTGCAAAAGAATGTGGATTAAACTTTATTAGTGTTAAAGGTCCTGAACTTTTAAATAAATATATTGGTGCTAGCGAAGCATCGGTAATTATTTGTTATTATTATTTTTATTAAATAATTATTAATATTATTTTATTCTTTATTCTTTATTAATATTAATACAATATTATTTATTGTTTATTTATTATTTTTATTAAATAATATTAAGTATCTTTACCTTTTTTTTTTTTTAATAATAATAATATAGATACGAGATCTTTTTGAACGTGCACAAGCTGCTAAACCTTGTGTTTTATTTTTTGACGAATTTGATTCGATCGCACCCAAAAGGTAATCATAAGTTTTTTATTCTTTTAATATTTTTTTTTTTAAATAATAATAAATTCTTGTTATTTATTTATTTAAATAGAGGGCATGACAGTACAGGTGTAACTGATAGAGTAGTTAATCAAATGTTAACTCAAATGGATGGTGCTGAAGGTTTAGATGGAGTATACGTTCTTGCTGCTACAAGGTAAATGAGATTCTGGGTGGTCGTGTGTTTTATCGCTCGCATATAATTTCTTTATTATTTTAATTAATTGAATTAATTGTGATTATTTATAGTCGCCCAGATCTTATAGATCCTGCATTATTAAGACCTGGACGTTTGGATAAGTCATTGTTTTGTAATATCCCTATTAATCAAGAAAGATTTGAGGTTATTTTTTAAATTTTAAAAATTTATTTTATTTTATTTTATTTTATTTATTTATTTTTTATCATATCATTATTTTGATATTGATTGAATTTTTTATTTTATTTTATTTTATTAAATTTTCAAAGATATTAAAAGCTCTTTCACGGAAAGTTAATTTAAGTAAAGATATTAACTTAAATTATTACGCTGAAAAATGTGAAGGATATTCAGGAGCTGATTTACAAGCATTATTATATAATGCTCATTTGGAAGCAATTCATGCAGAAATTGATGATAGAAAAACTTTAGAAAAAAATGTATCAATTACAGATAATGTTAATTCTAATGTTAATGGTGTTGATAATATGAATTTCACTTTTTTTAATTTGAATTCACAAAAAAGAATGAATTCAATTTCTACTGCTGCAGAAAAAACTCAAATTTTAGAAAGAGTAATTGATAATTATTTAATTATTTATTTTCTAATTATTTGATTTTGACTTTTTTTTAAAAAAATTTTTTTAATTACTTGATACTTATTTGTTAATTATTTACAACTTGCAGCTCACACTTATAAAACAAGGATTTTCTTCAAAGAAAACTATCAAAGATGAAAAAGAGGAGAAAAGTTCAATACAGAATAAGAAGGTATATTTAATAATTACATATGTTTTTTGTAACATGTGTTATTATATTTTATATATTTTGGTTAATATTTTAAAGATATTAAGAAATGTTTACTTATTTATTTATGTAGGTTATTATAACTGATGTTCATATGCAAAAATCTTTAAAAATTACTCATCCTTCAACAACGCCTCAAGAATATTCAAGATTGGCTGAAATGTATGAATTAATTGTTTTTATTTCCTATTCTAATTTTTTCTTTTTGAATAATTTTAATAATAATTTTTTTTATATATTTATAATAGATATAAAGAATTTATTACTGGAAGAAATGGAGAAATGCCTAGTGGAATATCAAGTCATGAAATTGGTCAAAGATCTACGTTGTGTTAATATTATATTATTATTATAATATAGTAGTATTTATTTATTAAAATGTAATTATAAAAATTTCTGGCTAAAAGAATAAAACATCATCAATGTTGACAATTGTCTTTATATTGGTTGATTAAATTTTCCTTTATCAATTTTGACACCCAATATTTGTGTTTTCATTGTCAAAATTACATAATTCTGATTTTCTGTCTATGAAATTTGCTAGAATTTAACAAAATTTTTAAGTTTTTTAAAAAAGATAATAATAACAAGTTCTACTTCACTATCATATAAAAGTGAAATATATTACATAATTTATTTATTAATCATAATTATTTTTTACTTCATAATAAACAAATTACGATATTTTCCTTTTTTTATAATTATTACACGTTATATTTTGATTATTACACTTATCCGTATACTCTTTGGAATGGAAAATAGAAATTCACTCTCTTTAAAACTCTTCGAATTTGTTGTTTGCTGCTAACATTTGTTATTACAACCAAAGGTTTTATTATCTCATCGTATATTTTAAAGTCTTTATTCAAAAGAGCTTGAGGAAACATTAAAACCAATAGATCTTACACGCTTTGAAGAATTCGATGTGCTTTGTGCAAAAAATTGTTGATAAAACGGAATAATTACTTTTAAATAATGTCAGACATAATAAAATTATTCATTTTGTCTGCCATTTTCCTTTCTTATAGATTTGATCTGTGTGTGATATGATAATTGACTCGTTTACTTGCAGATAAATTATTATTTATGATTTATTGGTTATTCAAATTTATCCCAGGATAAAATAATTCTAGAAACAGTACAAATAAATTTCAAAAAAAAAAGAATAACTAAATAAATTTAACTTAAATAATAACAAATAATCAAAAATAATATTTTCTATTTTTTTAATCAGAATAATTATTATTGTGCTTGAAAAGTTCTCATATGAGAAATGCCTTATAAATAATTAATTTAATATTTCAATGAATAACTTATTTAAAAAAAAAATTGCATTAAAATAACTTAACTTTAATGATATAAAATAAATATCTTATAATACAATGTAATGTTTTGGTTAAATATAAAAAATCAAAAAATTTTCTTTTTATTTACTTATCGAATATTTCGACTAATAAATCCACCCCCATTTTCATTTTCTTTCGTTAACCAGTGCACAACTTTTATAATATCTTTCTCGGTTCCACGTATTTCACATCCTTCATAAAAGAAGTTTCCAACCATATATTGGCTATTGATACAACCATTATTTGCAACTTCTTTGAACCATTTAAATGATTTCATTTGATCGCCCTCATCAATGATCCTAAATTAAACTGTGCTAAAGAAAGTTATTTTTCAGCAGCCTTCAAATACCATTTAAATTATTCTTCTTACTCACACCAATACCACGATCATAACATAAACCAGTATTACGCATTTCCAGCAAATGCAGATTTATATACCATTGAAATTCTTTAATTTCATCTTTTGATACATTTTCAGTTGAATAACTACATCATATTGTGCTACAGGATAGCTAATTTTAAATATAATTCAAATGCCTTTTCTTCATTTTTTTTTAACATCAAATCCTCAACAAAAATGCACATGCACAAAGGGATCTTTCATCAGCAACTTTAGATAAAATTTGAAATGCCTTTTTACTACATCTAAATGCAAATCTGCTGCACAGTTTCCGCATTGATGATGAATTAGCAAATAAGATATTATTCAAACGTATCAGTTATTTCGTAATTAATAATCGTCCCAATATCATACAAGAAAAAAATCCTATTAAGCTAGTAAATCAATAATGAGATGGATGTCTAATCATTTCATTTTAGAACTTTAAAATTGGATAATTGATATGTTTTCTAATATAATTTTTGGTTAAAATTGGTAGCGTAAATCAATTAATAAAAGGAGAATCGAAATGAACTTCTTGTTCATTATTTTGTCTTAAAAAATAAAATTTTACAACTTAAATTTTTTAGGAGATTTAAAAAAAAAATATAGAAAATAAATTATAATTAATGCAACTTACTTATTTGACTTTCATCTGTTATATAATGAGGGTGAGAATTTTCAACTTTCAATGCTTAAATCAGAAATGTTGATTTTAGAAAGATTTTTAACTACTTGAGAAATGTCTGGTCATGAATTTCCATCGTGCTTCCAGCAATCTGTTAAATAGATTATACCGGCATATAATTCCTGATATTTAGAAGGTATTCCAGGTATAATCATTTCCCTTCTGCCTTCACAATAATATTTTGATGAGGACTCCCATTTCAAAAGGAGATTTTTTCGCTAGGAATCTCCCAGAGAGTAATTCTCAGACTGAAAATATCCGAACATTCATTTTTTCAATTGTGTTAGGATCAATATATTGGAATTTTAATAATTCAAATGTATGTTTAGATATTCCAAAGTTATTTAGTTTAATATACTCATAATGAACAAGAATATTTTCAGAGTTCTAATTAAATCATAAATAAATAATATTAGAAATAATTCAAATATTCTTACTTAAAAACGAATTATACAGTATCAAATAATTACCATTTCTCAATACACCTGCTATATGTTTCGCGAGATTTAATTTTGCATTCCAATCATTTTTTTGGAAATTGATATTGGCAAAGAGAACCATCATATAATTATTGGAATTCTCTATAAAGATAAATAAATAAATCAATAACTAATTATCTGTGTTTTTTAAGCATAAAATTTGAATATTTATATTTTACCTTGTTCAGTAAGAACCTAAGAGTGCTATTTCTAATTTTCGAAGTCTTTTTACCTTATATAATTAAAAATAGTAAACAGAAAAAAATTTAAAGCAAATTCAATAGTAGAATAAATAATTTAATTTAACTCACTTCATTATTAAGTTATCCAAAGTAAATTTTATCATTTAAAGAAACATTTAAGAACTGATAAAATTTAAAAGTGACTTTATAAACATTTCCACCAATTAATTTTACATTCTCAAATTCCGAATATTGATAAAACGGGATATTTTTCTTTTTGAAAATTATCTTCAATAATCAAATTGTCCATCCTGGTCTTATGGCTTCAGGATTATTTTCTTGAGGTTATTTCATTAGTACACCGATTTGCATTTTTTGGTAAAAATCTTAAATTAGGAGTGCATGGTTGGTGAACTGTATTAAATTCGTCCCTTTTACTCTTTATGTTTTTTTTTCAAAATGCGCAACCTATTTTTTTTTTTAAGAAAATCAACCATTTTCATATATACAATATATAAATTCAATAGTTCATTATCATGATCCATCTCTAAATCGGGTAACATAAATCTTCCAGTTTTTTCAAATAATGAATTGCGGGTAAAAGTTATAAAACCACAAACAAAGAGATAGATGCATGCTTCAAATGTTATTTTGCAACATAGTTTCAAGTAATGATATTTTATCAATGATATTAATGCCTCTGTTTATGGAATATCCATTCCTCCATATATTTTAAAATATTTTAAATAATGTTGATTACGAATGAATAAAATTCTTTTCTTCGCTAGAGTTTAAAGCATCTTGAAAAAATTCAGAAAGTTATCAAAAAAAAAAACTTAATGATGAATTTACACTTCTTCGGATAACGTGTAAAAGTAATCTATAAGTTCAATAATCTGTATTATTATTATTATTTTGTTGTGTTATTTATTTGCAAGTAAGAATAAGGATTCTTTAAAAAAAAAATAAAAAATATATATACAGGAAAAAGTATATGAGAAAATTTGAATATTTTATACCAGAAGAGTTAAGAGTTAAATTTTTTACTAATTTCTAGTTCTTATCTCAATAAACAATGATATGAATAATAATGAATAATAGAATTTGTTTTCTTTATCAAAAATAGGCAAAACATTCGTGGATTACTGACATTACAACTACATTACAACTACATTACAACTACTAACACTACAACTATGATAACTACCAACATTACATCTACAACTACTGTTACAATCAGGATTTTTTAGAAAATAGGTTACGCACAATCCAACTACCTTGACAAAACAAGAAAAAGTAATCTCAACTGACAAATAGATTTTTTTTTTTGTAGTTCGTTTAAAAACCAAAAATTTTTTTTAAATCATTTCTATATTTAGAAAAGGCGGTATTCATTTATCAAACAATAAAATAATCTTAGCAATGCTTCAAGATAATTTTCAAAAAGAAAATATCCCGTTTTATCAATATTCGGAATTTGAGAATGTAAAATTAATCGGTGGAAATGTTTATAAAGCCATTTTTAAAATTTTTCAAAAAACTGTTGCTCTTAAATGTGTTTCTTTAAATGATAAATTTACTTTGGATGACTTAATAATTGAAGTGAGTTAAATTAATGTATTTATTCTTTTATTTGAATTCGCTTTTAATATTTTTTTTTTTTTTACTATTTTTTAATTATATAAAGATAAAAAGACATCGAAAATTAGAAATTCATGATAGCATTCTTAGGTTTTATGGTATCATTAAGCAAGGTAAAAATATAAATATTTAAGGTTTTTATTTTATGATTAACAAACACAGATAATTAATTATTCATCTGTTTATTTTATATTTATAGAGAATAAAAATAATTATATGATCATTCTTGAATATGTTAATAATGGATCTCTTCGTCAATATTTGAAAACAAATTTTCAAAAGATAAATTGGAATATAAAATTAAATCTTGCGAAACAAATTGCAAATACATTGATGTATCTACATTCTAATAATATTATTCATGGAAAATTGGTAATTATTATTCTTATTTATAAATAAATTTCTCAAGTGATTTATTATTAATTTTATTTATTTTATGATTTGGTTAGAATTCTGAAAATATTCTTGTTCATAATGAGAATATTAAAATAAATGACTTTGGATTGTCTAAACATACATTTGAATCATTAAATTTTCAATATATTGATCCTAACACAATTGAAAAAAATAAATGTTCGGATATTTTCAGTCTGAGAATTATTCTCTGGGAGATTTCTAGCGGAAAATCTCCTTTTGAAATGGAGTCCTTATCAAACATTGATTTATTAAATAACATTGTGAAAGGCAAAAGAGAAATGATTATACCTGGAACACCTTCTAAATATCAAAAACTATATACTGGTATAAATTTATAATAATTTATTAAATAATTATATTCATTATAAATTATTTATATAAATTAAATCTATTTAATACGTAGATTGCTGGAAGCACGATGGAAATTCACGACCAAAAATTTCTCAAGTAGTTAAAAATCTTTCTGAAACTTCTTGGGATATAACAGATGAAGTTAATTATGTTAAATTGAAAAATTTAAATAAGTAAGTCGAATTATTTAAATTTTATAAATAAATTTTATACATATTTTAAATCCCTTAAAACATTTATTAAAGTTATAAAATTTTATTTTTAAGACAAAATGATGATATCTCTACTGAAATCAATAAGACTATTAAGGATTTATTTGAATTTTTCATTGATTTATACGAAAAACAAAATCCAAAAATGCATCCAACTATGATCAAAAATTATTTTAGAGAATGCAACAAGAATCCAGTTAAAGTTCTAAATGAAATGATTAGACATCCATCTTATTATTTGTTTACTAGCTTAATAGGATTTTTTTATTTTTATGGTATTGGGACTGTTTTTGATGTCAAAATGGCATTTGAATTCTTTAGTTTAGCTACCAATGAAATTAAAAATATGAAAAATATTCCATCATCGTTAAGGAAATTGTACAAACTCAATAATGAAATAGGATTCATCTATGTTGCGAATATGCATTTAAATGGTCAAGGTGTTAAAATCGATAGAAAAAAGGCATTTCAGATGTATTCGAAAGTTGCTGATAAAGGATCCCTAATAGCTTTAAATAAAGTGGCATATTGTTATGAAGTAGGATTTGGTGTTGAAAAAAATGAAGAAAAAGCATTTGAATTATATTTGAAATCTGCTGAAGAAGGATATCTGGTAGCACAATATGATGTTGGCCGTTGTTATACAAACGCAAAGGGAATATCAAAAGACGGAACTAAAGGGTTTCAATGGTATATAAAATCTGCACTTGCTGGGAACATTTTTGCTATATGTAATGCTGGTTATTGTTATGATTGTCATAAAGATGTAAAAGAAGCATTTAAATGGTATTTGAAGGCTGCTGAAAAAGGATGCTCTTTAGCACAATATAATTTAGGATGTTGTTATAAAGATGGCAAAGGAATTGACGAGGATCAAGTGAAATCATTTGAATGGTATAAAAAAGCCGCAGAAGATGATTATACTGATGGCCAATATATGGCTGGAAATTATTTTTATCAAGGATGTGGAACTGAAAAAGATATTATAAAAGCTATAAATTGGTTAAATAAAGCAAATGAAAATGGGAGTGCAATAGCTTGGGACTTATTAGAAGAAATAATTGATAGGTAAATAAATTTTTTTAAATAAATTATTCATTAAAATATTAAATTAGAAATATAAGAAAGAATAATATAAATAATTTATAATATTTATCAGCATTTCTCATATGTGAGAACGAAAACTTTTAAAATTATTTTGATTAAAAATAGAAAATATTATTTTCTTGATTTTATTCTCAACAATAAAATTAGATTAGCTTATAAATTATAAAGAATTTATTTATTTTCTTTCTTTCTTTTTTTTTTTTGAAATTTACTTGTTTCTAGAACTCTTTTAAAAAAATTTATTGAAGAATTATTTTATCCAAGATAATTTAAAATGATCAATAAAAGTTTATTATAAAGAATAATTTATTATTAGTCAAGTAAACGAGTCAATTATTCATGACGTGAGTAAAATGAGTAAATAAAACTTTTGGTTATAACAAGAAATAATAGCAGAAAACAATGAATAATTTAGTAAGTATTAAATGCATATATTTTATTCCTGTTTTATTTTTTCTAGGAAAATATTCTATAACTCTTGCTCTGTTAATATAATTTTTTTTATTTTGTTTTATTTTTGAAGAGAATAAAATATTAGCATATAATTTATTAGTTTCAATTCAACTTTTATAACAAACCCACTAAATACCGATAATAATGATGATAATATTGTAATAACGGATGTGACAATTTTGATTCCTTAATCTAAATACGAAGAATAATTTGTAGAGAAAGTTTTAATATAAAAATTAAGGTTATATTATTATTATTATTATTATTATTATTATTATTATTATTATTATTATTATTATTATGAAACGGATGGTTACAAAAATGGATTCAAAAATATGTAACATGTGAATTATAATGACACACATGGCACAACGTGCACATGGGTTTTTGGAATTTCGAAACCATTTGAATTTCTCCCAAGAACTGTGCAATATAAAAGTCGAGGAATATTTTAATTATGGCTTCTACATTTTCTTTTGAATTGATTGTGAAATCTGATCGATGTTTTCGTTTGGGCAGAATAATATGTTTGCGAAACAAAGAAAGAAAAGTTATGAGTACACCAAATTTTCTAGCTTATACCGTTCGTGGCTCAGTTCCACATTTGACTCCAGATAATTTGCGTGAAATTTCTGTTGAAGCATTGGAAATTCCACTTGAAAATTTGTGAGGTTCAATCATCCATTATTTCGTGCATCTTAAAAATTTATTAATTCAAGGGATTTATTATAAAAATGATTTTATTTTTAGCTTAGAAATTCAACCTCCCCCATCATCTTTATATCCACACGGAGCACATAAATTCTTTAATTTTGAGAATTTATTGTTATTTTTTGATATTCGTGATCCAGGAGAATTAAAACAAGTTTCATTTAACACTGATAAATTTGTCTCTGTTTTCACTCTTCACGGTGTTTGTAAAGTAAGAATTTTTAATTTGTTTCATCTTGAAAAAAGGTATATTGAAAAGAAAATATATTGAAAATACATTTAACGAGATTTCTCACTAATTAATAATTTTTTATCATAGATCACATCAGATACTTATGTTAAATACATTAATTCATATAATCCAGATGCAGTTATAAGTTTAGCAGACATGACTACTTTTCAAAAAACTCCAGGTTTAAAAAGAATTAAGAAATCTGTCAATAGAACTTTGGATTGGTTAGATTATGCATTAGAAAACATAAAGGTTCAATTTTTTATTATTATTATCAAAATACTTTATAATGAATTGATTGTTCATATTTGCTGTACATATTTATTGTATGAATTAATAGGAAGGAATTCAGATTTTTGGGGCGTTAGTTGGACATAATAATCATGAAGAACGAATTAGGTCGGCACATGAGACAGCAAACAGGAATGTGGCTGGTAAAAATTAAATTTATTTTCTTTAAAATTTTGATCAATTTTTAAAATCATTTAATATATGTAATATGTTTACATATAATAGGATTTTTATTAAATGGTCTTGATCTTGGGACTACATCAAGAGAACGTTTAGATTTATTAAAAATTTCAATAAGTAATCTGCCGGATGATAAACCTCGAATTGCATATGGCTTTGAGAATCCAGGTAAAAACTCTCAAAGGTTATTACATTTATTTGAAATATTCTTAATATTTTTAATATTTTTCTTTTTAGTGGATATTCTTAGAGGGATTTTTGAAGGAATTGATATTTTTGATGGTAGTTATCCTTCAAAAAAAACTGAAGAAGGAAATGCACTCATATTCACATTAGAAAATGAAGAATTAATCAATGATGATGATACAGGGAAATCACTGCTCCTCTATCTTCATGATGAAAAATATAAAACAGACTTCCGACCTTTATTATCTTCATGTAAATGTTATGCATGTCGAAATCATACAAGAGCGTATATTCATCATTTGTTAAAAACACGAGAGATGTTGGCAACTGTGTTATTGATGAGGTAAATGAATTAAATAAAAATTGATGAATATTTTATGATCTTCCATAATATATATATATAAAATGTGGTAACTAAATCTTTTAAATCTTATAAATATTTTTTTTTAGCCATAATTTATATCATTTTACTCAATTTTTCAAGAAAATTAGAGAACACATCGAAAAAAATAGTTTCATAAATTTTGTTAACCAATTTTGTCAAAGATACGAATCTGAAACCATTTATCAAATACAATAAGAAATACAGGTTATAACATTCAAGTTTACATTTGTTTATTTTTTTTTGTCCTTTATTTATGAAAGATTGTATATATTTTATTTCAAGTATTTTTACGCAATAATTTCCTGATTAAGAATCTCTAAATTATTATATGTTTGATGATCAATTGCTTTTTAAAGTTTTTATTTTGTTCAAATAGAATCTTTGCGAAGTTTATATAACAATGTAAAAAACTTTAGTAAAATATATTGTTAAATTATAATATTTATTTTTATAAAATTCGAAATTCGAAATTATATAAATTTAGTGAAAACACAGTTGAAATTAATAATTATAAAATTTTCCCTCTGGTCTGGACGTTAGTTCAATTACTTTGCACCAGATGACACACTAATATATTGTTTATAATAACAAAAGAAATTGCAATTTACACACGTACTACACACACAATTTACTAATCTTTTTTAATACCGTAATATTATTATTAAAAATGTTATACAGATCTTTGACGCGTGTTTTCGTTATTAAGCTATTAAGTTATTAACAATGTATACAATTAAATTTAATCACATGCCAAATTTTATTGGATCCTACATATCACTCATACAATATATGTTCAACAGCCTTCTAACTCCACAACACAAAAACATCGATCATACTCAAACATTCTAAACTCATATATAAATAAAGGCTATATAAACATAAAATAGATTTTCTAATTAAAGATGATAACCAAGTTAGATTTCCTGGAACCTCAATATAACACACATTTCTAGAATTAGATACAAATGGAATAGATTGTCAATAAAGATTTTCCCATTCCCTAATATTATGAATGAAGAAAAACAGGACAATGGAGTTTTTTTTGCAGAGAAACATAAACCAAAATAGATAGATTTACTAAATAGAATAACCAAATTTTTTTGTTCATCAATCAAAATAGGTTATTTGCAAATGTATTGATTTTATAACCTAGAATTTTATTCATTGAGAATTCTGTAATAATTATTTTTATATTATTTGGTTTTCTCTAATTTCTCTAATTTAATAATGATATTTTCATGTTAGATTGAAATTATATATATTAATTTGAAATTTTTTTTTGACTAAAATTAAAATAAATGTTTATTAATAAATTAGAACTTAAAATTGTGACATAATGTTGTAGAAATTAAATGAGGCAACTCAGCCAAAATGCCTAAGCCTTAGATTGTCACGTGAGAATAAAATGGCTTTAAAATTAATAATTTTAAAAACAAAGCTATATGATGATTGGCTACTTTTTAAGAATTTCCACATTCTAACTGTGAAACTTTGGCGTATTATAAATATAAAAATTGAAGCTCATCCCTTGAAAAAAAAAAATTTTTCAAATTTTCCCTCGACAACAAACTTGAGTGTGCCAACTTTCTGTTAATCCAAAGTTTTTATTGTTGTTTATTTAAGAAATTGGGGTCAAAATATTAAGATCGTTGTGCTGTTTTAAATAAAATTATTTTAATAAGAAAATATAACGTCTCTAGACAGTGATCTAGATTTTCATTTTATTTTTATTTTTTTCATTCATTGTGAAAGTTTAAGAATAAGTGTATTGCATTATTTTTAATATCACAATCAAGAATTGATAATTTCATTGTAAAATATAAATTGATTAATTGTACCGTTATTGTAAAACGGTTTGTCCTTGACCTTTTGTCAAAGGTATGCACAATAACCGATTTACCTGCGTGACACTTTTTTTTCGCTTTATTTTCATATAATTAATTATTTTTCCTTTTATATTTATATTTACAGTTAATATCAAAAGTTATTAGTTCAAATAATGGAAAATAATGAAATAAATAGTTATGTAAATCTTCCTTTCGGGGGAGAAATTGATGATCATATGGTAATTTCAGAGGAAATGGACGGCATATCCATGACACATTATATAAATGAAAACGAAAGGCATGATGGGCAATCGCTCGGAGGTTTAGGTGGTAATACAATAGAAAACCGTAATGGGTTTACTGTTGAAGATTTGAATTATATACATTTTGATGAGTTTGTCAATGATGCCCCTGATACTATATCAGATGGTCAACAAATGATATGGAATATCAATACAGAAGAAAATCAAATGACTACAGAGAGATGGGATCCATCAACTCTTGCAATTCATGACGCTGTACAAACAGTCCAGGATAATAATTCTCAAACAATACTTTTAAATCCTGATGCAGCTACTCAATTTCTTATCGATCCTGCCCTAATGGCACAACCTCATTCACAATCATCTGTGCAAACACAACAAACACAACAAACGCAACAAACACAATTATCAACTCAACAACAACCTCAAATATCATCATCTCAATCAACCCAATCATCTCAACCTCCACAACACACTGGTCATTCATATGGAACACGATTTGCGAATCAAGCACGTCCAACACCTGGAATTCAACCTCGGACGAGAAGACAAAGACCTAAAAAAGGTCAAGGGGATGTCGATGATGGGCCTTATTGTATATGTCGTGGTCCTACTTTTGGAGTCATGGTTGAATGTGATTCATGCAATGAGTGGCAAGTTTCAATTTTACTAATAATAATCGCGGATAATAAATTAATAATTTTTCATAAATTTTTGGCCTGTGAATTATCAAAAAAAAAAAAAAAATGTGTATATGATGAATCCAGTACAATTTCTCATTTTTATATATATATATATATATTATATTGTATATTTTTGAATGTGTTTCAATATATATATAGGTTTCACTGTGATTGTGTAAATATTACGCCGCAGCAAGCGCAAGAGGTGGACAAATATCATTGTCCTAAATGTCAAGTAGATAATCCTGCTCTCATTGGTTTAATTAAAGGTGTGTGCTGCTAATTTCAAAAGTTGTTATTTCTCTTTTTATTATTATATAATGTGACACAGAATATGGTAGCACAAATCCTGTGACATCACCGCCAATCCACGTGTGATGTTAATTTTAAATTCTCTCTCTTTAAATGATGTAATAAAAAAAATTTAGATTCATTTACTAATATCCAATTTAATACATTTAGATGATCGACCAATGGCAGAAGCAACTGGTATAGATCCGAAGGCATTATTGATCGAAGAACCTGTAAAGTATCATCAGATCATATTTTATTTCAAAAATAATTTTTTATTTGTTAATATATATTTACGTGAAATTTTTTTATGTTATCAAAAATATTAGAAACCAAAGCCTATTACGAAATGTTTATATAAAGATTGTTTAAATTTAGCTCGTGAGAATAGTCCTTATTGTAGTGATGGTTGTTCTTTACATAGTCAAATTCTGGAGATCAAGAAGACAAAGGGGCCAGAGGTATCAAAATCTTCACCTCAAAACTTAATTGAACCTAAAAAAATGCAACGCCCTGTACTTCCAAAATCTACATCATCAATAGTAATGAATAAAACTACACCTTCAATAGTAATGAATAAAACTACACCATCAAATGTTCCTACTGCTACAATGAGTAATAGAACACAATCTATGATCATGAATTCGGCTCTTTTAGCAAATAGAACGACTTCAATTCAAATAAAAAAGACCCCTATTCCTCAACGAAAAACTTCATCCGGAAGTTCCGGAGACGGAACTACAAAAGTTCGTAATATTTGTATGGAAAAATTTGTTAGTCTTTTTACGAAAAAATACACGGAATTAAAACAAAAAGGTGAATTACCTGATTCACAGGAAAGTCCTGAACAACTTGCGCAGCGTCTTGCACGACGTATTGAGGAATCTATTTATGACAATTTTTCTACAAAAAATGATCGTGATGGTTTAGGTCAAACATATAAATCAAAATTTAGAAATATTCTAACCAGTCTTGGTCATCCCAAAAATGAAGATTTATTAATGCAAGTTGTTAAAGGTGACATTCCACCAATAAGATTGGTGATGATGTCTACTGAGGAATTAGCAAATCCTGAACAAAAATCTCTGATGGTAAAAGTTCGTAGAGAAAGTATGCAACAGTCGGTTCTAAAAGCCGAAGATTTAAATGGACCAAGGATAAAGAAAACTCATAAGGGTGAATTCATAATAATAGAAGCTGGACGTGATTCTCCTAAACATGATACTAATTCAACTGTATCATCTAATTCAAATACCAATTTTAATGTTTCTACAAACGTAAGGCCAAAAATATCAGTAGAAGACTTAATTCCTAAACGGAAGTTAAGTACGGGTGATAATGTTAATATATTGTCTGCAAATAGTGATACTTCAAAAGATGATCCTTTCTCTCTTAGGACCCCAACCAATGTTGATGACGCAAATAATTCAACTAACAATTTTTCTCAGGTCACTCCTCAAAACAATGATGAACAACAATCTTCATGGAAAAATAATAATAACGATAATAATAATAATAATAATAACAATGATAATAATAATAATAATAATAATAATATTGAAATTAATGCTAGTCCCACAGCAATGGTAGTGGATTCTCCGGATAATACACTACCACTTTCCCCTCAAGTCAAATCTCCAATTTCACCTACCATGAGTCCCTCACATACCCCACCTGGAGAACCTCCCAGTCCCACTCTTAACAAGCCGGTTACTAAATTACCTCCTATTTGGAAAGGACGATTATTATATGATGGAGTTTCCAGATTTTCTGGTCAAGCAACCCTCGTTGCTGCAAAAAAGAGGGATAAAGAACGCAATTGGGAAGAATTTCTTGCTGCGTCTATAAGATGCAATGGTCACGTTTCACGTGTTGAACAGGCGGATACTTATTTAATTGATTGTTGGTGTTCACCTTCCAAAGATGTTGCATTTATCAAATTTGAACCTAATGAAGATAATCCTACTGATAAGGAACAGTTTGATTTAATTTTTAATTATTTACGTTATTCTCCAAAGGATAGAGTAGTTCGTTACGGTCGGGTTGCAAACGCATATAGTACTGTTAGAGAAATGTATATTATACCATTAGAACCAAAAGATAAAGTACCAGATGTTGTTACCTTTTTAGATCATGATGAGATGTTTTTATCAAAAAATAATGAAAAACGTGAAACAAAATTATTATTGGGTGCAATTGTTATTGTTGATGCTGAATCTGCAAAATCAAAACGTCCACGTGATTTAACACAAAAAATTGCACGACCAATTAAAAAAGAAAAGATAGAAACTACCACTACTAGTCAAGTGAGTAATGTGACCCAATCAAATATTGGGAAAAGTTCTTTGGTTAATAATAATTCTATAGTACCAAGTCCTACTGTAGCACCACAACCTATTGCATATAATGCTGTGTCAGCTCCATTACAAAATCAATCACCAATACCTTCAAGTATGCCAGTGGTTACAACTGCGCAAACCGGAATTCTCCCTGGATTATTACAATCGTTATTAAATCAAACGGTTCCTCCTAATCAAAATACACCTCCACCTTCACAATTTCAACAACCTCCCCATCAGTTTAATAGACCACCACCCCCTAATACTGGTGGTCCCCCTGCATCTTTTGGTATTCCGCCTCCGCAGCGACCACCACAATTACATATGCAACCTACTCAATTCCCGTCACGTTATCCGACTACAACTGGACCAAACCAACCCCAATTCATGCCACCTCCGCCACAACCCCAATCAGGTTTGTCACAACCCTCGCCACAAGGACCACCACATCCCCCGCCACAGGGACCATCACAAGGACCAATCCCTCAAGGATTTCCTCCTCAATTTGACCAATTTTATCAAAATCCACCTTCAAATTTTGCCCTACAAGGTCCTCCTCCCCAACAACCACCATTGCAACCATATGGTCCACCTGCAACAAATGAATTTTCACATTTTCAACCACCTCCATCAGATAACAGACGTCCTCCTCCTCCTCCTCCTGGTGTACAAGATTTTGGATCTAAATGGGGTCCACCACAAGATAATCGACCACCGTGGGATCAAGCAGTTACTAATACTAATAATACTAATAATACCAATAATACCAATAATAATAGTAGTAATAATAATAATATCAATAATAATAATAATAATAATAATAATAATAATAATAACAATAGACCACCTACATGGGAATGGGATTCTAATAATAATAATAGACCACCAATAGATCATGTAAATCGAAACGAAAATAAATCTCAATGGGGAGATCAAGAAGACAGAAGAAATTGGAATCAAAATGATACTAGACAACAAAGAGAACGTGAATATCGTAGAGGACCATCACCACCACATTCCGATTATCGTGATCGAAGGCATCGACAAAATCGGGATAATCGTAGGCGAGGAAACAATAGTCCTCGAGGCGGACGTAACACTAACGGTTCAGGACAAAACAATGATCGTGAAGAACGTGATAGAGAAGAAAGAGAAGAAAGATTTGAACGTAATAATAATAATAATCGAGATAATTATCGAGAAGGTGATCGAGGTGGAGTTGGTGGTGGACGATTTCGTACTAGAGCTTGATAATATTCATTTGAACTCACTTAAAAACTGGGTCTCTAAAAAAAAAAAAATTAAAAAATAAGCTGACTGCATGTAGGCAGCATAAAATTCTTTATATATATATTCTTAATAAACCAAAATTTAATATAAATTTTTTTTTTTTGAAGTCATGGATTTATTTTATTTTATTTTATTTTATTTTTTTTTAAAAAAAAGTTATTTAATGAATGAAAAAATACATATATAAATCGAAAATTTTACAATATTTTAATATAATACATAGATAATTGTTAATGTAGTAGAGAATTTTATCGGTCTATTTGTATATTGTAATAAAGTAATTATGAATGACCAGTAAAATATTATATATTATTATATTATGCAGTATATTTTCACTTTCGCGCGTTTCTTAGAAATTTAATTTTTAGATAAAGAAAAAAAGAAACTCAAAGATAGTCGATGAATTGTTTAATGAAATTTTTTCAGAAAATAAAACGACGTACAACAAATGATTAAAAGATACTAAATGTAATGCTATGTCATAATTGTCAATGAATGCTAGGCTAGGGTATAGCTCTTCTAAGCCATTTTGAAGGAAATCGATTCAATTTCTGAGCCATTGTACCTGTATCATTAGTCAAGTGATATTTTCTCTTCTATTTTTTTTACTAACTTCAACGGGAACTTTTGAAACTTTACGTAATAAATATTATATAATCAATAACTAATATTTTTTTTTTGTATGAAGGATTATAAACCAACTTGATGCAGGAGAGGCAAAGGTTTAGGAATTATAATAATGTGTTGGTATCGCCAAGAGTTTTTTTTTTTACTGATATTTTCATGATTATTATAACCAAGATATATCAGTATACCGGTAAAAAGGTAAAAACCTTAGGACATTATATGAGCATGCTGCAATAAAGTGAAAAGATTTCAGGGGTTCAAAGTAAATACTTTGTCTGATATTTATTTTAATTATATATGTGAAATAATTAAAATAAATATCAGACAAAGTATTTAATTTGGTTAATAGCAAAATAAATTTTTAGCTCCGAGTTTTTAATGTATTTAATTAAAAGTTGAGATTATGTTATCATAAAGTAATCAATTCTGAAACAATGTCCATTGTAATTCGGCCGCTGTTCTCATGGTCATGTGTCATAACCATAGACACGTGCCTAACTGTAGACTCGTTTTTGATAGATTTATGATATGTCAAATTTCATGTGACAATAAGTTTTCTATTGATGCATCTATGAATAAACAATTAAAGGCATATTAAAAAAATAACCACTGTTTTACGCGTATCTTGATATATCAAAAAAATAACCATAAGTCTATCAAAAATGAACCTTTTGCGTAGGCGTGTGCTGTAACTATGGATCTTTGAAATTCAATGCGGAATGTGCGCTAGCACAAAATTTGAAAACTCCGCACATAAAAAAAAAGGCATCCGCACTAATTTTTGCATATAGAATTCTAAATTGTGTATATTCCGCACAGGATTTAAAATTTAAATTTCAAGCACTGATTTATATAATTATTATATAAAAAAATTGTTTAAAAAAATAAATATTTAAATTTTTTTGTAATACTTGTAAATTTAAATCAAATATTTTTATTTTAATTGTAAATCCCTCTTCAACAAAAGCATTAACGCATCATAATTTTAATTATTGATAAAAGATATGTACATAATTTTTTATAGGTAAGGAAAGATAAAGAGTAATCAGAAGTAGAATGGTTGTAACCAGTATCAAATGTTGATATCTTTCTTGAGTATTATTATAAAATGAAGCATTTTCGTCTGAATTCTCTTCTCTTCTGATATGTTCACATTATTAATCGATATAAAAAATTGGTCGCGCGCAAAATTTTACACGTGTAACATGTGACATTTACGGTACACGTCCACACACTTTATGCTAGTGTTCCGATCCTAATTTTAAAAGACTATCCGAATCCGAATTATAAATCCTTATTCTTGAATAATAAATTTATTTTAGAATTTAAAAATTATCATCTAATTTTAATCAATAATGACTTGTTATTTATATAGCACTTTATACGGCATATGTATTCTATACGGCACATTGCTGTGCCATATCATTCCGTATTGGGGTATTCATACAATATATTTGAACTCTATTTTGGGTGGTGACTTGTTGAGTCAGATTGATAAGATTCGTATATTTATAGATACGATAATTGCTTCTTATTTCGAAAACGCACAACTGGTATAGCAGCATACGATGGCATAAAGTCTATATTCAAGATCAATTCAAAATCGACGCATTATAAAAGAGAAAAAATAAAACCCTAACCACATTTGATGATAATATGATTTCTAGCCAATTGCTGTTGTGGCTTAATATTTAACCCTTGAAATTCGTTCGTGACATCATATTCGCTGCATGCACCATTTCTTGTACTCCAAAACGAGGTTACTCAATAAGATTAGATCAAATCAATAATAATAAAAAAAAAAATTGAGTTCCTTTTTAGGATCCTCATCTCTGAAACGTTCAATAATTATATCCTTCGTTCACAAATTCATTTTGCTTGCCAATTTTGTATAACGAAAATATATACCAAAATCTTTTTATTTGTTAGCTTTTTTTTAGAATAAATTTCTGACCAATTCCTTAAATGACGAGTATATTTAACGGCACAAGTTATAATTTCATTTTTTTATTGAAATTCCGCATTAAATCTAGTTTAAATTTAGTTGGATAAAATAATAAAAATAATGATTTTTTTTTTTTTTACATTCTCCTCTCTCATTTCCTTTTTCTCTCCATACCTTTTCCCTTCCTCTTTCCTCCCTTTTCCCTTTCCTTACCTTCCCTTTTCCCTCCCTTTCCCTTTTTCCCTCCTTTAATTAATTCTTTCGTTAGTTGATATGTTAACCTGAAAATAGATAAACTACACGAAAGTTTGATAAAAAGGATTAAAAAATTTAGACGCAGGACGTAGACGCAGGACGTAGACGCAGGAACGTCGAAAATAATCACACAAATTCTCATTTTCACATATATCACTATTCGGTTATACTTGTATTGTATATATAATTTCTTACAAGAAACCAATTTGTAATATAATAATAATAACTTTTATTTATTTAAAAATCTTTGTGTTAATGGTTTATTACACACCAAAACGAAAAACAAAATCAAAATCAAAATCATAAACAAATCAATGGATTATATTTTACTTTGTATAATCCTAAACTCCATTGGCATATTATTTTCCATTATAAGCGCCGCCTACATAATTTTCCGCGCCTTTAAAGACTTTAATCTTTTAATGCATTTAACATGTTTCTCGGGTTCAATCATTATCGGAGCTCTTAACGTTTTAGACTTTTTACGTTCCATTGGAGTTATAGAAAGATTTAATAATAATATATTATGTCTTCATTTCATCGGTACTTCAATGACCGCTATCCTTTCATGTTACGTTTTACTTCAAGTGGGAACTAATTTCTATCAGGAATATAACATCGTGAAAACAATATTAATATATGCACCTATCGTTGTTACTTTTGGTGTCTTTGGATTTTCAGTATATACCGCAATACAATTAGTACTAAGTGAATTATCACATCCAGATTATATATTTGAAAAAATTACTTTAGGATTTAGTCTTCTTGCAGCATTTTTGACATTTTTATATACTGTTTTTCCTCTATATAATATTCGTAATCAGACCAAACTCCAACCTGAACGAACTGCCGTTTCCATTATTCATCTTATTTTTGTCATTTTATTTTTCATTGCTCATTTTACAGTTTATTGTATATTTATATTACGTGGACGACTCCTTGATATGAAATTTAGCGCGATCCTTCGTCTTATTCTTCTCTTAATTTTTCCAGGATGTTTGATTCAACCACCAAGAATATTAGTGAAGAAAATTAAGAGAAAATTTTTGGGAGTAGAAGAAATGATTATTGGTGGAGATTATCGACCAGACATGTTACCGAAAAATTATGAGGATACGATACCTGGACCTAAAATATTACATCCTTTGATTATTACAAATCCTCTTACAAACCCTGAAACGGAAACGTTTAATACAAATTCAAATTCTCCTAAAGTTACGAATAATAATAAAAGTAACAACAAAAACAACATTAATAAAAATAATATTTATACACTTTCATCCATCTCAGTATCTTCTCCACCACTCCCACCACCGAAAGATGAAGGTTATATACCATTAAAAAGAACAAATGTGTTTTATAACATTGGACTTCCACCACCAAGTAACACCAAGTATTGGAAACCACCTTCAAAACGAAGTAACACTACACCAATTAACTCGGTGTTCGGTAATGGTCGTGTAAGTACAAGACCACCGCAACCTCCAAAAAGAAATCATACTACTCCACTGAAAAAATAATTGATTTTCGCGAAAAATTTATTCTTAATTCTTTAATTTCTTCAATTTTCTTTAATTTTTTTTTCAATATTTTTTAATTACTAATATTTTGATGACGCTTGTCATAATATTTTCAATAGTAAAAAAATAGAATTACTGAATATATTTTTCTATTTCATTCTTCTTTGTGCATTAATGATGTAAGGGTTGTGACGTAAAAAATAAAAAACAATAGACTTAAAAAAAAATATATGTATATTCCGTAAATCTTTTTTTTTTTTTTGACGCCTAATTCTATACATAATGTAAATTAAAATTAGAGTATTCTTCGACACAAGTAATAGTTGTTACTACTGATTTCCACTTTAAGCAAATGAAGCATTCCTTAAAAGTGGTCTTCACAAAAAAAAAAAAAGCCAGCTATCTTTTAATAAGGCGTTGCTAATCCAACTAAATCTAAAGATTCAAAAAGAAAAAAAGAAAAATTCAGAACGATAAGTTTTGTATCAATTTAGTGTTATAATCAATTGGGGAGGCTAGACTTTATTTAAAAAAAATTTCCATTATGTACGTAACTTTAGTTATTTTTACCTTATCTATTTTATTTAATATTGAAACGCAGATTTTGTTGATTTCACAGATGCATGCACGAATAGACTCATACATGCTTGCATAACATAGTATTGAAGGTTTCCTATTTTAAATTATAAAGATTATTTTAGATTATCGAATTTGTTATTTAAAATAATTAAATTTTTGTATATCAACTGATGTAATTAAACATGTAATAGACAAGTTTTATTTTATTATTTATACTATTCATACATACTTGTACATTGTTTAATTCAGTGATGTACTTAATATTTGATTTATAAATATATGAATGAAAGGACGTATCTCTTTGTTACAAGAAAAGTTATAAATATAGGCATCATTTTTTCTTACAAAAAAAAAAATCATTATCTGATTATTTATTTCTTATTTATTTCTTATTTATTTCTTATTTTATTTTATATCGCACTTTATTTCATAAAAATAAATGACTGTTTTATTTCCTTCTCAAAACGACACACGTCCATTATTACAAAAAGTTAAAGACATTAATAAAAATGTTAATTACAATAATTATAGTTATGGTACATTTCCTGATAAAAATATAGGCACTGCCAAAGATGTATTAATACAAGTTCAAACATTATTAAACGTTAATTCCACCGTAAAGGCCGATCAAATTGAGTGTGGCAACGGCAACAAAGATTTCTTTAAACCTGTAACGGATTTAAGTGGCATTCTTCCATATGGCGGAGATTTGATAGTAAAAAACACTGGTAGTGTAGCCAGAGATTACTTTGGTAAGAATTATTTAATTTATATTACTATTGATATATAATTTTTTCCCTTATCTAATTATCTTAATTATTATTATTTATAAATATTTCTTTTTAGCCCTTGAAAGAACATTCTTATCTTGGTTACGAATGGGTGTGACTTTAGTGATTGTTGGTTTTATAATCTATTTTCGCTCTTGTATAAATCTTAGTCTTGAACATTCACATATTTCATATGCAATTGGTATTTTGTTTATAGTTCTTGGAATATTTGTTATTTTATTTTCCATATTTTATTATTTTCAATTTCAAACGATGTTGTTAAATAGAGTAACAATGATTGAATATGGAAAATCACATTATATATTGATTGCTTTAATTGGAACAATATTATCTATTGAATTGTTAATATCTTAATATCAAATATACATAACATATTGTTTATATTTCAAGTTTTTGTAGTTTTTGTTAAATAATTAGAGTATCAACTTGATTTTTTCTTTTTAAATACATTTCAACCGTTAGATTTAAGATATTAAAAGATTAATAGTAATTCCAATTATCTTTCTGAAAATTTTGGAAACTTAATATTTAATGATCTTAACAGTGAGAGTATAAATAATAATAATAATAATCAACTAAGACTGCTTCGTCTGGTTACATAATCGATTTATTATTACCACACGATATTCTCTATTGCATAAAAAAATTGTTTAAGGAAAAAAATAAAAAAAAAAAAGAAATTTCCGTTCCTTAAGAATGTAATACACGTAAATATTTATGTTGCATATATATATATAGTCATATCATATTTCTGTATTTAGTTCATTTGTTCTTCAGAATGTAAAAAAATTTGACCAATAGGAAAATCGGAAACTATTTTAATTCCTGTAAAAAGTTCGTCTGATCTGATTATTATTATCTATTATTTATTATCTATTATTTAGGAAATGCAGAGCGCAAAAGCGTTACGTCTCAAAAATAAAATAAACTGGCAAACCACTCAATTTCTTTTCCATCCAAGTAAAAATTCTAATCCCAATTATGATGTAAACGCTTTAAGAGCTATTGAACATTATATGCAAAAACCAATGAATGATATCTCAATTAAACATACTCCTACAAAAGTCATTTTTCAACAATATTTTCATACTGGTTTAAAACCTCAATCTGGATTAATACAACGTGGTGTTGGTGGTGTTGGTGGTGGTGGTGGTAATATTAATATGAATCAGAATCTTTCTTCAACCAATAATTTATTAAACGATTTAAATAATTTAAATGCATTTGATCCAAAGTATCTTAATATTCTCAAAGAGCGACTTAAAAAATTATACAGTAAAGATGTAGAATTTCAATTGATTCGACATCCTTATCCTTTTCTTAATGCTAAAATTTTAGCTCAATATATAGCTTTAAATACTGCACGTTATAGACTTCGACAAATTCGTCGTATGCTTTTCAAAAAAATGCCATTGGTTGGTCGAAATGTGGGAGAACCTACCAAAGTTAATAAAGGTGGACCACTAATAAATGATTTAAATGCTGCTTCACCTACAAAATGGATACAATTATCTGGTCTTGGTCACAGATTTTTACCTACTCATTTAACAGGATTTAGAATGCAAATTTCTGGCAGAATGGGTCTCAGAAAAGGAGCATCTAGAAGTAGTGTAGCTACTAGTTCTTGGGGTAGATTTAGATTTAATACAATGAAGAATACAATGATTGATTACGCAAAGGTAGAAAAGAAAAATCAAAATGGTGCTTATTGTGTTAAAGTTTGGCTCAGTTCTTCTGTAGTTTAATAATAATAATAACAATAATAATAATTATAATAATAATAATAAATTTCTATGATATTAATTATATATTTGATCTTCAATAAAGTCAATAAAGTCAATAAAGTAGATTATCTAAAAAAAAAAAGTTTGATTTTTTTTGATTTTTTTTTTTTTGCTTGCATACTTGATTTTCCTATTGATATTGATACTCCGGAGTTATATTTTTCTGATTCTTTAACATGATCAATGAAACACACTCAAAAGTTCTCAACGAAGTTACAGTAGAAGTTAAAAATAATAATAATCATACTCCACCAAATTTACTGATCCCACCAGTTACTTGTCTATCGACAAAAAAATCTGATTCTGTTATTGCGACTTTAGTTTTAAAGGATGGTACCAACTATCAAGGTTATTCTTTCGGGGCTGAAAGTCGTTCAGTGGCAGGGGAATGCGTATTTCAAACCGGTAGGTTGTTAAAATATTTGTAACTTGTTGAAATTTTATATATTGTATTTATTTCATTGTTATAGGAATGGTTGGATATCCTGAATCTCTGACCGATCCTTCATATAGAGGTCAAATTCTTGTCCTTACCTTTCCCCTTGTGGGAAACTATGGTACTCCTTCGCGTGATTCTATGGAACCTCTTCTCAAAGGAATTCCAAAATATTTTGAATCTCGTGAAGTACATATAACCGGTTTGGTTATCGGTCAATATTCACAAAATTTCTCTCATTATCTGGCAAGTTCTTCTTTATCCGATTGGTTAAAAGAAAATAATATTCCGGCTATATATGGAATCGATACTCGCGCTCTTACAAAAAAAATTCGGACTAAAGGTGCACTTTTGGGAAAGATATTATTTCCAAAAGTTGTGGTTGGAAACTCAGTTGAGAACAAATCAGACGAAAAGTTTTCAAATGGATCGGAACCTTGGATTTCAGATTATCAAGATATTCCTTGGATTGATCCAAATAAGAGAAACTTGATTTCAGAAGGCAAACAATGATCTTTTTTTACCAGGCCTTTAATTATATAAAAAAAATAAATATTAAACGCGTTTATAGCTGAATTTTTATTATATAATTAATAGTTTCAATCAAAGAACCTAATCTCTTCAAACCTGATCCATTAAAAGCTATTACTGATGTCAAAGGTAATACTTTACGTATTATTGTTGTTGATGTTGGAATGGTGAGTAAATATTATGTTATTGTATTTTTAGAAATTCAAGTCTCTTATTTTATTTATTTCATTATTTAATTAAATATATAAATAATTTAAAATAATTTAATTCATTATCTCTTCAAAAAAATTTAAAAGAAATATAATCAACTTCGATGTTTCATTAATCGAGGAGTTGAAGTATTAGTGGTTCCTTGGGATTATAATTTTAATATGGAAAATAATTATCATGGTTTATTTGTTAGGTAAGGTAATTAGTACAAATTCAAATTTTTTTAATATATAAAAAATCTTTATTTTATAAATTTTTCATATTAATTTCAGTAATGGTCCCGGTGATCCGGCTATGGCAAAAACAGCAATTGAACATCTTAAAACAGCAATTAAAGAAGTTAAAACTCCAATTTTTGGGTAAATATTTAAAAAAAATATATATTAAAATATATATATATATATTAATAATACATTTTCATACAAAATTCTATATCCATTAATACCTTCTTTCTTTAGAATTTGTATGGGTCATCAATTGTTAAGTTTAGCATCTGGTGCAAAAACTGTAAAGATGAAATATGGTAATCGTGGTCACAATATCCCATGTACGGATATGATTTCTGGACGTTGTTACATAACATCCCAAAATCATGGTTATGCAGTAGATACCAATACACTTCCTTCGGATTTTCAAGAATTATTCGTTAACGCTAATGATGGTTCGAATGAAGGAATCATACATAAACATCTTCCTATTTTTTCGGTTCAATTTCATCCCGAAGCATCACCGGGACCAAGAGATACAGAATATTTATTTGATGTATTTATTGAAAGTGTTAAACAATCCAATTTAGCTGGTAAATTAATACCTTTAAAAATGCCCGGTGGAACAAAGGAAGAGAATCAAAAAAAAAATTCACGTGTTAATATTAGAAAAGTATTAGTACTTGGTAGTGGTGGATTGAGCATTGGTCAAGCAGGTGAATTTGATTATTCTGGAAGTCAGGTATTTTTTTTTTTACTTTGTTAATTATTATTATTTTTTTTTATGACGCGTCATGAAAATATAAGTAATATTATGAAACATTGATATTTTTATTGTAGGCCATTAAAGCTTTAAACGAGGAAGGAATCTATACTATCTTAATTAATCCAAACATTGCTACTATACAAACTTCTCATTTTCTCGCTGATAAAGTATTCTTCCTTCCAGTAAATCCGGATTTCGTTCTTAAAGTGATAAAATTTGAAAAGCCTGATGGAATATATGTAACGTTTGGTGGTCAGACCGCTTTAAACGTTGGTATAAAACTTAAAGACAGGTTTAAGGAACTCGGGATAAAAGTTTTAGGAACACCTATAGACACTATAATCGCGACGGAGGATCGTGAATTCTTTGTACAGAAAATGCTTGAAATTGGGGAAAAATGTGCTGAATCAGCTTCTGCTACTAATACACAAGAAGCTTTAGAAGCAGCGCAAAAAATTAATTATCCAGTTATATGTCGCGCCGCATATGCTCTAGGCGGTTTAGGATCAGGATTTGCCGAAGATGAAACTCAATTGAATGAACTTTGTAGCAAGGCTTTTGCCACTAGTCCTCAAGTTTTAATTGAACGATCAATGAAAGGTTGGAAAGAAATTGAATATGAAATTATTAGAGATTGTCGTGATAATTGCATTTCTGTTTGTAATATGGAGGTAATAACCGTTTATAAATTATTTAATTTTTGCACACACACACATTTGTATGATGTTTTAAAATTATTTAAAAATTTAGAACTTTGATCCTCTTGGAATCCATACTGGTGATTCTATTGTTGTTGCACCATCTCAAACTCTTTCAGATGATGATTATCACATGCTTCGAACAACAGCAGTAAATGTAGTACGTCATCTTGGTGTCGTTGGCGAATGTAATATACAATATGCGCTAAATCCATTCTCTAAAGAATACTGCATCATTGAAGTAAATGCGCGTTTGTCTCGTTCATCTGCTCTTGCTTCCAAAGCTACGGGTTATCCCTTGGCATTTGTTGCCGCTAAATTGGGTTTGGGTATACCATTGAACGAGATTAATAACTCAATGACTAAAGTTACTTGTGCTTGTTTTGAACCTAGTTTAGATTACGTAGTAGTTAAAATTCCAAGGTGGGATTTAAAAAAATTTACTCGTGTTGATAAATCTTTGAGTTCATCAATGAAATCTGTTGGAGAAGTTATGAGTATTGGTCGTACGTTTGAAGAAACTATTCAAAAAGCTATTAGAGCAATTGAATTCAATTTCATGGGATTTGGTCAGGTTGATTAATTTACTATTATTACTCTTCATATTGTTTTTATTTATTTCACATTTGTAGTCACATAATAAGTTAAAGGTATTTAAGCACGTATTATATCATTTTTACTAATCAATTCCATTTTATATTATTTTATTAATAAGAACGATCTTGTAGATGATATTGAAAGTGAATTAATTAATCCATCCGATTTAAGACTTTTTGCAATTGCAAATGCCATGCATAAAGGTTATACCGTTGATCAGATCTGGAAATTTACAAAAATTGACAAATGGTTTTTGTACAAGTTGCAAAACATTATTATATTAGAAAAGCAACTAAAAGAACATTATCTTTCGGTTAAACCCGATTTATTATTGAGCGCCAAGCAATTAGGGTTTTCCGATCGTCAAATAGCAAAGGCTGTTAGTAGTAATGAATTAGCGATTAGAATGTTAAGAAAAGAACATGGAATTATACCTTTCGTGAAACAAATTGATACTGGTAAAAATTTTTTGTTATGATTTGATTTGTATCAAAAAAAAAAAAAATAATAATTTTTCATAATCCAATATGTTTATTCTTAATTTTATAGTTGCTGCTGAATTTCCAGCTCAGACAAATTACCTATATATTACATATAATGCCGCAGAACATGACATTTCTTTTGAAGAAAAAGGTGTTATGGTACTCGGTTCCGGAGTTTACCGTATTGGTAGTTCCGTTGAATTTGATTGGTGTGCTGTACGTGCCATGAGAACATTACGTGAAAATAATTTAAAAACGATAATGGTCAATTATAACCCAGAGACCGTCAGTACAGATTACGATGAAGCCGATCGATTGTATTTTGAAAATATTACTCTTGAACGAGTTTTAGATATCTATGAAATTGAAAAATCTGCTGGTGTAATTATTTCTATGGGTGGTCAGACTCCAAATAACATTGCTATGCAACTAGAACGTCAAAATGTAAAGACCCTTGGTACATCAGCAACAATGATTGATACCGCCGAGAATAGATATAAATTTTCTCGTATGTTGGATCAAATTGGTGTAGATCAACCGGAATGGAAAGAATTAGCGAGTCATGAAGAGGTTTACACATTTTGTAAAGAAGTCCAGTTCCCAGTTCTGGTACGACCGTCTTATGTGCTTTCGGGTGCCGCTATGAATGTAGCATATTCCTTAGATGATCTTTCTAATTTTCTTAGTCAAGCTACAGCAGTTTCGCGGGAACATCCTGTTGTCATATCAAAGTATATTGAAGAGGCAAAAGAAATTGAAATGGATGCTGTGGCTGTTGAAGGTAAACTGGTAATGCATGTAATATCAGAACATGTTGAAAATGCTGGAGTACACTCGGGAGACGCGACGCTTGTATTACCACCTCAAGATCTTGACCCAGAGACTGTACGAAAGATTGAATTGGCAACACAAAAAATTGGAGATGCACTTAATGTTACCGGTCCTTTTAATATTCAATTTATAGCCAAGAATAATGAAATTAAAGTTATAGAGTGTAACGTTCGTGCTTCAAGATCTTTTCCTTTTGTATCAAAAGTAATGGGTGTTGATTTGATAGAGATGTCTACACTTGCAATTTTGGGTGTTCAATTTGAACATTATCCACAACCTAATTTACCAAAAAATTATGTTGCTGTCAAGGTTCCGCAATTCAGTTTTAGTCGTCTATCGGGCGCTGATCCTATATTAGGAGTTGAAATGGCATCAACGGGAGAAGTTGCGTGTTTTGGTCGTGACAAATACGAAGCGTATCTCAAGGCATTAATTTCAACGGGAATGACTATCAATATGCCACAGAAAAATATTTTACTTTCCATTGGTTCTTTCAAGGAAAAGAATGAAATGCTACCATCCGTTGAAAAACTTCATCAAATGGGTTATAATTTATTTGCCACATCCGGGACAGCTGATTATATTCAAGAACATGGTCTTCCCGTAAAGTATTTGGAATCACTTGAAGAATCTGAACATGAAGTCAAATATGAGTATTCTCTTCAACAACATTTGGCGAATAATTTGATCGATTTATACATCAATCTACCATCGAAAAATAGGTTTCGTCGTCCAGCTAGTTATATGAGCAAAGGTTATCGTACACGAAGGATGGCGGTTGATTATGATATCCCATTGATTACGAATGTTAAATGTGCGAAATTATTTATAGAGGCTTTATCTCGTTCGAATACATTTGAAATTTTGGATATCGATTACAAAACTCGTCATAAACGAGTTACATTACCTGGTCTTATTAATATTTCAGCATTTGTGCCCCATATTATTGAACCTAATTATGACGATTTTTCGCAAATTACAAAAGCATCTCTTGCATCTGGGTTTACTACTATTGTTATGATGCCTATAGGTTTGACAGGCTCCTTACATAATCCACAGACAATTGCTATAGCTCATAGTAATGGCCGTCGCAACGCGCATTGTGATTTTTCTTTGTCTGTGGCCGTTATCGAAAATAATTACGTGGAGTTAACAGATGTGGTCCCTAATATAACTTTGACATTCATCCCATTCTCTGATCAAGGTGTTAAAATCCCATCTATGGATACTATTAAAACCCATTTTAAAACTTGGCCATCTCATGTACCTATAATTACTGATGCCAAGGGAAAAGATTTATCACATATCTTGTTCATGGCCGATCTGCTTGAACGTACTATACATGTTACAAACGTGGCTACAAAAGAAGACATTGAGTTAATTGCATTAAGCAAAGAAAAAGGAAAAAATGTTACATGTGATGTTTCGGTGCACGCGTTATTTTTAAATAATAATGACGTACCTAACAGTATAAATATTTTACCAAGCCCATCAGACCAAGCAGCTCTTTGGGAACGCATGGAAGATATCGACTGTTTTTCTGTGGGAAAAATACCTTACCTACTTTCACAGGCTGTTGGAGCTGAGGCTGTGGCCAATGTTGGTATTGAAGAAACCTTACCATTGCTTACAAATGCTATCAATGAAGGAAGGTTAACGTTAGAAGATATAAAAAAGCGTCTTTATACTAACCCCCGTGAGATTTTTGATCTTCCCGAACAACTTGATACTCGAATTGAAGTAGAAATTGATCGAAAGGTTACCATTAGTCAGAAAGAAGGAAGATGGTCTCCTTTCACTGGAAAAACGTTAATTGGTGCAGTTAGTCGAGTAGTTTTAAGAGGAGAAACAGTATATCTTGACGGAGGGTGTTACTCTAGTACAAACGGAAAGGACATTTCAACTTTGGCACATGTAATCACAAAAACACCTTCCGCTGTCAAAGAAACATTTGCTACTATTAAAGATGCTGCATACGTTCCGCAACAAAATTTAACAAATCACATTTCTGACATTATTTCACCACCACTTGGTCCACGGGAAATTAGTTCAAAATCAATTGTACCAGAATTATTTTCATTTGAAACTCCTCATGCAATTTTACCGACGTGAGTGTTTTTTTTTTTGCATAATAATAATAGTGATAATAATAATAATAATAATATGTGGTTTCACTTTTTTTTTCAAAATATTCACATTTTTATATACAATGTTTTCAGAAATATAGCATCGATTATAAATTATTCGCCTTTCTTACGTAAAAATATTCTTTCAGTAAACGAATTCACGCGTAATGACCTTCATTTATTATTTGGTATCGCCCACGAAATGCGTACATTGGTGGAGCGTTATGGTACAATAAATTTGCTTCAAGGTCGCGTAATGGTCACATTATTTTATGAACCATCTACAAGGACCTCGGCTTCTTTTCAAGCAGCGATGTATAGATTAGGTGGTCGAGTCATTTCTATTAACGTGGAAGCCTCATCGGTTTCCAAAGGTGAAACGTTAGAAGATACAATTAGAACATTAGGATCTTATGGTGATGTCATCGTATTGAGACATCCCGAAGCTGGTAGTGTAAAAACTGCAGCCAAATTTTCACCAGTTCCAATAATAAATGCGGGAGATGGAATCGGAGAACATCCTTCTCAGGTAAAAAATAAGTATAATATATTAAATCCAAAACAAATTTATTGTGTATTTACTTATATATTTGGGATTATTTTTAGGCATTCCTTGATGTATACACAATTCGTGAAGAATTAGGAACAGTAAATGGTTTAACTGTCACTATAGTTGGAGACTTGAAAAATGGTCGAACTGTTCATAGTTTAGTTCGAATTTTGTCACAATATCAAGTTTCTCTCAATTATGTTAGCCCAGCTTCATTACGTATGCCGGAAGAAGTCAAAGCGGAAGTTCGTAAGACAAATAAGATAGAACAAAAAGAATATGTTGACCTGGATGAAGTGATTGCAGAGACAGATGTACTTTATATGACGAGAATCCAACGAGAACGGTTTGATAGTGTAGAAGAATATAACAAAGTTAAAAGTTCTTATGTCGTAAATAATGCTACGCTAAGTAAATCAAAGCCGCATATGATTGTCATGCATCCACTTCCAAGAGTCGATGAAGTTGATCCAGAAGTTGATTTTGACGATCGTGCTGCTTATTTCCGCCAGGTGAAATATGGAATGTTTGTCAGGATGGCTTTACTTGCATTAGTAAGATATTTCTTCGTTTTACGAAATTGTCATTATTTACAAACATATTCTAATTTATTTTCCAACCTTCTATTGATTTATTATTATTTTTGCAGATTTTGGGAAAATATTCATAATAAAACCTATTAAACACATTAAGCATTTACTTTTCTAATAACATATAATGTTTTTTAAAAATAAAAATATGGCATTTAAATGATTTACACATGATTAATGATGTATCAGAATATAAAATTTCATTGGCTGATTATTTTCATTTTTTAAAAATTTTGACAAGAACTTGTTGCGCAATATCATACACTACCTAAATGGTTATTTATTTTCTTAGGTAATTATATGGGTAAGTTTTATTTTTTATCAAATAATTAAATTTAGTTAGTATTTTGTGGGGGGAGGAAGTCATACGCAAATTATAAAATCTGTGATTATTATTTTTTTTTTTTTGATGATAAAAATGTAATTAGATATTTTTCCTTTTCTGCGGATTCAACTGACAACCATTTTTTGTTAGCATAAAGTTGAAGAATGTCATCATTTTTTTAAAACAAGGATACTATAATATAACTAAATGATATAAATTCAAATTTACATTCACCAAGGAGCCTTCAATAATAAAGTCTAGAATCTTACACAAAAATTATTTTGACGGATTATAATATATTAAATTAGATTAATTAAATTGTAATCGGGGAACAAATTTCTTGTACAGTTAAATTCTTGCTTATAACTCTTAGTTCTATAATTAGAAATAGCATGTGAATTTTTTAAAGAAACAGATAAGAAATGGTCTTTATGTAGCAGCTAATTGACATTTGAAATAATGATGAATTCTTTTTTTTTAATTGTATAAAAAATATGTGTTTATGTACATTATTTAAATAATCGTGAAATAATAATATTACAAATTGAAGAATATATATATATATATAAATTACAAACTAATAATTAAAGAGATTTACGATTTTCTTGCTGTAACTTTCTGACTTACTACTATATTCATACTAATTTTTTTCATAATCCCTTTTTTTTACGCGTCTAACTAATTACTTTATTAATTATCTATCTCATTTGTGGCAAAAGGGAAGGAAGATTGTTGAGTTGAAGTTTTTTTATGTGTATTCAAAATTGAAAACGAAGGAGAAGGAGGAGAAGTAGAAGAAGGAGAAGTAGAAGAAGGAGAAGAAGATGAATGATAACTTGAAGAACGATTAATGGGAATTTTAGGAAAATTACTACGACCAATTAATAATCCTTTTATACTTCTAATTTCAGTTTTAACTTGTTCCGCGGTTGGATCATTACGATAACGTCCATTACCATAAACTGACCAACTATTTGTTAATAAATGAAAATTAGCCGAAAGGTAAGTTACTAAAGATGTTAATGATTGTTGTAAATCTTCCATCGCTTCATTTTTTAATACATTTTTTTGATGAGTATGTATTCGTTCAGTTAAATTTGATAAATCGTTAGAAAGTGGAGCCAATAATGATGGAGGGTTTGATGATAACATTTCATATTTATCTTCTGAAGAAAAGGTTATTGAATCCTCTTCATCATATTCATTTATTTGATCATCACTTCTTTTATCATTATCACTTGATTTGTTGATTTCTTTACTTTCTCTCTTTTGTGATGTTAAAGGTGAAAGCTTTTCATTTAGCTTTCCAATGAGAGAAAGTTGATGAGAATAAAGTTGTTGTTTGGCAAAAATGATTGCAGATACCACTGGACCAAGTAATTTCTAAAGAATTTAAAATATTGTTATAATTGAAACAATATCTTAAAAAGATTTGATAATAATAATAATAATAAATAATGTGTAATTACCTTAATTGCAGTAATAAGTGCTACACTGAAAACTCCAGTAAAAAGTAATACATATAAAAGATTCTTCCAAATTTTTGGTCTTCCTATGATTTGTTTTTGTGGAGGGACGTTTACTAAAGGAAGAGTTTGTGGTGAATACGTTCTTGGAGGAACCACTGGTGATTCAGAAATAGTAGTAGTGGCAGTAGAAGTAGAAGTAGAAGTAGAAGGTAATGAAGAGGTTTGCTTTATAATTTCCAAATTTCAAAATATAGATAAGATAAATTCTTTGATTAATTCAATGTAGTTTTAAAAATAAAATAAATAAAATAAAAATTGAATTAATAAAGATTACCAATTTTTCTTTTACTTTCTCCTTTGCAATCTCAATTTCTTTTCTTGTTAATCCTTTACTCAATAAAAATTGAGTTTTTTTTTCTTCTTCAGCTTTAATAACGTTAGGACTAGAAAGAAAATTGACAGCTTGAGATATGAAGTTTTCTCTAGGTTCAATATTCGTAGAAGTAGGTGAGGACGAGGATTTAGAAGTTGTGGTAACATCAACGTCTTTATTAATTTCGGAATTCGTTGAATTCGTTCCAGAATTCGACCTCATTCGTTTAGACTTTTGAATATCCCTTTGTTTTTGTACTAATTCTTTATTCTTTTTCTTTCTTTCTTCTGGGGTCAAACTAGGTCCCAATAAATCACGAACTTTATCTTTTGATACTTCAGCATTAGTTTCAACGATTTGAGTTTGCGTTGGTGCTTGTGTTGGAGTTAGTGGTATTTTTACTTCTTTGCCTTCTAATTTTACTATATTTTCCTTATTTTCTACATTTTCGACAGGAAGAACTTCATTATGTTGTGAATTATCTGTAATTAAATCATTTTCTTTAATTTTTTCAGTTTCGTTATCTTGACCCATTTTTCCGTGGGAAATAATAAGCTAAATCAATGCTTTTAACAACTTAAATAATGCGGGCTAGGAATTACTGTTATTGGCTAAATGTAAAAAAAAAAAAAACTGGCTACACTTGAGAAATAAAGTTTTTCTAAACAAGGAAATTATAAATTTAACTTTAAACAATCTTATATGTCACCATTCCATTAGCTTTTTTTTTCTTTTTTAAAAAGATGGATCCCCTTATTTTTACAGCACCTGCACGTATTCGTGTACTGCTTGTTCCAGTTCATCCTATCAAAGCTTCAACATTTCATAAAAAAGTTGAATTGGTTAAGAAATTCTCTGTAGTTAAACTTGGAGATGTTACCCCAGATATGCGAGGTGATCATTGTAAGTAGTATCAAAATTTTCTTTTCTTTGGAGGATAAGAATAAACACTTCTCATTGGGAAATATGAATAGCGAATATTTTTATTGATTTAATAATATTACAACCGTAAAGAATTGGGAAAAAAAAAACGAATTAAAATATTATTGATATAAATCAAATCAAAATATGATTCAAAAAAAATCACTATCAAATTGGTTCAATTGGTAACGATGTGTTGTCAAAAAATCACAAAATCAAAAAATATTACTACAACTACACACAGCCATGTTCAGCTCACAGCTCTTTAATGAAGGTCAGTTATATTTTAACTTCGTGACTTCATACGAACCAGAACATGCTTACCTTGAAGAATTTCAAATGCATCGTAGAATTTTTGGGGTATATTTATTAATTAATTTATTATTATTTCATATTTCTTCAAATTTCTTCATAATTTATAATTTATTGATAATTTATGAAAATGTGTAAAATATATTATTATTATTATTATTATAATTATTATTACAGGTTATTGGAATTATGGATTGTGGTGAATGGACAAATTTAACAGATGGATATAAAAAGTTTACAGAAATATTAAAAAATGTATTAAATTCATATTTTTTGTTTTATATATTTATATATATGTATATATATATATACATTTTTAATAATTGGATAAAAATTTAATAAATATATTTTATAAGTATTCAACAGCATTTTCCAATCGTTGTTTTGCGTTTGATCCATCAGAAAATCAACCTGATGATACTAAAGGATTAATTATGATACCAAATGTTGGAAATATAGAATTTTATATAAGTACTATGATTTCGGATTTTGCTAATAATATTCTTACTGAATTTGGAAATTTAGTTAGTATTTCTTTACTCTTTCTATTTTTCTTTCTTTTCTTTTTTTTTTTTTCTTGGATTTATTATATGAATAATATTATTAATGATATAATTAATTATCAGGCATCCAAAATTGAAAAGAAACAAATAATATATTCACCAAGAATTCCTTCCACTACATCATCACCAACACCTTCTTCCTCTACTACAACATCTTCTTCAACATCAACATTATTATCTTCAACTGTTAATGGAATGAATGGAAAATATTCATCACCCGTGCCATCATTTTCATCACCAGAATTAAATAATTCAATGTTTCCGCTTACACCTCCTTCCACCGCCATGACAACAGCCGGAATGGGAGGAACAACGGCTGGTGTTAATCCTAAAGATAATCCATTTCACGTTCGATCATTTTCTTCTTCAACTATAGCAAGTATCGCAAATCAAGCCGCCAATATGCCAAATACTATGGCTGATATGAAATTAAAAAAGAGAGCTGCTGGAAGAACTCAAAAATTAATTGCTGATTTATATTTAATGGCTGGTAGATTGCCGGATGCTGTATCACAGTGTGTACAAATTTATTAAATTATTTATTATTATTATTATTATTATTATTTTTTAATGTTTAAAAATGAATCTAATTATTTATAAATTATTTATAAATTTTTAAAAAATTATTTATAGTTATTCAATGGCTATTGAAACTACAAAATCCAATGGTGATCATTTATGGCATGGATCAGCAATAGAAGGATTATGTGTAGGATTAATTCTTGCTGAATATTTGCATACTGATGTTGGGGTAAAGATTAATTTAATTTAATTTAATTTAATTTTTTAATTTAACAATTAAATAATAATAATAACAACAACAATAATAATGATATTGATAATAATAATAATAATAATAATAATAATTTTTAGTATATCCTTAATCAAGCTCCACCTTCACCTAATCCCCAATCACAAACAATTCCTCCAATTGAAACACCAAAATCTTTATGGGAAGAAATTGTAGAAAAATATCATACAGTATTACTTGATTATTTTAAAACCTCAAATTCATCTTATAATCAAGTCCCTCCGTTAATTTATACTGAAGCATGTTTAAAGGTTGCCAAGATGTTAGCTTATATTTGGGCAGCAGGTGGATGGGGTGATGATGCTTTAAAATTAATTGTTCATGGGGGAATTCCTGAAAAAGGAAAATGGGGATTAGGTTCTTTAAAGTGGATGTCAAAAGCTGATATTACTCAATGGGCAATGAAAGGTTATGGAAGATCGATTGTGGATATGTCTATTACTGAACAGGTAATTTATTATTTAATATTATTTATTTATTTATATTTACATAAATGTTATTAATTTTTAATTAAAATAAACTTTAATAACCTTAAACCTTAATTTATATTTATATAAAATGTTATTAATTTTTAATTAAAATAAACTTTAATAACCTTAATAACTTTAATAACCTTAAAACCTTTAATAACCTTGACAATCTTTGATAACCTTAATAAATCTTGAATAAATCTTGAATAAATCTTGAATAAATTTGAATAAATCTCGAATAAAAATATTTATTATTTTAGATTCATGTTACCACCACAATTTCAACTATATTCTCAATAATCAATTTTCGTAGAAAACATGCATTTTTCCTTAGACAAACTTCATTACTTATTACACCATTATTAGTTAAACCTCGTAATAATACTACACAAACACAAAATAAATCATCATCTTCAGGGGGAAGTGGAGGAAATGATGGAGGTTTATTATCATGTTTAAAAAAAGTAACAGAAGTTTATGGCGTTGGTGATAATGTTGATAATGAAGATTATTCAGTAGCAGTTGAAAATGCTAGACCTCTTACGTTTGGTTGGCCTGATTTACAAATAGATGTATTAAAAGATTCTATAATGGTGACTGAAGTATTACCTGGTAATTTACAATTCATTTAATACATATATACATTTTTGCCTATATCTATTTTCTTATATTTATTTATATATATTTTTCTGTAGATTATCCTTCAATTGTAAAGTATACAACAAGACTTTTACGAAAGTTATTTATTTATTTACCAAGAGATGAACAGATTCGTTTATCAGGTTCTTTACCTAGAGTTGTTGCTTCTGGTAAAAAACAAGGATTAGAAATGGAATTTAAATATTGGGGAGTAAATATTGTTCAAGGTATTCAAGTTTGTCGGTATGTTATTTTCTATTATTATTTTATTTTATTCTATTTTATTTTTTTGAATATTTTATTTTTGGATATATTTTAATGATTTTTCTATTTTCGGATATATTTTGATTATATAAATAAAAGTCCCACTTCACGAAGGATTCCTTTTCCACATTATAAAGAGACGGATGATGGTGTTGATAAACCGATTGATCCTTTTCTTTATAAAAGTTTTAATGTGACTAAAGTTGAAACTGTTCAAGTAATTATTATTATCTATATTATTATTATTAAAATTATTATTATTAAAATTATTATTATTATGTATATTATTTCTTTTTACGAACTAATTTTAAAATATATAAATATATAGACGCATTTGGTTACAAATGAAACGGCATATTTCTTAATTTCTTTAACTAATCCATTTGCATTTGATTTGGATATTCAAAGTATTTCTGTGAGGTTTGTTTATTTCTCTTAAATCTTAAGATATTTCATGATATTTATTTCATTTGTTTATTTATTTATTTTTTTTTTCGTTTTTACTATAGCACGGAGGGAGTTAATTTTACTCCAAATTCATTAGCATCTACAATAACTGCTAATACCTCAATAACGTTGAGAGTATCCGGTGTACCAACTGAACCAGGTGAATTGGTGGTTAGAGGTTTTAAAATAAAAGTTCATGGATGTTTGGAACAAGAATTTTGTGTATATTTACCTCCCAATGATGAGGAAATAAAAAGGAAAGAAAAAGAAGAAGAATATAGTAAACGAATTAAGAAAAGGTATATTTAATTACTTTTTTATGATCTAAAATTTTCTTTTCATTCATTTATTTTTTTTTTTTTTTCATTTCATTTTTTATAATATTAGCGGGTTAGCAGTTTTAAATCATTCAGGTCATCATCGAGGTAATTTAATTAAATGTTTTGAATATTGAACATAAATATTTGACGATATTTAATTTTTTTAAAAATATTTTTAACATTAAATATTCTTTTCATCACATTTAGAATTATCTCAGTCAAGTAATCAATCAAAAAAGGAATATATTGCTGAATTCCTTAAAGTTACTGTAATAACTGAACAACCTTTAATGAAAATCAAATCAACTTCATTAATGCATGGAGCAATTATGTTATTCGAAGGAGAAAAGTATATATTTATATATTTAATCTTAAAATAATAATTTTTAAATTAAAATTATCTTCAAATACTTAAAAAAAAAATAACAATCTTAATAATAATCATAATAATAGATCTTCTATGACCATAAAACTCGAAAATGTTGGCAAAATTCCGGTTGATTACATAAGTTTATCATTTCAAGATTCATCAACTGCCAATGCTCAAGCTTTATTAAAGTCATCATCAGATATTCCACCAGAAGAAGCTTATGAAATGGAATTATATGCTCACAAATTACCAGTATTTTCTTGGGAACCACCAGATAAACCATTTAAAATTTTACCGGCAGAAGAATTCGTACTTAATATTAGTTTATTTGGAAAACGTGGATGGTGAGAAAATTGTTAATTAAATTAATTACATTAATTTCGTGTGTGCGCGATATTTATTTGATATTTATATTTGATATATATTAATATTTATATTTATTTATATTATTTTTAGTACTAATGCCACTATACAAATAGATTATGGATATCTTAATCGTATAGATGGTCATGATGAAAGCATGAATGATACATTTTATTCTCGACAAGTTTTTTATCCGGTTCTTTTAACTGTTCATCAAAATTTGGAACCAATTTCTATGGATATTTTAAATTTCAAACCATTAAATAATATTGATAATCTCGATGATAATATTTCAAATAATAACGTTAATGGAACCATTACTACTAATGGAATTACTATTAATGATGAAATTAATGGTATTGCTGATAACAATAACATTGATGATAATAATAATAATGATAGTTCTCTATCTTCACCTTCTTTACCAATTAGACAAGTTGAAGAATTAATTAAAATGATAACATGGAATAATAATAATAATAATAATAATAATAATAAAGGAATAACAACAACAAATGAAGAATTTGTGAATAGAATGAATAATGATTATTGTTTATTGACATTTGACATAAGAAATGTTTGGCATGTTGCATTTGATGTAACGGTTGAATTTGATGAAGGTAAATTTTTTAATTGAATTAATTATTTAAATATTTAATCATTTAATTATTTAATTAATTAATTCATTTAATTATTTAATCATTTAATTAATTAATTATTTATTTATTTAATCAATTCATTTAATTATTTAATCATTTAATTTTAATGAAATTATTTTTATACATATTTAGGCAATGGAAATTCCCCATTGAGCATTACTACTACTATTCAACCATCAGCATCAACAAGGTAAAGGAAACAACAATGCTTAACACATAATAAGTTCCTCTTTTCACTTGCTTTTTAATTATTATTTAAATACATTATTCTTTATATGAATAATATTAATAATATGTATTATAATATTTCTCTAGAATTCTATTACCTATTAAACGAATGTTTCTTAATGAAAAAGAATACACTCAACCAATTCCTTCTTCAAAGCAATTTGTAGTATCAAAAGAACCAAAGATATCTGCTGAACAAGAGAAATTACAATTAACTTTGTTTTGGTATAGAGAAAATTTGTTAAGAAAAATTAGAGCTTATTGGGAATTTGTAATTATTAAATTATATTTTTTAATTCTTATCATATATATTACTCAAATGTTACTTCAATTAATTAATTATTTATTTATTTATTTTAGGCATTAACAAATCAAACTGGAATAGTTGATATAAGATCATTAAGACTTAACAAATCTATGCTTAATGTATTGAGAATTAATGAAATTTCATTTGGAATTGAAATTGAAGAAAAACCAAAAATTTCAAAAATATCTTGTAATCAATTTATTTGTCCTGTGAATGAATATGTGAATATAAAATTTATAATTTCTAATAATCAAGGTTTGTTATCAATTTTTCTGTCAAATTTTCTGTTAGTTCATTTTTTTTTTTAAGATTTTCAGAATTTCTAATCTTTTATTATTTTATTATTATTATTATTTTTGTATAGAAAAACCAAGTAAATTATGTTTGAGAATTCAACCAGTACAAAGTCATAGTGATGGAATGATGGAATGGGATTTACCAAGAAGAATGGTATGGAATGGATTATTACAAACACCATTACCTGAGGTATTAAAATCTTTATTTTATTTTTAATTTTCATTTTTTTTTTATGATTGTAAAAAACTGAGCATGATTTTTTTCAATTTCAATTCACAGGTTAAACCAAAATCATCAACAATTTATACTTTACCGATATGTTTCTTTTCTAGAGGAAAATTTAAATTTTTGTATCATTGTGAAGATGTTTTTACTAGAACAATGTATTTTGATACACAACCATTGGTGATTGAGGTTTTTGATAATTAGAATTTTATGTGATATATTTATTTATTTATTTATTATTGATTTTTTTTTTTTTTGAAAAAAAAAATACAAAAATTGTAAGTATGCATTCAGGGTTGGTGATATAAAGTTAGAAGTAACTTTTCTTTTTATATATTTTGAGTTATTATAGATGTTTAGTTTTTTATTTTTAAAAGTTTTTTTTTTTTTTGGAGGGGATTTTCTTTTAGTTATTTAAGTATATGTAATATAATTTTTTTAAAAGTCGAATTACTACACTTTTTAATAAATGAATATATTATTTGATGATGTTATAGAAAGAGAATTAAACAAATGATTTTCTTTACATTTAGGTTAAATAAATAAATATATATATATGAGTTCATAAGGAAGATAATTGATTAATTTAAAGAAAAATTTTTTAACTAAAGAAAGAAAATTGGTTAAATTAAATCATTTAGAAATATTAAAGTTTAAAGATAAATAAGCCAAGTGAATTATGTATCATCGGAATTGAAATAAATTTGCTGCTAAATAAAATTTATTATCAGTTAGCCTTAATAACCTTGATAGCTACATGTATATTAATTAGTTTTGTGATCATGTGTCAATTGTGTTCGATTACCAAAAGGCAAGTTTAAACTCTCGTTTTCTTTAACTTTTATCACAACTTCATATGTAAAAAAACAATATAATAAGAATTTGATCACATGCATGCTTTATAAGGTTTATAAGGTGGTGGTGATTTATACGTATTATGCAAGAGAATTTTACACAATAATCTTTATCTGTTCCAAAAATGTTTGTTAATAATAATAATAATAATAATAATAACGATAACATTAAAAACTTCAATAACTTCACTAACTATCGAGATAAAACTAACAAAGTTGAAGACGACAATAATTACTCTCAACCATTTATTTCCGAACAACAAACAAAACTTGCTCATTTTTCTCAATTATCAAATTATCGATTTCAAAGACTTGAGGATTGGCTTGAAGAAAAATATTCGCATCCCGATGCTTGGCTTGATAATAATAATCATCAATTTAAAGATGAACAATGGTCCGATTTACCATCAATTAATACAGGAATTAATGAATTTCATTCATTTGGAAATGTTTCAAGGTTAGATCATCTTAATTTTAGGAAGAACCAACATTTACCATCATCGACGAATTTTTGGAGGAAAATTACAAAAGAAATAACCACGAAAGAAATGACTACAAAAGAAATAACTACAGAAAAAATAACTACAGAAGAAAAACCTATAGAAGAAATAACTACAGAAGAAATGGATTGGTCAAGCATTTAATTCTTTATTATTAAATGTGTAAGCTAAACGACTTGTTAGTAAGCGAGAGTATTAAGATAAAAAGAGGAAAAAAAATTATAATTACAATTCTTTAAGACAATAATTATTTTTTTATATACTATCTAAGTTTATGTTTTTTACCCAATATTCATTTCTTTATTTCAATAACCTTCTAAAATATTTTATAAATAACCCTTCAACTCATTTAATAAACCTTTCATAACTTTTAAATTCCGTTTTTTCCTTTAAAAAATGAAAAATTTTTAATGAATCATTGATATATCAGATGAAAAAAATTAATGCTTATTAACAGTTATAGATAAATAAATAAATAAATAAATAAATATATAAATATATATATATATATATATATTTGATTTTATTTATTAACGATCTCCTCAAGTATATCACGTCTTTAATTCTTTGTATTATTCAATTCTCTCAAATAAAATTATTTACCGTGAAATTATTTAACTAATAAAAAAAAAATGAATTTAATAAACTACTACAAAATCAAAAAAAAATTCAACTAATGAAAATTGAAAATGAAAATAAATGAAAAATGAAAATCAGTTAATAAATGAAAAAAGTAAGAAATAATTCTCTAAAACCATTCAATATGAACTAATCCTTCTGCCCAAAAATGTGAAGTTCCCTCACAACGTCGTTTAATCACCTTATCTTTAGTTACATTTTCAATTCTTTGAAGAAGGTCTTGTTGATCTGCCGGTATATCAAAAATCCATTTCATCAAATTATACTTATATTTAAATTGTTTCAATCCTGTTCCCGATTTATCAAGAAATGTAATTAATGAATCTAATTCCAATGAATTATCAGTAATTTCTAAACATTGAATAGTTTCGGGAAAATTATTCGAGAATTCTAAAACAAATTCATCTAATCTAAATTTAAAAATTCTATGATACTTTTGATCAATGACAAGTTTTTCTAACTTTTTACAATTTTTAAATACAGAAAATAATCCATCTAAATCTAGAATAGAATAAAGGCGAGTTGATAAAAATAAAAGGTTGGGACAATACTTTGCAACTATCTCTAATCGACCAGGAGGAGAATAAAAATTATCAAGTCTAAGATCAGTAAAATTATTTCCATTATTTTGTATCAAGGCGGAAATTGGATCTAATAGAGAAATTCCATTCCAAGCAATAGAATTATCTATAAGACTAAATTGTGAAAGATTATTAAAATTTGCTCTTGATAAAGGTTCTAAAACATTTAAACCGAAATTTCCTTCTAAAAGTAAATTTTCTAATTTATCAAATTCAAGTAAAAATTCAAATTTTTCTTCATCAGCATAAAAATCATAAATTTCAAAAGATCGAATAGATTTTTTGTGTAAAACTAAAATTCCAAAAACAGTTGGTAAATATTGATTAAATCCTCTAAGTATAACAATTTCTAAAATATCTAAATTTTTAATAAATTCACGAAAATTATCTAACCAAATCTGAATTTTATCAGAAGTTTCAGGTTGATAAACATCTAAAATTTTAATATGCTTAACATGAGAATTTAATGATTTAAATATAATTCCTGATTCCGATTGATTAGAATAATTATATCTTAATAAATTAAGTCGAAATAAAAAATCTTTAGATTTAATACCAGAAAAAATATTTTCAGCCCAATGATATTTTGCATAATCACAAAAGGAAATTGAAATACTATCAATTTTTTCACATTTTTCCCAAATTACTTGAAATATAATTTCAATTAAATTATTTAAAATATTCCTATTTAGGATTAAATCATTATATTTAATCCACTCAGCTAATTTGATTTCAATATGATTTCCAATTTCAATTTGTCTACAAAAACTAGGGTAATTAAAAAAAGTTGAAGTTGGAATATTAAAAATTTTATAACTCAAATTAAGAAATTCTCTGGTTTCTTTACTTATATAAGATAAAATTATTGGTATTATTTTATAATTTTTTCCATCAAGAGACTCAAGAAATGGATTTCTCCAGATTAAAGGTACACCATTCCAACACCAGTAACTATCAACTTGTATGCATTTAAACAATGTTGATATTGAAAGATCTTTGAATATTTCTCGCATACATTCTGGAGGAAGTTGTGTCATTATATTATATTTATTGTATTTTATGTTTAAATTTATCTGTTATCTGTTTATTTGATTTATATGTTTATAAAGTTATCTGTTATATTTGTATTTTATATTGATAAGTCGAATTGAATGAAAAAAAGGGAGGATAGGACAAAGGAGAATAAAAGAAAAAGGAAGGTAGAGTAGAGAAAGAATATCGTGACACTGAATTTACTCAGTGACCAAATGTCATAATTTATATAAGCATTACGATCAGCTGATTGCTGAGTCAAACCTAAATGATTAACTGTACTGTTTTAGTTTTAAATAGATTAAATAAAATTATTTAATTTATAAAATAATTTGTTATTATTTAGAATTTGAATTTTTTATTTACAAATGAAAATGTAAATGTAAATTAAAAAAATCATGTGTTTGTATATGTTGTATGTATATGCATATATAATATATATATTTTACATGAGCTATCAAGATTTGAATTTTGTTTTTGTTCGTCTTCGTTTCTATTTTCTAATTTGATAATGAATAATGACTATAAAGAATTATGAATAATGACGAAGAATTATGAAATAATGCTAATGACTTATAATTATGAATAAGAGTGGTTAGATGTTGACGGTTTTAAGTAATATTTTTACTACTGGTTATTATTATTACGTTATCACTATGTTCTAATAAAAATATTAACTAAAATTTCGGGGTAAACGAAAACGAAAACTAAGATCAAAAGCTATCTATAATTAACAATAACTACTTTTATCGTGTATTTACATATTAAAAAAACCCTCCCACCTTCCCAATAGAATTTAGTAGACTAACTAATAAAATTATTGAAATTTTTAACTTCAAAAAAAAATTGATCCAAAATAAAAAATTTAAAGTTTTTGACTAGCCAGTCGACGCGCCAATTCAAGAATAAGGGGGCCGATTGTAAGCGGGTTCAACTGACTGGCGTCGTCATCATCACTCTGCACGAGGTCCGTTAAAACGTCCATTAGGACCCCGTGCAGATCTTCTACCTGGTCTCGCAAGTCCTTGTTACGATCCATTATCTTCTTCAATTCGACCTTCTTTTCTTCTGAAAGCTTCTTGGCCTCCGAGGCCTGTGAAGCTTTCTCTGATTTCTTGGAATTTAGCCTACGTTCCTTAATCTCGAGATCTTTAAACTCTGACTCGAGATCTTTATATGAAAGACAAATCCAATTATTAATTCATAGTTGATATGACTTTTTTATATTTTCATTATAAAATGCTTTATGTTTTATATTTACCTTCATGGTAACTGTTAAATTCACCCGAGAAGATCGAGAAAGGAACGTCAAGCCGCTTTAATTTGTGTTCTAAAAATTTTCAATAAATTTAATAAATAATTTAAATAATTTAATAAATTTAATAAACTTAATGATTTATAAATGTATTAATACTATAAAAAATAAAAAATACAAAACAATTCAATGTAATAAATATAATAAATATAACAAATCTAGCAAAATCTAGCAGGTATAGAAAATACAGAAATTTTAGAAAATATAGCAAATATTCATGTTTTGATTCATGTTTTGCTTCTCGACTGTTTCAATATAATAAATATAAATCTTGTACATACCTTGCGGAAAATACGGAAAATACTGATTATTTTGTCGAGGATTACTGAATCTATCTTGTCCAGGACTTAACGGGACCCGGCGAGATTGCTATAATAAAAAAAAAATGTATTAAGAAGTAAATCTTTAAATTTAAATTATAAAATATAATAAAAATTATTTTATTTTTAATTTATTATACATACCGAGAGACGTGATCCATTCCCATTTATGCCATTCGTGCTGCCACTACTTCCATTCATAATATCACCGTTAGGTGAATGTATATCGTGTTCATAATCTCCACCTCCATTTACATCATTTGCGGAATCTTCATCAAGACTTCCATTTATACCGTTACTATATACTTCATCACCATCATTAATAGATCGGTTTACGCCATTATTTTCAGCACGAACAGCTCGGAGACGACTTCTTGTCCTTTGACTTATTTTAGTGTCACCGTTTTTCTTAGATATTCGATGATTATTATTTTGTTGTACATGATTTTCGATTATGGTATTTTCATCATTAACATCATTTGAAGCTTCACCATTTTCTTCGATTTCTTGTTCATTTTCTTCTATATTTATCAACATGAAAATTATGTGTCGTAGTAAAATAAACTAGAAATTTATTTTCCTGACATGTTAAAAAATAAGTTATTTATTGTTTTTATACCTTCAGTTTCACTTTCTGAGGAAGCACTTGTGTCCATTGGAACTTGGTCTTCACAAGGATTGAAGTCTTCGTCACTTCTTTCGTCATAATTATCAGAGTTAGCGTCACCAAAATACCACTCTTTAGTGTTCATCTTTTTTGCGTGGTAGTTGTTGAGCATATATTTAGGTAACTTGTAGTTTATGTAAAAAAGAGGTTTTGAAAACTTTTAACAGATTTTGAAATTTTGAAATTCTTTCACGTCTTGTTTATTTGACTTTGATAAACTAGGATATACCGGCCGGCAAATTTTTTTTTTTTGTAAGCATTCTATTATATCATGACTTTGGCATGTATTAAATGATGATTGGTTTAAAAAATTTGTCAAGTAGCACGACTTCTAAATGACATGACATCTAAATGATGATGTTGGCTTTTATTGAGTCTTATTTCTGTCATTTAAAATAAACCTTTTGTTTATCCAATCACATTAACCTTTTCACAAAAAAATTTTAGTACACGTAATTATTTCTCATAAAAAGCAAGCATGCAAATCACATGATTTAAAACGTAGTGTTTTTGTTGTTTCTTTACAAGTGAGATTATTGATTAAATAATTAAATTAATATTCAAGATCTTGTTAACATTTCGAGTCTAAACTTTCAAAAAAAGTCAAAAATTATACAGCTAAATAATAAATGGGCATCAATGTCGTTTAGAAACAAGGTTTTAAAAGTCAGGTGTATAAAGCACGTGTAACTATGTGAAAAGTCATTGATATATGTAAGGATTTCCAATATAAGATTTAATTCATATGTTGAAATTATAAATCATAAGTATATAAAATAAATTATATATATAAATAAATATGTGGTAGGTCATTTAAAACAAGGTTTATACAATATTTTCTAAAAAAAAAAAAAAAAAAAATTTTTAAGGAAAATTTTTCTTGATTTCGTTAATATCGTGCGGTATCAAAAAAAACCCACCTTTATCTTAATTATCTTATTACAAGTGATAATAATAAGAATAATAAGAACAAATTATTATAATTACCACCGAAATTTCTTTGATAGGAAATTTAAAATTCATCATTAATTATACAGAATTTATAGGTTTCGTTATATTTACTCTTTACATACTAATTGGGAAAACTTTAATTATTTATTTGAACTAGCGAAAATAATAATAATCGATTTTCAGTAAATCATTCTAAACAATTATTAATTATTATTAGCATTAGTATTACTAGAATGCAGAAGATATGAGAAGTAAAAAATTATTCACTAACATATGCCAAAAATAAAAATGTATGATATAATGAAAAATGAAAAATTATTTATCTCTACAATTCTTCAATAATTATTCGGAATCTTTGGCTTTTCTCTTCAAATGTTTTTTTTTTTAATCTCGAGAATGATTTTTGACAAAAATAATTTAATCAGAATTTTAACTAGTAAATCTAATATCAAATATGATAAAATTTAAATCTGCAATTACAAATCTTTAAATATCTCAATTAATTCTTTTTTTTAGACTGTTACAATGCAGAAAGATACTTCTTGCTTATTTATTAAATAAAAAAATAATACATTTATAAGCTAAAACATTTATTTAATATTGTAAATTAGCATACATTTAGGAACCTACTGATTTCCATTTGTTGCGTGGATGATTGGATCACGTTACACAAAGATCTAAAATATCTAAAATATCGTCTTTAATATTTTCGAAAAACAATTTAAAATGCCTAAATATTTAATTCAATTTGCCCAATGTATGTACATATAATTCTAATAATAAAAATTTCTTTTAAAAAAAGAATTTAAATCATTTATTATTTATATTGATTTGATTATTGTTTTTTGACAGTTCATGAAGAATTTAGATTACCAGAATTGGAATCTTTGGCAAAAATTGAAAATGTAAATTTATCTTTTAATATAAATGATTATAAAAAAGATGTAAGTTTAAATAATAATATTATTTCTGCAAAAATAAAATAATTCAAAGAATAAAACAACTATTTTTATCGAATGATTAAAAATTTTCTATTTAGTGTCCTTTTTTTATAGTAAATATTGAAACGGAAGAAGAAGCTAACCGGCTTATCAGACGTGCAATTTTAGTAAAGTGAGTGTGCCGCGTTAGAAATAAAATGAAAATAAAAATAATAATAATGAAATAATGAACTTATTTTAATTGATTAATGTAGAAATATATATGAATTATGGGGAATGGGTGAAAATTATGAGAAAGTTCATGAACAAGTAAAAGCAAATCCAGAGAGATGGGTACATAATTTCATTTTGTTGAATTATTTGTTTGCTTTCCTATTTAAGAAATAATTAAGAAAATAATTTGATTTTCTCTATCTAATTCAGTCTCAATATGAGTACAAATCTTTTAAATTTATAATATCAGCTTTTGGTTCCACATGTCCTTCAGATTATCAAGTTCGTATAATCAATTCTTTCTCATATCTTGGATTTAAAGGAGATATTAATTTAAAAAATCCTCAAGTACAATTTGGAGCTTTGGAAGATTATGGATTGGATCCATCTTTACCTGCTCCACCGCCAAATCCTTACATGATATATTTTGGTCGATTGGTAGGGCACTTCTCTTTTTTATTATCTTCTTTATCACACTCTTTATTGCACTCTTTATCACACTCTTTATCACACTCTTTATCACCCTCTTTATCACCACTCTTTTTTACCACTCTCATTTATCACACTTTTTACAAACTCCTCACGTGATTACGCGTGTTATATAAATTAGATAGCATCTGGAAATAGGGATCTTATTAAAAAATATAATTTGAAACAAAGAGAATATATTGGAAACACCTCAATGGATGCTGAATTATCATTAATTATGGCCAATCAAGCTTTAGTATGAATTTCTTGTGATTTTTTAATCGAGATAACCATTTTCTTCTCATAATCTCTAATCTATTTTCCCCATTTCTTGGATAAAGGCTGAACCGGGTAAATTAATTTATGATCCATTTGTTGGTACAGGTAGCTTTCTTTTTACTTGTGCTCATTATGGAGCATTTACCATGGGATCGGATATTGATGGTAGACAAATTCGTGGTCAAGGTATTCAATTATTTATTTATTGTTTATTTATTTATGTAAATTATTATGGAAAAATATTATTAATAATTTAATATTTTCACATTTCTTTTTAGCCAATAAATCCATAAAATCAAATATTGAACAATATAATCTACATGGTAAAGTCCTTGATACTTTGGTTTTTGATATATGTCATCACCCGTGGCGAGAAAATTTATGGTTTGATGCAATAGTGACAGATCGTAAGTGATAATTATTGTTATTTTCGTTATTGTTGTATGTGAATGTGTGTGTCATGCGTTTAAGAGATTTATTTGATATATACATACTTTAAATATAAACCCTTTACCTTCGCAGCACCTTATGGTGTTAGAGCAGGTGCAAAAAAACTTGGAAGGAAAAATCCAACGAAAAAATCTCAAGTACCAAAACCGATTGATGGTATACCAGCACATAAGTAAGTTATATCTCTTCTTAGAAAAAGTTTTATTCAATCTTTTTTTTACACCAATTAACATAACTAACATTGTTAAGACGTGAAGATTATTATCCTCCCACAAAACCATATGAAATGTCTGAAGTTCTAGTAGATCTATTAGAATTCGCTGCACGATATTTAGTCATTGGAGGTCGTTTAGTGTACTGGCTTCCAACAATAGTAGATGAGTAAGTCGATTTTATCATTTCTGTTTTTTTTTTTTTAAAAAAAAAAAAAATCATTTTGATTTTAATTAATATCCATGTGTTTTATACATGAAAATAAAATAAATAATAATAAAAAAAAAGATATACAAGTACAGATATTCCTGAACATCCCTGTATGAAGTTCATTTCAAATAGTGAACAAAATTTTGGACAATGGAGTAGAAGATTAACAACGATGGAAAAATTTAGAGAAAATGTAAAAGGTGAACATGCGAATGTTAATACAATAAAAGGATATGATAATCTATCAACGTTGTATCAAAAGAAAAATAATAACGAAAGTGAAGAAAATACAGATGAAAATATTAATACAAGTTGTGAAAAACAACAGGATAGTGATATTGAGAAAAAACCTGGACATTATTTATTTCGGGAGAAGGTTATTTATCGTTTTATATATTCTTGTCTTTAATATACTGTATATTATTATTTATTATCTTAATTAATAATTGTTTTTAAATTATTAATTTTCTAGTATTTCTCGTTTAAATCTAAAGAAAAGTCACAAAGAGAAGAATCATGGATTAGATTTAAAAAATCAGAAAATAAATCACCTTCAACCACCACCGATAATAATATTGATACATAATTTTAGTTTGTAATAAGTCAAGGAAATATTTTAGCAAAAATTTCCAATAATTTTCAATAATGAATCATTGACCAATGAAATTCAATAAATTTAGCAATAACATAATATATATTAATGCAATAAATTACTTTATAGGCAATTTTTTATCATGATGAGTTTTAATTCCTCCGCTTATTATATTCTTTTATCGATTTTATTATATATTTATTATTACTATTTATTAGTTCATTTAAATTATTATAATGTAGTTACTTACAAATAGAAAAGAAATAAAGAAATAATATCCCAATATCCGTGAACTCCTGATTTCACCGATTTTCTAATTTCAGGATTCGATTGACAAAAAATCTCGGAAATAACAAACGAATACATTTAATCCTAAATACATAATAAAAATATAAATTATGTTAGTAGTTTTTTTTTTTTTATAATTTTTTTTGTTAATTATTTTTATATTAATATAAAAAAATAAAATAAAATCAAAAACATACTTTTTTTTTGCCCCTCAAGGACATAAGTTTCGTAGTATCGTTTATCTTTCTTCGCTATCATTACCTAATCGAAATTAGTGAACGCCACACCAATTACCCCCAGGTTGTATATTTTATATGTCCAAGGTCCGCGTCCGCGCCGTCCGTACCCTTAACTAGCTTATAAATATCTATTGAAACTTTAAAATATATGTAAAAATTTCTGAACAATTTTAATTAATGGTTCAAACAAGTTTTTATAATAAAATTTTGCGTTATTTACGTTTTAAAAAAATAATTCTTGTCCAACGATGTCCCTTAACATTACTGAGTCCCTCTCTTCTTTAAACTAAAAATAATAATAAATCAATCCAATAAATAACGATTACAAGAATAATAAAAATTTTCTCCTTTCCATTTATCGTAAATCATGAATTGTTCTCTTTATTAAGAACCCAGTTTCAACGGACAAATTATTACTATAAAAAATTTATCATGGAAATTTTTAAAAAAATACATTTATATTGAATAGGTAAGCTTTTTTTATTGTAGACCTGTGAGATCATTTTCCCAGGTTTTGGTATCGGCGGCTTGGTTATCGCCTTTGTCTTTCACGATTTTCGAAGGTGACCATCGCGTACCATTCAACAGTTGATTTTGTGTGTTCTTGCTATATTGATAGAAAGGGTTTAACAATTATTTTAAAACTTAATAAGTTTTTTTAGTAAAGTTATATCGTACTTATGTTTATGACGCGTTTTAATTTTCTATATGTAATCGTATACGTACAAGTCAAATTAGATATATCTAATAATATAGTAAATATAGTAATGATATAGATAACACGACTGATAGTACAGTATAATATAATTTCGGTTTTTAATAAAAGCGAAGTATTAAATTTAGAATACATTTGATCATCGTATACTCTGCTATCATTTATTATTATAACCAAAAGTTTTATTTATTATTCGAGAAACATATTTTTTTTTTTGAGGTATGATTGATCATTCATAAATTACTATGCATAATTAATTGACTCGTTTACTTGCGTAAATAGTTAATTTACAAATAATACAAATAATAAACATTTGAAATTATCGATTGCTTTCATTGATATTTTCACGGTAAATTATTTTATTATATTAATATAGCACTAACAAAGTTTATTTATAAAATAAATCATCTATCTATACAAGGAAATGAATTAATTGTTTATATGAAAAATAACATTTGGGAAGTAATCATGAAAGTTTAATAAATTGTCACAGGACATTAGGATCTGTGATACATAAATCAGAATAATTATCATTCTTATAATTTAATATTTCAATAAATAATTTATTTAAAAAAAATATATGATGAGTATTTTATTAATAATGCAAATAAATATACAATGTGATAGCTAAATAAAATATTCTATTCTACTAACGTATAACAAACCGTTACTTATCTCTTATCGATTATTTCTTTCAATAAATTATTTGCATCTGAATCCCCACGCTCCTTTGCTACATTTAACCAGCATATGGCTTTTACAATATCTTTCTCGGTTCCACATCCCTCATAAAAGTATTTACCAACCATATATTGACTATCAATATAACCATTATTCGCGGCTTTATCAAACCATTTAAATGCTTCCGCTTGATTTTTCTCAATTCCTTCACCATTTTTATAACACCATCCTAAATTATGCTGTGCTAAAGAATGTCCTTTTTCAGCAGCCCTCGAATACCATTTAAATGCCTCTTTTTCATCCTTATCCACACCTGTACCATAATCATAACAAAAACCAGTATTACACATTGCATAAATGTTTCCAGCGAGTGCAGAATTTATATACCATTGAAATTCTTTGGCTTCATCTTTCGATACCCCTTTTCCAGTTGAATAACAACGACCAACATCATATTGTGCTACAGGATATCCTTCTTTGGCCAATTTTAAGTATAATCCAAATGCCTTTTCTTCATTTTTTTTAACACCAAATCCTTCTTCATAACAATATGCTACATTATGTAAAGCTATAATGGACCCTTCATCAGATACTTTAGAATACATCTGAAATGCCTTTTTCATATCCTTTTTAACATAGCGTCCAGTCAAATACATGTTAGCAAGATAGATGAATCCTATTTCTTTGTTGATATTGTATAGTTTCCTTAGTGATAAATTAGTAAATGAGTTATTTTTCATATCAGTTATTCCATTAGCAGCCAAACTAAAGGCTTCAAAAGCCATTTCGAAATCGATAACAGTCCCGATACCATAAAGGTAAAAAAATCCTATTAAGCTAGTATACCAATAATGAGATGGGTGTCTGTTCATATCGCTTAGAATTTTAACTGGATTCTTGTTGCATTCTCTAATATAAGTTTTGATCATAATTAATTGCATTTTCGAAGTCTGTTTTTCGTATAAATCAATGAAAAGTTCAAATAGATCCTTAATAAACTCATCAATTTCAACGTCGATTAAAGAGGGATTAAAATATAGTTCATTTTGCCTTAATAAAGAAAAAATTTTATAATTTAATAAATGTTAGGATTAATAAGGAGAGAAAAAAAAAATCGGTAGAAGATTAGTGGGGATTTAATATATATACCTATTAACCTTCATATAACGAAATGGGAATTTTGGAAGTCTGCGTTTTAAAAAATTTGCAATTTTGGAGATCTGCAGAAATCGACGCCGCCTAAAAATAGTAAATACTTTAATTATTTCCAAGTCTGCGCAATAATCACGACCAGCAAAATATAAAACATCCGTCTTTAGCAATTTTATGATGTTAAAAATATATAAAATGGAACTTACTTATTTGACTTTTTCAATTTAAAAGAAGTGACCTCATCTCTGTCATTATAAGGAGAAGTTCCAAATTCAACACTTGCATCGGAGATAACGATTTCAGAAAGATTTTTAACTACTTGAGAAATGTCTGGTCGTGAATTTTCATTGTGCTTCCAGCAATCTATTAAATATATTTAATTTATATAAATAATTTATAATGAATATAATTATTTAATAAATTATTATGAATTTGCACCTGTATATATCTCCTTGTATTTGGAAGGTATTTCGGGCGTTATTATCATTTCTTTTTCGTCTTTCACAGTGTTATTTAATAAATCAATGTTTGAATCCAGTTCAGAAGGAGATTTTCCACTAGAAATTTCCCAGAGAATAGTTCCCAGACCGAAAATATCCGAACGCTTATTTTTTTCAATTGTGTTAGGATCGATATGTTGGAAATTTAATGATTCAAATGTATGTTTAGACATTCCAAAGTCATTTATTTTAATATTTTCATTATGAACAAAAATATTTTCAGAGTTCTAACCAAATCATAAAATAGATAAAATTAATAATAATTCACTTGAGAAATTTATTTATAAATAAGAATTGTAATTACCAATTTTCCATGAATAATATTATCAGAATGTAGATACATCAACGTATTTGCAATTTGTTTCGCAAGATTTAATTTTATATTCCAATTTATCTTTTGAAAATTTGTTTTCAAATATTGACGAAGAGATCCATTATTAACATATTCAAGAATGATCATATAATTATTTTTATTCTCTATAAACAGATGAATAATCAATTATCTGTGTTTGTTAATCATAAAATTAAAACTTAAATATTTATATTTTTACCTTGCTTAGTAATACCATAAAACCTAAGAATGCTATCATGAATTTCTAATTTTCGATGTCTTTTTATCTTTATATAATTAAAATAGTAAAAAAATTATTAAAAGTAAATTCAGATAATAGAATAAATACATTAATTTAACTCAACTCACTTCGTTTATTAAATAGTTCAATGCAAATTTATCATGTAAAGAAACGCATTTAAGAGCAATAGTTTTTTGAGAAATTTTAAAAGTGGCTTTATAAACATTTCCACCGATTAATTTTACATTCTCAAATTCCGAATATTGATAAAACGAGATATTTTCTTTTTGAAAATTATCTTCGCAATCAAATTGTTTATCTGCGTCTCCCATTTTCCTGTAGTTTCTTGAGTTTTTTCTTGAGACATGATTAAAATCAAATTAATTATTAATTTCTAATTTCTAAATTTCTAAAGTTATCTCATTGGGTAAATGAATACGCCAATTGTGCACACAAAAAATTATTACAATTAGTACATTTTCCGGAGTATATATTAATAATTTTTAACTATTTACGAAATACAAAAAAAAAAACAATTCAGGAACGTGTAATTTTTTATATATCATATTTGTCAGTTGAATTTCTTCCCCTTTGATTTATGTGCAACTTAAAATTTCTATTTATCGTATTATAAAGGTGTAAAAACATAGGAATTTTAAACAAGGGAGTAATTTTTCATTCGTTGACTTGACTTCTTCATAACCTAATTAAAAAAGTTCTGCAAAAATACACTGCATTGCATTGTCTTTAAATAAAAATCAAAATAATAAGTAAAAGTTCTTTAGAATGCGAAAATTTAATATATTTACACTTTGGGTAAGGTGTAAAAGTAATCTGTTATTATATTATAATTTTATTTATTATAATTTTATTTATAATTATCGATTCTTTTGGGTTCCGTTCCTCAGATGCCACCAATTATAAAAATGGCCTATGTAGATCCTTTAAAAATTCAGCCCCTAATTTTGGTCAGTTTTAATCTGAGGCACCGAGGCACCAATACTAGAAGAGTTAAAAAAATTAGTGTGAATAAAATAGATTTAGTACAACATTCATACATATGGATACATCAAAGTGATGTATAAACTTAAAAATTATAATTATCATCTGGCTAAAATTTCAGCTTGTTTTTTTTTTAAATAAATTATTTATATTATTTATATTATAATTAAATCTTGCATTGATGTATCGACATTCTAATGGAAAATTGATCAATTATTCTTATTTATAAAAATTTTGATAAAAATATTATACAAATAATTAAAATTTGACTGAGCACACCTGTTGCGTAGCAACAATTAATACTTTGACTTTAATAATCTCTACGGTTACCTCCTGTTCAATCATATAAATCTCTTTGTAAGCACACTTCTCATAAAACCAATGCTATGTAAAAAAATCTCTCTATAATCAGAGTTTTTATAGTTTTTTTTGGAACTAATACTTACTAATTCTATATAAATTTCTTTATAATCACACTTTTTTTTTTGTCTATAAAATTTTTTAACACTAATATAAGACTGGGTGATGATACACAATTGCAAATAATTTATATAGAGAGCGAAGGACACTATATTTCTACGCACTATGATAAATTTCCGGTCACGGGTGTTTCTCTGTTCCTCATGTGATAGTACAACGGTTCCGTTTCCTGGTTATTTTATAATTTAGCAGTTAGAAATATTAAAATTAATGCACTCCTCGGTAATAACTTAAAATAAAACGAGTCAACTTTACACATAATAACTCAAGATCTAGTGATAAAAACGAGTCAATATTTTTTTTTGTCACGTAAAAAAAAAATTTTTTTTTGCGCCCAAAGTTTGTGAACTCACCGGATTTAAGCGTGACGAAATTATTGGCCTCCGGAAAGGTAGTTACAGTGAATTAATATTAAAACTATTTGATTGTACTAAAACAACTATTCGTGATGTTATTGAAAAATCTAGAACACAAAAACAAAATACAACTACTCCTAGGCCTGTTAAAACCTCTAACTTGACTGAAAGAAATATTAGACATCTTGTAAAAATAGTATAAGATTGTAAAAAATCCTTAGATGAAATAACAGAAAAATTCAATAAATTACACAATTGAGTCTTTTTTGGTCGTGCAGGAAAAAGAATACCTTTAAAAGATTACTTTCTGAAACCAATGCAAGCGTTGAATTTGAAATTTCTGTGATACATCCTCATAATGTCAATGCCACAGATGAAGTTATTTCTGTTAAATTGGAAAATTCAAATAAGTAAGTTTCTTTTTTGTATTTTGTATTTTATATTCCTTGAAATATTTATTAAATTTATTAAATTATATATACATTTTAAATCTCATAAAACATTTAAATTATGAAATTTTCTTTGTTAAGACAAAATGATGAACTAGACGTTCATTCCAATTTTCTTTTTATTGATTTCATTGATTTGTACAAAAAACAAGATCAAAGTATGCATCCAATTACGATCAAAGATTATTTTAGAAAACATAACAAAGAATCAAGTTAAAGTTTTATATGAAATTATTAGATATCCATCTCATTATTGGTTTACTAGCTTAATAGGATTTTTTTATTTGTGTTATTGCGAAATGGCATTTGAATTCTTTATTTTGGCTGTTAATGAAATAGCTGATATGAAAAATATCTCATTTACTAATTCATCACTAAGGAAACTGTCCAAAATCAACAAAGAATTAGGATTCATCTATCTTGTAAATTTATATTTAACTGATTATTGTATTAAAAGGATATGAAAAGGCATTTAATATGTATTCTAAAGTATCTGATAAAGGCTTTACATAATATAGCAAATTGTTATGAAAGAGGATTTTGGTGTTAAAAAAAATGAAGGAAAAGCATTTGAATTATGGAAAAGGAATATCAAAAGATGAAGCTAAAATCTGCACTTTCTGAAAATATTTTTGCAATGTGTAATATTGGTTTTGTTACGATTGTGGTACAGGTGTGGATAGAGATGAAAGAGAAGCATTTAAATGGTATTCGAAATCTACTGAAAAAAGAATATTCTTTCGACAGTATATTTTAGGATGGTGTTAAAGGAATTGAAGCAGATCAAGTGAAATCATTAGAATGGTATAAAAAAGCTGCAGAAGGTGATTACATTGATGGCTAATATATGCTTTTATGAAGGATGTGAAACCGAGAAAGATATTGTAAAAGTTATACACTGGTTAAACAAAGCAAATGAAAATAGGAATGAAAGCGCCTAGGACTTATTATAAGGAATAATCGATAGTTAAAATAATAAGAAAATTATTTTATAATAGATATTTCTTTATCATTATAAGTTATTTTTAATGCAATTTTAAATAAATTGTTTATTGAAATATTAATTGGAAGTGAATGAATTAATTTGGAAAGAAAATAATTTATATGTTTCATAAGTACAAAAATAAATTCTATCGTTGAGGATTTGAATATCAATGCTTTGCAATTATTTAAAATATTTATATTTTCAACAGATCTAAGAAAAAGAGCCACTGAAAATGTGATGATAAATACCTAATCATTTCTGTCTTTGTATTCTAAAAGAATTTTCAAATTCCACATTATTACTGACGTCAATAGAAAAAACTTTATTTTAAAAATCGACAAAACACGACACGAAGAGTAAAAGGGACGAATTTCAAACTGATGAAAATGGCAAAATAATATTTATATTATGCTTGTCACTGCTGTGATAGTCACCGTTGGGCAAAATTAACAAATTCATGGTTAGGGTTAGGATCAGGGAATTATGTAATTTTGCCCAGTGGTGACAATCACCACTGGTGACAATCACCACTGGTGACAAATAGATTTACTCTCCTCAACATATTGAGAATGAAAATGATCGACCAATTCGGGAAAATTTTATAAATGAAGTGATTAAATTAAATTATTTATTCGAGTTTGCTTTTAACCTTATTATTTTTGATTGGAAATTCAACATGGGCATTACTAAGCATGGTAGAAATTTAAATTTTATACTTAATTAATAATCATTTATTAATAATGATTCTCTTCATCAATATTATCAATATTTGAAACCGGAATGCAGAATTAGATGTTGCAAAGATACTATAGTCAACTTTTAATAAATGCACCCGGGACCAGAATTAACGTGCATTTATGGAACACAGCTCTCTATAAATGCACCCGGGACCAGAATTAACGTGCATTTATGGAACACAGCTCTCTATAAATGCACCCTCTATAAGCGCATTCTCTCTTTAAATGCACCCTATGCTCCAGTACCATCACTAATGACACTTATAAAGTTACCCTTTGTAAACTCTGGTCCCGGGGGATGCATTTATAGAGAGTTGATGTATTCATAGAAAATGGCAATAATTTGTTCAAAGCTTCTTATTTGTAAATAAATTTCGCAAAATATATAATGAATTGTTTCTAATTTATTTATTTTATGATTAGAACTCTGAAAATATTCTTGTTCATAATGGAAATATCAAACTAATGGCTTTGGGATGATAAAACATCTGGATCATTAAAATTCCTATAAACAATATAATATATTGATTCGCAATATTTGGAACCTTTTAGCACAATTGGAAAAAATAAGTGTTCAGATATTTTTAGCTTGGGAATTATTTGAATTTTTTATTGATTTTAAAAAATAAGATTTCAGTCAAAGTCCAATATGAAATGATTAGATATCCATCTCATTATTGGTTTACTAGCTTAATAGGATTTTTTTTTTATTTGTATGGTGTTGGCATTTGAATTCTTTAGTTTGGGCTGTTAATGAAATAACTGACAAAAATGGGATTCATCTCGCAAATTTGTGTTGTTGAAAAGGATAGAAGAAAGGAATTTCAGATTTATTCTAAAGTTGCAGATAAAGGATTTGTTATGGTTTAGATAAAGTAGCATGTTACATTAGTCAAACACAAAAGAATAGTGATTCCTATATTATAGATTAGCTAAAAATCAGAATACCTATATTAACACCTCTATTACTCCCAAAGAGCAAGGTAATGGAAATTTTATCATTAAAAATTTTTCCTAACTACATATCATAGGTCAAATATAAAAAATATGCCGTACTGAAAAGGAACTCCGATTTATAATATAGGATGCAATAGGACGGTTGATTTTTATCAATTTTTAGCTGATCTATAGTATAGGAATCACCATTCGGTACAGTGATTCTTTTGTATTTGACTAGTGTATACAAAGGAAAGTACAAAGATATAAAACCCTTATAATTTATTTCTAAGTAAATAAAAGAACCAAAAATTATAAAATAACAAAGAACAAATTTCTTCCTATTAACAAATATAGTTACATTTTTATGTAAGCTCATGCAACTTAAAATATCCAAAAAGAATTTGAGGCATTTAATATAATGATGATAACTATCTGTATGAAATCATATCAATGGGTATAATATTTTTTATCAGTTAATTTGTATTGTTAGCTGTATTAAACATTCATAATGAATCTATTTCAATGTCAATGATATTTTATCATGTTTACGTCTGAAGAGATTTTTTGTACAAGTAAAAGTGAATATCAAATTAACCTTACAAAATTAGCCAAAAAATGATAATATTCTGAAGGATAATGTAAAACAAATAATTAGTATAATTGTGAGGCTATTAGTGATGAACCTGAAAGTAAAAAATGGCACATACAAGAAAAAATAAAAAAATAATTAATTATTTTTGTAATTTTTATTATTTTATTTGTATCAAAAAAGAAAATAAATATTTTTCATGTAAAATGGTTAACACATCGAAAAAATTATCTTCATTTATCAATTCCATATGAGAAAATGATTGAATACCTTCTATATCATACTGACATCACTACTGTGTTCAAGGATATATTTGTCAAATTATGTTCTGATTTATTTCAGAAGAATTATTACTTTGTACTTCATCTCAGTTGACATCATTCCTTCTATTAGTAACTCTGCGAATTGGAGATATTGATCAATCCCTTTGTAAACGATAACTCAGCATTGATGACACTTCCGGAAGTGAGTACGATTGCGTTAATGTGACTTAGTTGTGAAAATTTTTCTACTGCACAGATTTGTTATATGATAATCAGAATCATCTTACTATAGTTATGAATATGGACTTGGACCTTGAAAATAAAGTTACTTTAATGATTTAATGATGACTTCATTTTATAAAAGAACGGTAGTTACTCTTCTGATATTTGAAGCTTCCATTTTGTGATTGATTAACTCTCAAGATGACCGAAACAGCAAGTCAATTACTAAGTCACATCGTTTCAGTTTGTCAATGGTTTCCGCAAGCTCCAACTAATCCGAGTTCAACAGTTTCTGCTCACCCACGTTTTCCAGATTATACATGTTCCCAAAATTGATTTTGAATTTTTGAGGTATTTCGACTTTTTGAGATTTATGCAAAATCTATTCTA